ATACCCAGTAACACTGTGAGGAATCTTGGAGTCATTTTTGACCAAGAACTCTCCTTCAAGGCTTATATAAGCCAAGCAACTAAAACGGCGTACTTCCACTTACGGAACATCGCTAAAATTAGGAATTTCCTTCCTAAAAGTGACGCGGAAAAACTCATTCACGCGTTTGTCACCTCAAGGCTCGACTACTGTAACGCTTTACTGGCAGCGTGCCCTAAAGCGTCTTTGAAGAGCTTCCAGCTCGTTCAGAATACAGCAGCTAGGATCTTAACAGGTACCAAAAGGAGGGAGCACATAACTCCGGTGTTAAAATCACTCCACTGGCTCCCTGTGGAGTACAGAATAAAGTTTAAAATCCTTCTCTTAACATATAAAGCCATAAATGGCTTGGCTCCTTCTTATCTCCAAGACACGTTAGTGTCGTATCAACCAAGTCGAGCGTTGCGCTCGCAAAACGCCAGACGTCTGGTGGTTCCTAAGGTCTCAAAAATCACTGTTGGTGGCAGAGCATTTAGTTCCAAGCTCCTTTACTGTGGAATCAGCTTCCCATTTATGTTAAGGAAGCAGATACGGTCTCCACATTCAAGGCCAGGCTTAAAGCACTTTACTTTAATTTAGCATATAATTAGGTAATATATAATATATGGTGTATATATTATATATGTATGCTGTATTATGTTATATATTATGTTATATATTATACAATAATGTATTGTGTTATGTTGTATATTATGTTATATATTATGCTGTATGTTATGTTGTGTATTATATATGATATATATGGTATGTATGGTATATGTGATGTATATGATATATAATTAGGTAAATTAGGTTTGCTTGGATCGGTTTGCACGCCTGGTGTGCAATCCATGAATCTCTTTATTCAAGGCTAGGTTTAAAACAGTCTTCTTTAGTTTAGCATATGGTTAGGAAGGTAAGACTCGGGGAAGGCTAAACTCCTCAGAGTGTCAGTCAAGCTGCATAGGGAGTCAGTTTGCTGGGAGAAGTATGGTAACTTGAGCACTATCCTCTCCTCCTTCCTACTTTATCTACTTTATCTGTTTAGCACTTTTAGGATTCTGACTGTAGTTTGTTCATTGCTATTCACCCGTTGTCCCATTGTCTGTTTCATGGTACGATGACGGGATCTCTGAGCCTGGCCTCCTCCATCTACACCTGCGGACTGCCCCGCCCGACCCGCCTGGGAGTGCTTCGGTCCTGCACCGGACCTGTCCACGTTCAGCGGCCACTGGTCCACGTCCTGTAGCTAGCTTAGGTCCTGGATCATTAGCCTGTCCGTCCGGAGGAGCGGATCCCTTTCTCATATGGGTCTCCCTCCCTGTGGGTTTCCCTAGTGCTCCCCAAGGTTTCTCACTTTTTCCCACTGGGTTTTTTAAGAGTTTTTCCTTGTCGATGCAGGAGGGTCTTGTTGGACAGTTAGTGTCCAACAGAAAGGATTGGTGATGATCAGGACACTTTAGCATTCTACAACATGTATGGACATTTTCTTCTGTGTGTGCTTTATATTTTCCATGTGTTAACTGTTGATTCTCTGACCTGTGTTGGTGATTTCAATGGTTTTGTTAAGTCCTCTGAGATGACTTCTGTTGTGACCTAGGGCTATACAAGAATAAATTGTATTGTATTGTATTGTATTGTATCGGCGCCGATACCAGAAAACATACTGGATCGGATATCTGCGTAGAGAGAGGCGCCGTGCTGCCGATCCATTTTCTTTTCTTTTTAAAAAAAAATTATATATATATTTTTAATACATACCAGGTACCGCACAATGCCTTAAAATACATTGTGCATAAGCATAATGTACATATACGTATAAAATGAATTAATTAAAAGTAATTTATCAGATCTCACGTACACGTCACTTCCTCGTGGCGCTCTACAACAACAACAACAACACAGCATGGAGCGCAGGAAAGAATCAGCGTTGTTCACGCGGCGGTAAACTAGCGAAATACAACACGACTAAGCACCACGAGAAACAGCATGGGGAGTTTTTGCATCGGAAGGAGATTACGTGAAAACAACGAGACACAGATGACACTGACGCAGCGTCACTAAAAGCTTTTCAGCAACAACCCCAAAGTGTTGGAATTAATCAGTTTGGGCTCGCAGCCCCATAGACCATTTGGAACCCAGGTACATGCCGTCGCCAAATACATATCTGAAATCCAGTTAAAGCTACGGTACTATTATTTATTTACATTTTCATGCTGCGTGTTTTGTTTGTAAGTGTTTTTTTATTCAAACACAGTTAATATAAGTACATTTATATTCAATAAATGTATACGGTATAATACAGTGTTGGAATGTTTAATGTGAACATTGAGCAGCTCTTTATAGTTGCAGTATTTCACATTTATGTTGAATCCATTTTTATCTGGAAAGTTTAGCGCTTTAGTTCATCCACTGCTTTTGTAGTTACTTGAACAAAGAGTTCAATAATTAAATACATTTTAGCATGATCATTTCCGGTATCGGTCAATATCGGTATCGGCAGAAACCCATAGCTCTGGTATCGGTATCGGCAGAAACCCATAGCTCTGGTATCGGTATCGGTAGTAAAAAAGCTGGATCGGTGCATCTCTAGAGATAACTACTGTTGTGATTTAGGGCTATACAAAATTAATTGAATTGAATGAATAAATACAAGGCTAATTAGCATCATACCTTCTATCAATTAAAAGTCAGTCTCATTCCCAGTGTTGTTTATCTGTGGAGTCTGTCCAAAGTCAACATCACTTAAACACGTCTGTGTATCATTATAGCATGATTTTAAAATGTGTGTAATAAACCAACTCTTTTGGCTTCTGTGAAAAGACTGAAATATGTTTTTGTGCGCCAATTCAGGAAACCCATTCATTTTACACTATAGTATTTTTGATAAAGCGTGTCATAAAAAGAAAAATAGATTTTTTTTAAAAACAGATGAATATTGATATTGAAAATAAATTAAAAATAGGTGTTTTATTAAGATTTCTGAACAGTAAGGTGCACTTTATGAATGGTAATGTGGTAATGGTAGGTGCTTGTTATTATTGCATTTCTGTGATAGGACTGTTTGATTCTCTGATCTGCGGTTGGCGAATCCACAACTTTGTCCGGCCCTCTGAGAGGACTGCTGTTGAGGGCGAAATACAATAGATTGAAACGGAATTGAATTAAAGTGACATTACTTTAACTTTACCCAAAAAATTAATCCATTAAATCAAAAGAACCATGGGCTGAACTAATTCATGAAGAAAATACAGTAATTGTTTAGAGTTCTCTTCCAATTGAGCACAACTTTTTGCAAGTTCTACATAAAAAAACATTTAAAAAACTAGTGTTTATTGTTTAACTCAATGGTTTTAAATTCCTTCAATTGAGTTACTTAATTGAATGCACTCTTAGCTAATTCTAACTTGTCAGATCGATTGAGAATAAACTTTTGCCCTGTACTTGTACTTGTACTTATATTCATAGAAACATGTTTAGTGCTCTTTCCATCACTGTAATAAAGCAACAAAACTCACATCTATCAGCTTTAATCCACACAAAGAAAAAGTACTTCTGTCTAACATATCAAAAGCCCTGTTTCCACCAGCCCTACCTGGTCCTACTTTACTCTACTAACTTTTTCATATCTGGTACTGTATCCTAGCAACCAACCTAACAAACCAGTATCCAGGGAAATTCCTTAGTAACCACGGCTTCCAGCAGCGCTCTGGTCAATCTCTGTCCGATAGAACAATAGTGCCAGCTTGGCCTGGATAGAACCAGGGCCAAGAGGGTAGGGCGGGTGGAAACAGGGCTCCGCAGTTTCTTTTCACACTTATAGGATTGCTCCTTTGTCAAATCTCAACTCAATAAACCTCAGTTTCACCTTCCACCTGACCCCGCCCATTTCTATGATCTTCTTCTTCTCTGATTATTCCAGACATCCTACATAATTCAAACTCCAGTCCACATGTTGGGACTCAATGATGTCCCGTAGCCATTCATCAACAAAAGAATTAACATGAAAACCCTTCCCAGTAATCAACAGACCGGTTTGAGGTTTTAAATGAATCAGGAAATAATACTCAATAAAAGGCTGGTAAAGGCTTCTAATATGTGCTACCATGGCATCCCATACATTTATTCTGTTCTAAATAACAAACGCTAAACAAAAATCTCCACAATCACATTTAAAACACTGGCTATCTTCATGTTTGTAAAATAAAATTATCAAAAAATATATAATAAAAATGTACCGCGTGTAAACAGGTCTGGCCCTCCACAATAGTGGTCCTCCCGAAGAAAATACTTGCCCACCCCTGATCCAGACGTTCAATATACAGTGCAATGTAACTTCATAAGGCCAAGTTAGGAATCATATCTGCGGAAAGGCAAGCAGTGCACGAATAAGGTCTCATTCTTTAAACCATCCATAGACTTAAACATGCAGAGAAGAGGTTTGAGGACTCAGATAATTCTAGAAAAACTGCAGAATGAGTAGTTGTGAGTGTCTAACTGGTCATGTGTATGAAGATGTTCTCCAGGGGAATTGTTTTGGTTGAATGTATTCAATATCCAAAATTCACTTGCCTTTTTGGGATCTACACACCAAGCCGATTTGTTTGGAGTAACACAAATACAAAATAAAGATATATTTCAACTTCTATGAATGCAGTTTTTTAAGCAGTAAAAACATCTGCCATTGAACAACGTGCAAGTTTCATTTCATACCATACTGAGGAAAAAGAAAAACGGCAACGTCACCATGGCAACAAGCAGGTACCCCCCCTCTGCCCCCCGCCCCCAAACTGAAAAGTTGCGCAACGTATCTTTAATAAACTAAAACACTTGTCTGCGTGAGTGCGTATACGTAGACAGCGGCAGGAGCGGGCGCTGGGAGGAACAAAAGCAGCAGGTTCCAGCAGCGTGCGTAGCAACAACAAAGTGAGGTCCATCCCGAATGACCGACGAATAAAACCGACGAATACTGACGTGCTTACATGAAGGGTCCGCTCCGATCCTGGCGGCGGGGGCGAGATGACGCTAATCCAGGCGTAGTAGAATCCCAGGGTTCGCGGAGCTCGTCTGTGCTCTGTGGGTCGCAGTGTGTTGTGTTGCAGTGTGGTGTGTGGTGTGCGGTGGTCGTGTTCGCATCAAGCCCCGGCGATTCAAGATGGCGCCCTATTCAAATGAATGGTTGTGCTCAGTGGCGCTTTGTGACGGCATGGGGGCTGAAAGATTAGCGGAAGTTGCCTGAAACTCGCAAAGATCTATGGGAAACTCGCCTGTATTTGGGCATAGTCTGGTCCTCCCGGTTCTGCGCAGTGGATGATCTCCCATAATGCGTTGCGCCAAACACGCGTGTGTGGGTCTCACACCGGGTCTCACGCACGTGCACAGAGGGGCTCGGCCGCGCTCTGACCAATCAGAGCAGTTCCTCAGAGCGGGAGTTAGAGCGAGAGCCAGAGGAGCAGAGTTTGTGGCATTAAAGTGTGGATTTAAACAAAACCAAAGGATTTAAGAAGAAAAAAAGTTCAGGATGACAAGGGACACTAAAATCCCCACAAAATCCGATCTTTATTAAAGCTGTAGGTTCTCTGTCAGCTGAGGTCGAGCTGTTTTAATATGCATTGAGTTCTATGGGGAAAATTTCTGGGTGGCCCACGTGAATTTAGTCTGGTTCAGTCTGCAGTACCGCGAGAATCCCCTGAGCACGTGAGTTATTCAGCTACAAGCTAGTAATACCCTATCCAGTTAATATAATACATCCATGGTTCGCATTCCCCCGCCTCACGCGCTCTCCGTGTCAAGGCGCCAAACGGAGAGCTCGCGCGCTGCTTCCGGTGCAGCCCGCGTGTCAGAATAATAGGGTTAACGGTAGAATTCAAAGAGCAGTCAGTTTGACGGTTTTTCATTATGGAAGTGTAATTACTCAGCGTATGTACGTTTTTTTTTGTCTTTGTAACTTTTGTAGTTTTTTTCAATGTAATTATGTTTATGAAATTATCTCGATGCAAGACCAAGCTTGTAGTAAGTGCTGGTTACCATAGCAACACACTGTTTTCTGGCACCAGTTAGTATTTAGTTTTGCTGCATTTCATTATTCACCGGTTTGAGCATGTATTAAGCATAAACACCGTACTTAATTTTAATAAAACTAGTAAAAAACGAAACCTGTTTTTTCGGATTGTTTTCAGAATTCCGTTATTTGAATGGGAGTCGTCAAAATGACTGCTCTGGGAGTTCGAGTAGTTTCAGAATTCCGGGTGTCCTGGTGTTAAAGCTGGTGTTTCAAACTTTTTTGTGTGAGACAATGGAGGTACGGTGGTCAGAGAGGAAAAACAAAATAAATCTTGGATTGCATTTGTATTTAAACTGTTTTAGTTGATTGATTTCACAAAGTCATTTAATTCCTGTTTTTTTTTTTATTATTATTTTTGTACTTTTAACCTATTTGTGTACTTGTCTTGTGCACACTGGGGACTTTTGCGGATGTATTCTAATGTGGTTTTATGGCAAATGGCAAATAAATAAATCTGAATGTGCCACTTTAATCAGTCATGTCCAAACTAAGGCCCGAGGGCCAATTGCGGTCCTCTGTGTCATGTTTTGCGGCCCCTCTGCCATCGTAAGGCAAAGTGTTTATTGAGATCATAAACAAACTTTGGAGCAGTGCAATGCCCAGGGACCCATCTTTAGGAGGGTCACTATGGAGGATTATACATATGGTGATTGTAGTTTTGGGTGGTTGGGGGAAACACGGGGAGAACATGCAAACTCCACACAGACCTGCATCTCAGTAAACATAGATGACTCCAACATGCGTGAGTCGCTCTGAAATAGTGTGAAAATGGCCAGAGGAAACTAGTGTACCAGAGAGAAACGATGTGAAAAGTCCACTTTGCAGGTTTTGTCACATTGAAGGATTTATTTTGAAACACGAAGCCGCTCCAGGGGCTCAGCGCAGACCTGCCCCTCCCCTCAGCCCTCCGCAGCCTCTGTCGGTCACCAGCCTGCACCACACCGACAATACACACTGAAGAGAAGCCTTTGTCTTTAAATACATTATAATGTTGCCCAAAATCAACAACCACGCTTCGTACATTAATGTTAAGTGTTCTCCCAGAACAGCAGACATAGGTCATCTGTCACCTCTTTGAAGCTTCTTTATCTGTTGCTTTAACAAGTATCAGCAATGATGTGATTCACAATTCATATGTGAATTGGAATGTAATGAAAATCTGTATTGAAAGTTTTATTATTCAAAGCAAAGTAATATAATCTCCTTGGCAACAGGTAACAGACCCAAATCTGAAATGTACCTTTAACTAGAAAACCCCAACATAGATCAATTTAACTTTGTACATGAGCATTTTGGATCCGGAAATAATTAGATCCGTATTTTTTCTGTCAAGAAATTAACAAATGTGGACAAATACCAAAGTGAAATAAAAAATTGAGTATGTCCATCTTGAAAATGTACTATTGTCCATCGTAGTGTCGGAAAAACACTTCTGGGCAGCTACTATTGCTGCAGATTTTTTCTCCTCTGCTGATCTCACGGTGGCATATTTAAGATAAGATACACTTTATTGATCTCACAGTGTAGAAATTTACAACAAGAGTAAATTTACAGTTAGCAAAACACAATATAATTTCAAGTTAAAATCCCTTGTACAGAGAATGTTTATTTTTTGGGAATAATTTACATTACCGCGTTACTGCAAAAATCAATACATTACAGCAATTACGTTTTTTTTTTTTTTGACACATTACTCCCAACACTGAATCTTAACAGATAAAGAACCAAACCCATGCATTGATTCAACCACCTGCGGCGAAAAGACTGCACAATACTTTCAAACATGGACTGTTCAACTTCCACTTCAGTTCTGTTCACGTGAGGATCATACAACCTTTATGCCAGACTGTTATTATTTGATTTTAGACACAAAAAGACTCTCTATAGAATACATTGAGTTGTATTATTTTGTCACCATGTAGTAATAATAGTGTGACGAGTTTCAGGTCTTTGTCTCTGAACACCAAGACAAAGAGCACTTATAGAGTCAGGTCTCACCCACCAATAGTAAATACAACATTATGGACCTTTTATAGACCTTTTGATGCGAATGTGGTGCCTTGCTACTTGAATTGGCTGATTTAAAAGATATCTGCATTATTATTAAAAAAAAATAGTAATAACGGCTTTGTTTTTGTCCATGCCCTGGAACCCCAATTAATAATATATGGGCCGTTTTTATCTCAGTTTATTTTTTTTTTTGAGTGGTTCCTTGCTGATGTGGGAGGGTCAAAGGACAGTGGGACATTAACCCTGTAGCACCCTTGGTTCCAAATTTGCAAGATGAATTTCAAAGGTTGCGAAAAATAAGTTTGACTTTTTGGTTTAATGCATTAATTAATGTATGACCCAAGAACTCAAGGAAGCAAACATGCTACATTGACAAACTTGGTCATCAAATGCCGCTTTCCAAAACTTTTTTTCTTAACCATCCCCATTGACAAAAAAATAGTGCAGATGATTTTATTCAACAAATATTTTTATGTCTTTCTATGGTGTTAATGGACATTTCTGGACATTGTTCCTGCTTGATTCTCTGATCTGCTGTTGGCGAATCAACAGAAAAAAGTGCAGTTGTGATTTAGGGCTGTACATAAATGAATGTAATTGGATTGAATTTCCCTTTGTTCAACAGTAGCCAATGACAGTGACAGACTATTGTGTCTAACAGTTATGCATTATTGACTAATGTGTGTCTGGAATACTGCCACTGTACTCTGAGGGTCCACATATGATTTAACAGCGCCCTCTGCTGGGGATAAGACGAACACTCAATTTGTACACAAGCTGACGCTCTATCCCTGCTACAAAAATGAGAATAAGGTGAAGCTACGAACGCTGAGGCTGAAGTGGGCAGAGAAAGGGGTCGTATGAAGCAAATACTCTCAGTCAAACACAATATAATTTAATACACTGCAAAAAGTGATAAATGTGTCTTAGTTTGAGCACATTGTGACTGCTTTGAAACAAGATTTTCCAACGGTACAAAACAAAATTATCCTTTTTTAAAAAGATACAAGAAATGTCTCAGTAACAGTTGGAATAAGAATAAATGGATTTGTACCACTGGGGAATCTGGTTTTAAGACAGTCAGGAGAAAAAAAACATTTGATTCAAGCAATTATTACCTCATGCTTTATGATGTTTTTGCCATGTTCAGTGAAGTGTCAGTATCCAGCCTGCAGCAGCTCATCACCCCTTTCCAAGTGGCTCCCCAAAATACAGAACTATTTGGAATATTCTGCTTCTCATCTCTACAACTATCTTTCAAAAGAGTTACAATAGCTTACAAAACGGAAAACATGGCACGTCACCATTATAAAATGTCTTTTGGACTGCTGAAAAGGATTCAAATTCATTTCAATTCATTCGTTTAAAGTATCAAACCCCAACAGGAGTCGATTCGTCAACAACAGATCAGTGAATCAACTCTGGCCTTAGACGCTCCTGCATCAGAGAGGAACCACTCAAAAACCCAGTGAGGAGGGAAGTGAGAACCCCTGGGGAGGCCCATGGAGAGAGGGATCCGCTCCCACAGCAGATTGTAGATCCAAGACTGAGGCTCGTGGACATAGGAGGGAGCTGCAACATTTACAGCCTATACGTCAAATGAATATGTATGATCTGTATACCCCCAAAATAAATACAAAGTCAGACAAGTATGATTATTTTATTACCTTTTAAACATCATTCTTCTTTTTCAGATAAATAAATTATTCAATTTGGTAATACTTGTTCAGACCCTCTGTAGACTGGTCAATGGTCACTCATTGACCAGTCTATAGATTTTAATGGCAGGTATTAGCGATGTCACTTATACCTTTTTACAGGATTCTCCCTAACACAGAGCAACACAGAGCAACACAGAGCAACACAGAGCGACACAGAGCAACACAGAGCGACACAGAGCAACACAGAGCGACACAGAGCAACACAGCAACACAGAGCCACACAGAGCACGCTGCAGAGCTGCTAAGTACAGACAGTATAGAAATGTGAACTCATTCTGTAGCTCAGAACACTACATAAACAGATTTTAATCTAGTTATGTGTTTTACCGAACATTTAGTAAAAACAGCCAATCTATAGTGGTCCTAGTGCCCCACGCACACACACGCACACACACGCACACACACGCACACACACGCACACACACACACACACACACACACACACACGCTTTACTGCTGCAGCCGCCCAACTTTAGCTCCTGGTGTTCCCTGAGGTCTCCCATCACAGTAATAACCAGGCCCTGCCCTGCTTAGCTTCTCTTGTTTAGATGTGCAGATACAGTATTTGTGTTTTCATCTATTTTGGTGCAGCGCCAAACGGTACAAATGGATCATTCAGACTAATAAACGTATTCATCCATCCGAAGATTGTTTTTCAAACCAATGTGTTTTTAGAAAGGGTTAAACGAGTCCATGCGAGAGTCCAGAGGACCCAGAGGCCCCAGAGGGACAGAGGGACAAGTCCAAGTCCAAGTCCGAGTCCAGGAGAGAAGTCCACAACATCCTCGACCTCCAGAGTCCTCTGTGTTTGTGGCACAGCACGACCTACTCCTCATCCTCAAAACAGCTGTGGAGAGAGACAGGCTCATCAGAGAGGGACCAGAGACCAGAGACCAGAGACCAAGGACCAGAGAGCAGAGAGCAGAGACCAGAGACCAAGGACCAGAGACCAGAGACCAGAGACCAAGGACCAGAGAGCAGAGAGCAGAGACCAGAGACCAGAGACCAGAGACCAGAGACCAAGGACCAGAGAGCAGAGACCAGAGACCAGAGACCAAGGACCAGAGACCAAGGACCAGAGAGCAGAGAGCAGAGACCAGAGACCAAGGACCAGAGACCAGAGACCAGAGACCAGAGACCAGAGAGCAGAGAGCAGAGACCAGAGACCAAGGACCAGAGAGCAGAGACCAGAGACCAGAGACCAGAGACCAAGGACCAGAGAGCAGAGAGCAGAGACCAGAGACCAAGGACCAGAGACCAGAGACCAGAGACCAGAGACCAAGGACCAGAGAGCAGAGAGCAGAGACCAGAGACCAAGGACCAGAGACCAGAGACCAGAGACCAGAGACCAGAGACCAGAGACCAAGGACCAGAGACCAGAAACCAGAGAGGCCAGAGACCAGAGACCAAGGACCAGAGACCAGTGTCCAGAGACCAGAGACCAAGGACCAGAGACCAAGGACCAAGGACCAGAGACCAAGGACCAAGGACCAGAGACCAAGGACCAGAGACCAAGGACCAGAGACCAGAGACCAGAGACCAGAGACCAGAGACCAAGGACCAGAGACCACAGAGACCAGAGGCCAGAGACCAGAGACCAGAAACCAGAGACCAAGGACCAGAGACCAAGGACCAGAGACCAGAGACCAGAGACCAGAGACCAGAAACCAGAAACCAGAGACCAAGGACCAGAGACCAGAGACCAGAGACCAGAGACCAGAAACCAGAGACCAAGGTCCAGAGAGACCACACAGACCAGAGGCCAGAGAGACAAGAGAACACAGAGACCACAGGACAAAGGACTAGAGAGACCAGGAGAGTTGGTCCACTAGTAAGAGTTTCCCTGCACTGTTTAGTAAATGAGGCCCAGTGACCAGAGGGAGGACAGGGACCAGAGGGAGGACAGGGACCAGAGGCAGGACAGGGACCAGATGGAGGACAGGGACCAGAGGCAGGACAGGGACCAGATGGAGGACAGGGACCAGAGGGAGGACAGGGACCAGAGGGAGGACAGGGACCAGAGGGAGGACAGGGACCAGATGGAGGACAGGGACCAGATGGAGGACAGGGACCAGATGGAGGACAGGGGACAGGTGTTCACTTGCCTGGTGCCGACCTTCATCAGGCTGATGGCGCGGGCCACTGCAGGGCTGGGCATGGGCAGCTGGCCTGGGCGGATGGGCTTGGCTAAAACAACAGATACACACAAACAGATCAGTCAGTGGTCTGAGGGAATGACGCACAAAAGTAAAAGTACTGCAATATTTAAGCAGTACTTTCTGATCCTTTATGAGCAGACAACCCTCTCATTGGCTCTAACCCATGCCCTGTGTCCCAACTTCAACAAGATAATTAAAATAAGGAGTACATCCTAAAACTGTATGAACTATTTCAGTTTTTATGCAGAACCTGTTTTTATATTTGATGCGGAATTGGACCAAACAGAGACTTCAAAGCACTTTCTGTTTATGTTCTCTTATGTTTCTTTTTATTTTTAATCCTTCATGCAGATCTCTGAAGCTCTGTATCCCACAGAACATTTCCCTTGGGGACAGTAAAGTGTTTCTTATCTTCAGAACACATGCTTATTACGCAGCTTCATCTTTTTAGATTTTTCATTATTCTTCATCAAAAACACACCTGGAGTTATTTTTCTACTGGCACTTTTCGACTGGTCCACATTGATAGGGCTGGGTGCTGTCAGATATACTTTCATACTTTTTAATGCTTGGTTTGCTCTACTGTCATTTTTTAAAGTTCTGTTTGAAGTAATATATTCAGGAAAAGTGGAGAAAACTGTAGATTTAACCATTTTATTATCAAGTATTATTGTCAAAAATGGCAAAAAATTGGCTAAATGTTTCTTCATTTTTGCACATTTGGACTGCTTTCAAATGAGATGAGCCAATGGGACGAAGCAAAATTATCTTGTTTTAAAGTCACAAGAAATGTCTCCCTTGGAATGACTGTCCTTGAAATAAGACTAAATGGCTTTGTCCCGTTGGCAAATCTTGTTTTAAGACAGTCAGAATGTACTCGAGTAAGGATAAAAAACAATCAATTCAAGCAATTATTACCTCATATTATACATATTTTTGGACAACTCCAGATATATTTTTGATGAGTACAATTACAAGCTCAAAAAAATGACAGTTCCGCAAAATACATGTCCATTAAAATAACCTGGCGGATAGTATGGTTTTGTACAGACCTATAGAAGCTCTGCGGCCCATGTTCTTGGGGCGCGCCGCGGTCTCCTTGATGCGCTCCATCTCCTGCAGGTGGCGCTGGCGGTCTTTGGCGGCGGTCTCCTTGGCCTCCTTCAGCGCGCTCTCCAGGGCCTTGACGCGCTCGATGGTGGCCCTGAAACGCTTCTCCAGAGCCGGGATCTCACAGCGAAGGTCAGCATTGTCCCTCAACAGCTGAGGCAAAAGCACTAACAGCATGAGGCCTCAACACGGCGGGGGGGGGGGCAAGTATCTCTGTGAAGGCCTCAATCATCCAAACCTAGGATTCTCAAGTTCTCAAAGCGCTAATTTTTTGGTTGTCAAATGTCGTTGAAGTAAGTAAGTAATGTTTATTTATATAGCGCATTTATTCTCTCATTTACATTCATACCTATTGTACAAGTTTTTAGTGGTAGGGGAAACCGGAGCACCCAGAGGAAACCTACGCAGACACAGGGAGAACATGCAAACTCCACTCAGAAAGACCCTGTTCCAACCAGGACTCGAACCCAGGACCTTCTTGCTAAGAAGCGAGAGTGCTATCCACTCAGCCACCGTGCCGCCCATGAAGCTTGATTCAAGCAGCAGCTTTCCTTCACGCAACAACCCTCCTCCTCCCCATCCCTTCCTTGTCCCGGGTGAGCTCTTTACACCCTTTTCATAATCTCTATCTACATTTCTCCTCCTGCAATTATCATGCAGTCTTCAGAGTTGTATGTGCATATCTATGTGGTGTAGATTATCCATACATCCATCCATTTTCTTCCCCTTAATCCATTTCTGGGTCGGGGAGGTGGCAGCCAGAGCTGCACCCAGTACACATAGCACCAGCCCCGCACTGATCCTCCTGCAGGTATTGAGTCCACAGGAGGTGTCAGATTAATTGCCAACCAATGAACAATTCAAATATTAGTCCTGTTTTGTCTGTTCGAGTCTGGATTGTCTATATTATAACCAGACTGACACTGTATCTACTCTTGTGTTAGATGTCTGCGCTTCCTTTTGAAAATGACTCCAGGTGAGATAAAAGGCTTGTAGGGTTCTATTGTTCTTCAGAGGACTTTTCCGGGCCCACTGAGAGGACCTGCACCACTTTCTCTCCTTTGCTAAGTTATTTTCATTCGTTTAACTTCACAGACTACACGCTGGTGCTATGTGAATTAAGTGGCAGCTCTGAATGCCACCCCATCGACCCAAATAATGGATGGATGGACCACACAGACGCATTACTGTTTCCCTGAATAATTTAATGGAGATGTTCCGTAACACTGGTGTAAAGTCAGAATGCTCACCTGCTTGTGGACCCTGGTGAGCTGCTCCAGGTTGTTCTCCAGGAAGTGGATCTTCTGCCTCTGAGCCGCACTGCTGTTCGGGTCGTCAGGGTCCAAGTTAGAGTTCTGCAGCACATATCCATCCACACACATGCACACACACACACACACACACACACACACACACACACAGATATTGCACAGTCCAATATCTGATTTACGGCTGATTTACAGAGATGCAGAGATGAAGGTCCAGACGGTCCACAACGGCTTCACATGAATCCTCCTTCTATACACACCTGTACTAACCACAAACACTGCCCTCACATCAATCAGCTTTTAGCTCGTGCAGCTACCAGCACCACTACCACCACCACTATTCTAGACCCCTGTTAGATTTCTATGTGCAGACGTCATGCTATCTTCTTCTACATTCTACATGATGGTTTTACACTGGTCCAGACGGGAGCAGAGAGGATTTATGGTCCAAACCAAGAGGATCAGGTGAAAATCCACTGGAGGAATGCTAACTTTTTGAAAAATGCTAATGAAGAATTTAGCATTTTACTTTGGAGTAAAGCTGAGAAAATGGTCCGAACCAGGCGGCTGCTCCACCTTGTGACCCGTCCTGCTCCACCCAGAGGCTACTCCACCTCTCCTGCCTGTGACCTGAAGGGCTGTTGCAGATTATTACTATTTTTTAACTTTTTAGAATGATCAATTTTAATTTTTGTTTTTGCTGCTACTGGACACCTGAATTTCTCTTACGGGGATCAATAAAGAATCTATCTATCTATCTATCTATTATTTTGTCTTACAAGTACAGTATCTACAATGAATATTAGTATATACCCCATAGTACAGGACAGGCATGCAGCAGAAGGCTCGTACCTTTCGCACTCTGGACGACAGGTCCTGGACAAAGAGCCTCCTCAGACTGTGCAGCGTCTGCAGCTCCCGCACCTGTCACACAGAACACACTGATCAGGACTCTTACAAATGTAGCTCCTACATTTAGAACATGTATAAAATATGTTACTAAAGACAGACACAATCTTTGTCTGTATCACATTATTCTTGTGAGTAAAACGTCAGTTACACTAGAGCAAGCAAACTTTTAAGTTAGAGGGTCACTTTAGTTCACCAGTAATGTCCCCGGGGCCGACAAAGCAGATTATAGACTGAGACTAGAGTTTGCTGAATGACAAATGTTTAGTTTCTCGTCAGCTATAGTTGCGCTAAATATGGAATTTACAACAAGCACAATCAAAAACGAATGTCGCTATATACAAACAAACGATTTGAGAGGTCCTGAGCTTCACAGCATGCCCCTTGTAATGGAGCTGAAGGTGGCTGGATGATGCTGTGAACTTGTATTTATGATCTCGATGGCTACTTTGGGTGAGCAGGGGGCCCCATAACATGACACAGAGGGCACAGTTGGCCCGTGGGCCTTGACATGACTGCACTAGAGCATGGGTCTCCAACCTAATTCATTCGGAAAGCACTTAAATGTCTAAAGGACTAAAAGATTTAGATTGAACAGTGAAAAAAAACTTATATTAGGTACTGTTATTATCTATAGTCATTATTTCTAATATATTACCACTTTAGTTTTTATTTACAAAAGTTGTGGGCATGTGGATCACATATTTTGGAATATTTTGCACATCTAAGTAATTTCTAAATCCTCTGGTGAGCTACTTGGAAGGGGGTGGTGTGCTACTAGTATCTCCTGAGCTAAAGGTTGGAGACCCCTGCACTAGAGTGAATCCAGCCCGGTTCTAGCTCACTGAAGGTGGGAGGGCAGACCGTTATATTTCAGAATCAGCATACTATTAAAGGAACATTATTTCCTAGTGTTTTGGACAGTGGATGCTTTGATGAACTTTGATCACACGCATGTCCTCAGGTCTCGAGACAGGGAGAGGTTCTGAGAAACCATCCGTGATGAAGAGTTCAGAGGAGCTGTGGGCCTTGTGTGGAGCCACAGTCACACACGTGTAATCGGCAATACTTGTTCATTCATGTGATTACCCAGTGGAGGCACTTATAACAGCGAGGGAGGGGTTAGTAAGTGTTTTGGGCCTGTGTCTTGTCTGTGTGAATAAAAGTGTGTGTGCATTTGCGCATGCGTTAGTCGGCATGAGCCCCATTCATTTAAAGATCTATAAGTCCACAGCGGCTAAACTAGAAAAATTACTCCCCTCAGGAATGACACACATCTGGAACGTAGCGTTGGGCCAAGAGCCAACTTTTGTACAATCCTGTGAAGCCGTTTTTGCGAGGAAAGAAGGCAGCATACAAAAGCATTGGGTAATTCTGTTTCTGGGTACACCCCACCGGCTAGGAGTGAGATTGCAGCATGTCAGCGGACCTGCTCATGGACGTTTTGGGGCCGGGACCCAACTGCACTGGTCCAAAGTCTGTGTTGTTGTCTGTGATGTATTATTTTGCTGCCTCCTGCCACTGTGTGGCGCTGCCTCAGTTTGCATACCCTGGGGGGTAGTAAATATACACAGGTGATGTAGTGTGAAGGCATACACCTTTTGACCGTTGTCTGTTACCTTTGTTTATAGTGTTCAATGAATTCAATTCAAATTCAAATATGTGTATTATGAGTTTTATTGTTATTATGTATGTGTGAAATATGTGTATTATTAGGATGGCAATAAACGATTGTGGAGCACAGTATTTTGCTCCAGTGTGAGGGGGAGAGACTCGCATCCAAGACACTGCATCCAGCGGGACCTTGTTCAGGTCCGTATCATAACATCTGTAGCATGCATCACATCTGGCTGTCCTTTTGTACTACAGCATTATGGCCCTATTACAGTGACATTGGTCTAACTTTATTTTAATTTGTTTGTGTCAAAAAGTTAGATTGAACATTACTGTATTTTTGAGACTCAGTAAACAATTTCAACCCGTTTAATCGGTAACTGGTCGTACCGATATCATTCCTAAACATCACATTCACTCGTCCACAGAACCCACATGACTCCAGCTGCCATGGAGTGAGTCATGCTCACCACAGTCTCCTCCAGGCCCTTGAGGTCCTGTCTGGCCTGTTCTCTTCTGTCCGAGAGCGCTCTGCACAAGAACAACACACAAACATGTTTAACACTTGTTCAACTTTCCATAAAACACACAGAACACAGACAGGATGAGAGCAGGAAATGATAATCGCTGCATCTTCAATAAATTTAAGAATAACATCATATTTCTTTGATAATAATCTTTTATAAAAAAATAGAGTCTGATCAAAACAAATCACTCGGCACATGGTTTTCTACGTGCCATTGTGTCAAAAGGATTCTGAAATCCTGAAAAAAAAATTATTTTCATTTGAAAGAAGTAGTTCCTAATTTTGGGAAATTCTTTTATATGCAATAGACATGTAACAGTGTAGATTATCAATAAATGCCCAGAGGTATGAGATTATAAAGTGGAAGATGTATACAGAGACGATTGTAACGGGCGGGGGCAGTGATGAGTTATGTGTAAATGAGTCCAACTGAAAAGGGGAAGAAACTGTTCTTATGACAGGAGGTTCTAGTCTGGATTGGATCGTAGGTTTCTACCATGGACTGTATATATTAACGGACAGAGTCACGCCTATCTCCGCCGTTCTAACTAATGGACCAAAAAATGTGCTCTACTGGAGCAATCCAAAATGGCCGCGAGTGGTACCGCCCACAAGAAAATTGTGAAAAAACGCATCTGCGCATGCGTCAGCCGGCGCAAGCTCCATTCATTTGAACAAGAGACAGCGAGTAAACTAGAGTGGTCTAAAAAAAATCCACCCCCTCAGCATTTACACACATGTGGAACTGAGCTTTGGGCCAAGAGCCAACTTTTGGTCCATCCTGTAAAGACGTTTTTGAGAGGTCTGCCAATGCTATATGTTAGCATTGGCTAATTCTTCTTCCCCATCGGCCCGGGGTGGTATTGCAAGCATGTCAGCGCACGTCATTTTGGCCACTTTTGAGCCGGGACCCGCCCCCACTGGTTTCTGCCTGAGGAGAGTGGTCCATGTCCAGGTGAGAGACCAGCCTGCCCATCAATCTCTGATCCAGTTCATATGGGTAAATTAGCTCTAATGAAATAAACCTGACATTAATGGACTTTATCAACATGTATGGACTGTGGTCACCAGCTCCTTATGAACCAATGGCTCTATGTGTTTGATTCTCTGATCTGTTTTGGTGAATCGACAGTTTTGTATAGTCCTTTGAGATAACTACTGTTAGGGCGATACAAAATTAAATTGAAACCTGCACACTTCCTTTGACAAACGCTTTTGCATCACTTCAATAATCTATTGACATATCCTTTCAAATGTGGAATCATAAGCTGAAATCCAGAACCACGTGTATTTGTAAATTCTTTTGAACGGCAGAGAAAGCGTGTGGAGACTGTATCAGAACATGCACTGACTGAAGCTCCTGCAGCTGCTGGCCCTTCACCAGGTCCGCCGTCTTCAGCTTCTCATGCTCCACTTTGAGGGTCTCCTGCTCCAGCGCAATCTTCTGGTTCAGCCTGCGGACAGACGCACACGCACACACACATGTTGAAGTAAGTCCTCTGTAAGATGAAGGGCAGTGGAGGTGTGTGGCGCTCACTCCTGAATCTCTGTGATCTGCTTGTCCTTGCTGTCCAGCTCGTCCCGCAGCTTACTGATCTGTTTCTGGTGCGCCTCTCTGTGGGAGCGGATCTGCCTCTCCACCGCGTCCTGGAGCACAATAATAATAATAATAATAATAATAATAATAATAATGAACCGGTTTTAAGTAGAGCTTTTCTGGACACTCAAAGACGCTTCACATCATTTCTCATTCACTTCATGCACGGTGGTGATAAACTACTACTGAAGCCACAGCTGCCCAGGGACACACTGACAGAAGCGAGGCAACAAGTACAGTATATGCAATTGTCCCCTCCGACCACCACCAAGCATTCACACACACACCCGACTAATTCTAGGCAAAGTGGGTGAAGTGTCTTGTCTATTTACACAACAATAGTTTGGCACTTTACAGCCGCCCCCCTTTTTTGTGGCACCTGTGTTCCCAGAGGTCTCCCATCACAGTACTAACCAAGCCCTGTACAACATATCCAGAAAACTTTTCCACTGCGTCCTGGTCGTGTGAGTGAGTCTTACCGTGAAGGAGAAGGCTTTCAGTGACGGCTGTGGGAACAAACACAGGCTGCAGTGAATGTGTGACCTTCTCCCATGAACACTCCATGTAGTAGTCGTAGTAGTGGCAGTGGCAGTGGTAGTGGTAGTGGTAGTGGTAGTGGCAGTGGTAGTGGTAGTGGTACTGGTAGTAGTAGTAGTAGTGGTAGTGGTAGTGGTAGTGGTAGTGGTAGTGGTAGTGGTAGTGGTAGTGGTAGTGGTAGTGGTAGTGGTAGTGGTAGTGGTAGTGGTAGTGGTAGTGGCAGTGGTAGTGGTAGTGGCAGTGGTAGTGGTAGTGGTAGTAGTGGTAGTGGTAGTGGTAGTGGTAGTAGTAGTGGTAGTGGTAGTGGTAGTGGTAGTGGTAGTGGTAGTGGCAGTGGCAGTGGCAGTGGTAGTGGTAGTAGTAGTGGTAGTGGCAGTGGTAGTGGTAGTAGTAGTGGTAGTGGTAGTGGTAGTGGTAGTGGTAGTGGCAGTGGCAGTGGTAGTAGTAGTGGCAGTGGTAGTGGTAGTGGTAGTGGTAGTGGCAGTGGTAGTGGTAGTGGTAGTGGTAGTGGTAGTGGCAGTGGTAGTGGTAGTGGTACTGGTAGTAGTAGTAGTAGTGGTAGTGGTAGTGGTAGTGGTAGTGGTAGTGGTAGTGGCAGTGGTAGTGGTAGTGGTACTGGTAGTAGTAGTAGTAGTGGTAGTGGTAGTGGTAGTGGTAGTGGTAGTGGTAGTGGTAGTGGTAGTGGTAGTGGCAGTGGTAGTGGTAGTGGTAGTGGTAGTGGCAGTGGCAGTGGTAGTGGTAGTGGTAGTGGTAGCGGTAGAAGTAGCAGACCCCACACCTCTCTCTCATCATTTGCTCTGGTTACCTTGGCGACAGACTGGTTCTCAAACTGACTCTCGTTCTCCTTGTCTCCTGCGTTGACTTTCTCTGGATAAGAAGAAAAACATCAGAAACGTTATCAAGGCAAGGCAAGGTTATTTGTATAGCAAAATTCATACACAAGGCAAACAAAACAAGCCATTAGAATCATAAATAATCACAGTACATTAAAAAGATAAAACAAATCGTTTGCAGCTTAACAAAACTGATTTGAACGTTGTCAGAGAAGAAGCCTGTCTCACGTTTTCAGGGAGACAGAAAGTGTCACATTATTATGCAGTGTTGGGTGTAGCTTAATTACAAATACCTAGTTACTTAAGTAGTGTTACACATTACTTTAGTAAAGTTTAGTTAAAGTAGCAATATGTAAGATTTTCATGTCAAGTCATCATTAAAGGGCCTTAATCTGTCAAAAGGAATTAATAAAACATGTTTTTTCAAATACTTTTCTAACTGATTACAGCAGTTCTAGGATAGTCAAATTTCCAAATTATTTTTGTAGCCCCTGAATCTTAGTTATTGTTTTCATTTTGATGTCCCGCCTTCCACCATTTTACTAATCAGAAAGTCCTTGATCCAGGTTGCCAGAACTCACTGTGTTGAGCTAATCTCACTGGTAAAGTAACATGTGGCGCAGAACTAAAAAGGTTGTTATGATTCTCAAATCATTAACGACAAAACAAAGAATAAAACAAGGATTTCTATATTTATGAAAAAGGTGTTGGTTATAGATTTGTTGTTGACAAAACTCTTGTCTATTGAGATAAAATGATCCCAGATGGATTCGTCTGCATATCTGGCAACCTGAGTCAGAGAGAGTGGGAGAGGCTGCAGTACCACTTTTGGCCAGATTATTACATACTGCTCCTTTAAGAAATGAGGTGTGAGACAGGCCTCATCCTCGGGGATGTTGAAGTCCAGGCAGAAATCTGTCTTATTCAGCTGTGCATGTGAGCACACTAAAGCATTTACCTTTTAATTGTTTTAACTTAATCATAGAGGATTTTATATTTAAAGAATGTTACTGCTTTGAATATCTATGACTACATTTATTCTATGGCAGCAATAGTAGATGAGAGGTGTGTGATTGTAGATTGTAGATGTATGTGTACGTGTACGTGTGTATGTGTATGTGTGCACGTCCGTCTGTGTGTGTCTTTGTGCGTGTATGTCTGTGTGCAAGTGTGCGTGTGTGTGTGTACCTGACAGCCCCTGGGCCAGGCTCAGCTCTCCCTGAGCGTTCAGTCGGACGATCTCCTCATTGAGAGAGTCCACAGTCTCCTCCAGCTCTCTCTTCTTCAGCTCCAGACTCTGGAGATTCTCTGACATCACCTTTATCTTTGCTTCTTGCTGGAGACAAAAGACAACGGCTAATATGAAGAGTTTGTTCTAAATCCACACACACTAAATAGTCTCATATTTAAGGACATTTATGAACGTCTATAAACATTTGGACATCGGTCACTCTCCCCGTATGGCTCTATGTGATTGTCATTGTTGAATTTCCTGTGTTTAAACTGTTTGATTCTCTGATCTGTGTTGGCAAAATGACAACTTTATAAAGTCCTCCAAAAACAAAACTACTGTTGTAATTAAGGGCTATACAGAAATGAATTCCATTGAATTGAACTGAATCATCATAAGCTAAAGTGTGGTCTGACATCTCTGTTTCTAGAAAGATTCATATGAGGTTCTAGAGGCTGTTTCAGGACCTCCTTCTTCTCTGTGAGGACCAACATGTTGCTGGGGCTACGTTCGGCTACGTTTGCCTTTAATTTTAACATTTCTTTATCCCGCCACATTAAGGCATCTGTTTGGTCAATAATTATGGCTCATTTATTTGTATTTTATACATTTTATACTTGCTTCATTATCATGCTATGTTATATGTTATACTTAAATGTTGCTTCTTTATTATGCTAAAGTTGGAGATTTCATACTTACTCTTGCCTCTTTTTAATACTAAAGCATTTTAGTTAAAAAGTTAAAAAGACAGAAGACAACTATACCAGTGCATCCATATCCTCCACTGATTACGGGCCGCACCACAACGGATATCAACCAGTGACACAACTAGTTCATCGACAGACCTGTTCAATCGTCCAATGAAGCTGTACATGAGCACCCACAGTGTGGCCTGTAAGGTATTGACTCTTGCAGTGACAAACATCTCACTCGCACTGGTCCATCTTGGCCTCCTGAGAAGCACTCTGATGGCATCATTATAAGCCACCTGCAGCCTTTGAGTGTAATGCTAAAGTCATAGATTCTAGGCTTTCTTCCTTATTATGCTAAAGCTATAGATTTTTTAAGTTAAGAGATTTTTTATGTTATATTATATTGCGTTATTGTTCATTTATCTTGTACTGTGCGCTGCTCAGTCCTACTGCTCTGTATCTGGAGATGAAACACAAAAATTTCCCTACTGTGGGACAAATACAGAATCTCTTGATCGTAATCTGTGACCTGGGACCTGTGCTTGCCTGTAGGTGGCGCTGTTACCTGGGAGATGCGCAGTTGGCAGGCCGTCAGCTCCCTCTCAGTGTCCTTGGTCCTCTGCGTGCTCTCGGCCTGGGACCTCTCCAGCTGTTTGCTGCGCTTGACCATGGTCTTCACCTCCGACTTCATCTTACTGATGTAGAGGCGCGCCATGGTGAACTCCTCGTCGATCACCCCAGTGCTGTCCTGCTGCTGAGGAAACACACACTTTACAACAGAGAAGTGTTTATGAGAGCCATGACTGTGTTCTCTCATCATCCAGAAACTAACATGTACTACAGGTGTCAGTGACTGCAGTCAGGGGAGGCAGGTGAGGCCCGGGGTGACGTACAGCCTCAGCTCACAGCGGGAGGAGGCCGCGCAGTCACTATTATATGTCGAAATAAGAAGTCGTTCGGTGTAAATGTGGTAAAGGAAAAAAATAAAACATAAAAAAGCGATTTGAAGGCAAAAAGGTGGAGCTACATGTTTGTTCCTGGTATCAGCGTGGATGGATCCAAACGCAGCTCCAGGTCTGTGACTCATGCAAAAAAAGAGATTATTGGCTCGTACAGTTTTCTCTGTTTACTAAATAGGATCTCTACAGCTTAGCGGATGGGTCTTGAATTGTGTTTTTGACAACATATATATATATATCTTTTCACGCTCAAACACGGCTTGAAAAATCCCCAGGTGAGGCTCACTTGCCTCAGGGGGGCGATCGTGAGCCCAGGATTCGGTTAAATGCAATTCCACCAGACAAGCGTCCTTGTCCTTTATCTACGGACGGGCACACAAAGGGCAGCTACAGGTTTGGCTAACATACATGTACAACATTTCAATATGTTTTAAAATCCTTTTGGATCAATGCTATGTGTCCAATGACGATAGGAATAATAAGGATAGGAAGTGAAGGGTCAGAAGGTTGATGAGAAATTGGATGCACCCGAGAGTCGGCTGCGGACAGCTAGGTTAGCTAACTCCCGCTCTGATGAGTAGCTCTTATTGGTCAGAGCGCGGCCGAGCCCCTCTGTGCACGTGCATGAGAGCCACACACGTGTATTTGGCATGGGAGACCATCCACTGCGCAGAACCGGGAGGTCCAGACGATGCCCAAATACAGGCGAGTTTCCCATAGATCTTTACGAGTTCCAGACTACTTCCGCTAATCAGCCCCCATGCCGGCTCAATGCGCCACTGAGCACAACCATTCATTTGAATACGGCGCCTTCTTGGATCGCCGGGACTTGGGCAACTTGCGTTCGTTTACTTGGTTCAGAGAGTTATTGAGCGACGGCGTGCATGACGGCGGCGTGTCTGGGTTAACGAAATCCTCCAGAGACGGTCAGAATATGGCGAGTTCCACTATTTGCTACAAGAACTGCGGCCCGATGAGGTGCAATTTCAGCAGCACTTCCGTCTCACGATGGCCCAGTTCAATGACCTGTTGGGCCGCGTAGGTGCACAAATATCTCACCAGAACACTACAGACGTTCCATCTGTCCATCTGCCTGGGGGTGAGTGAGTGTGTGTCTGAGTGTTTGTCTGTGTGTATGTTTGTGTGTGTCGTTGTCTCTGTGTGTGTGTCTTTGTGTGTGTGTTTGTGTGTCTGTGTGTCTTTGTCTCTGTGTGTGTGTGTGTGTATTCTTCATGTATAAAGCGCCTTTCACAGACCAGAGTCACAAAGCACTTCTCTATTGTTACGGGACATAACAATAGACATGGTTGTCTCTCACTCCATAAGTGCACATTCAGTTAATGTCTTCTTATTTTTTCAGGTTCCTTGCCACTGGGGATTCATATTGTACCATCGGGAGCAGCTTCAGGGTCGGTGTGTCCACTGTCTCCAAAATTGTCCCAGAGGTAGTTACAGCCATCTGGGACTCTCTGGTGGAGGAGTTCATGGCGCTCCATTGCAGGGGAGTTCGAGAGGCGTTGGAACTTTCCTCTGTGCTGTGGACATGTGCGCATGAAGGCCCCTCCGAACGCTGGGTCCTTGTACTACAGCTACGAGGGGCACCACTCCCTGGTGCTCCTCGCTGTTGTGGACGTCCAGTACCGCTTTTGCGTGGTTGACGTGGGGGGATATGGCAGGACCAGTGATGGGGGGATCCTGGCCAACTCTGCCTTTGGTCAAGCCCTGCGGGAAGGCACTCTCCGGCTGCCCCCTGACCAGTACCTTCCAGGCGCAGACCACAGAGGGCCCCAGCCCTATGTCTTTGGGGCCGATGAAGTGTTCCCCTGCAGAGGCACATGATGCGTCCTTATCCCGGCCGTGGCGGTCTTCTTCCTTATCCCCCTAGAAAGCCGCACCTTTAACTACCGCCTCTCCAGGACTCGGCTGGTAGTGGAAGACACTTTTAGGATTTGGACATCCCAGTTACGGATGTTCCATCGGGAGCTGGAGATCCGTCCCAAAGTTGTGGAGAAGTGTGTTAAGGCAACCTGTGTCCTTCACAACTTCATGCGGCCGTCAGCAGAAATGGCAGCGCTTCGACAGGCAGGACCTGCAGCACCCGACCCACTTTCTAATCTGGGTTGTATCAGAGCCAACTACGCTGCCAGAGCGGCATTGAGATTGAGGGAGGTTTTCAAATCCCATTTCAGAGGAATGAGCAGTGCACTGGCAACCCACGTAGTCATTTCCCAAGAAAGAACACAAAGTAGTGGAAACAGGAAAAACTTTTGCTTGTTTCTACTCTGTGAAGTTATATGAGCTATTCTGTTCTTTCAAGAACACATGAATTACTGCAGCTGACCACCTTCATGTTTTTCACCATTTTATGAGTGGTAATAAAGTTTTACTTGAAGTGTTGCTTCTGTTTAATGTGTGTTTTTAATTCAAATGCTTGCAGCCACTTACTAAACAGTTTCAGCTAACGTGACGTGTAGTTTATTTAAAAGTGTAGTTCAAAGTACCTAGTTGTGTTTTGAAACGTTGTTCTATGGTCTTTTCTATTCAGCCCCAATTTTAGTCAATTACCATTCAGACATTTACAGTAGCATCAGGGTTGAATATTTCACTAGTGGAAAACAAACTACCACATACTTTGATTAGTCCATTCATACTTTTTTGCAAAAGGACACATTTTGCACAAGAAACAATGCATTTCCCACAGCTCAGTAATGGAACGGAGGTCGGCCAAAACATGAATGGACGATTAAGTTGAAAGTGTTGCTATTGTAATAGAATTAGTAAATATGTAATACAAACAATAGTTTGTACAGTGCCTTGCGAAAGTATTCGGCCCCCTTGAACCTTTCAACATTTCAACACATTTCAGGCTTCAAACATAAAGATATAAAATTTAATTTTTTTGTCATGAATCAACAAGTGGGACACAATTTATTGGATAATTTAAACTTTTTTAACAAATAAAAAACTGAAAAGTGGGGCGTGCAATATTATTCGGCCCCTTTACTTTCAGTGCAGCAAACTCAGTCCAGAAGTTCAGTGAGGATCTTTGAATGATCCAATGTTGTCCTAAATGACTGATGATGATAAATAGAATGCACCTGTGTGTAATCAAGTCTCCGTATAAATGCACCTGCTCTTTGATAGTCTCAGGGTTCTGTTTAAAGCGCAGAGAGAACCATGAAGACAAAGGAACACACCAGGCAGGTCCGAGATACTGTTGTGGAGAAGTTTAAAGTCGGATTTGGATACAAAAAGATTTCCCAAGCTTTAAACATCTCAAGGAGCACTGTGCAAGCAATTATATTGAAATGGAGTAGTAGCTGTAGTTATCTGTAGTTCATCCAGAGCGATCATGGGCCTCTTGGCTGCATCTCTGATCAGTCTTTTCCTTGTTTGAGATGAAAGTTTGGAGGGACGGCCGGGTCTTGGTAGATTTGCAGTGGTCTGATATTCCTTCCATTTCAATATAATTGCTTGCACAGTGCTCCTTGAGATGTTTAAAGCTTGGGAAATCTTCAGTTTTTTATTTGTTAAAAAAGTTTAAATTATCCAATAAATTTCGTTTCACTTCATGATTGTGTCCCACTTGTTGATTAATGACAAAAAAATTAAATTGTATATCTTTGTTTGAAGCCTGAAATGTGGCGAAAAGTTGAAAGGTTCAAGGGGGCCGAATACTTTCGCAAGGCACTGTACAGAAAGTCAGGATATGTTGAATGGATGGAATAACAAAACTGGAGATAATTCATGTCAAGGTACTGTATAGATATACTATAACAGTAAAGGGCTGCACCCACTGATTCCAAAGCCCAGTCGAAAAACTAGTGTAGTTAAAGTGTAAAAACACTTTAATAAAGTTAGAATTAACTACTGAAATAGTTGAATATAGTTCAAAAGAGGGAAGTACTTTCAAAATTCCGCCTCTTCACACACTGTACCGCTTCCTTCGGTTCATTAACCTACACCAAATAAAAGAATGATTTTATAGATTTAAAATTGTCAGTTAAATACTTTATTCACAACCGAGTTTAGAATATATATATATATATATATATATTTGATTTTGTTCTAGTACTCCACAATTGATAATACAAAATATGTTCCTGTTTGTTCGAACGTGACAGATATTTACGTGTACATGATCTGAGCTGTGGAGAATTCCACAATGTCAAGTTTGATGTGACTACCATTTCCATCTGTGCTGTAAAGGAGGGGGCAAAGAAGTACAAATAAGTCTAATGTATGGTACTTAAACTACACTTCTTAATGGCAAGATGATAAAGAACCTAAATAATATATTAAAACAGACAAAAGATTCACACAACACTTTTATTTACAAATATACAAGAGCACACCCTCCCTCTCATAAAGTTTTGGTCGCATGGCTATCACTGGTCATTCGATGGCACCACATTCTCCTGGTTTTCCAAGAGATCAAAGAGTATGTTGTATATTTTACATTTGACTCTGTCTCTTATACTGGGCTTCAATCTCCCCAAGAGAGGGACCAAACTATCCGCAAAGACTTGGTCCTCCGACCTCTGAGATGAGGATAGACAGGTCTGCAGGAAAGCGGAAAGCAGCTGTCTCTCATAATCGTAGACCGGAGGATCGGCATTCCTGGTCCTCTTCCGTCGTGGGCCTGTTGAACAGGAGAAATTACATGTTTAGTAATCTTTAGTAATTTTTATTTATATACCGCCTTTTCACTGCAGATCGGAGTCTCAAAGCGGTTTACAATTGTTAATTATGGGCATTTGTCTCTCACTCCACACAGAGGCTCCAGTACAGGAGGCACATGCCAGACATGCCTATTGGACATATTTTTAGTGGTAGGGGAAACCGGAGTACCCGGAGGAAACCTACGCAGACACGGGGAGAACATGCAAACTCCACTCAGAAAGGCCCTGGTCCGATCGGGATTCGAACCCAGGACCTTCTTGCTGAGAGGCGAGAGTGCTATCCACTCAGCCACTGTGCCGCCCGAGAAATTACACTCTACGGACAAGAGCTGTAACTGATCGTAGTGAAGTAGGACACCAAGTATGGCCAGGACTCCACCGGGCGAGTCTCCGTTGATGCGCGTTGGCTGCTGCCCGTCAGATGTCCGCAAAACGGAATAGTGGCCAAACCGGCTGCAGCAGAACGCAGCTCTGGGCTGTGCGTTAATCAGCCCCGCGGGGCTTTGTTTTAAATAGAAGTGGTGTGTGATTTGTATGAACCGTGGCAATGATCTATGGAAAGCACGGCATATTGAAGCATCGCGGACGTCGCGATGGATGAGCAATTGGAAAAAGGGGAGAGAGAAAAGAACTCCAACATTGTAGATCTGTCTCACAACAATAAGTGCAGTAGCTCTGTGGGTAATGTGTGAGGATGGGAGCGCGTGGCGGTGAGGAGAGCACCTCGGAGGTAGACTGGGACAGAGCGAGGTGTATGTAAAGTTTAGCGTATTAACATTACGCGAAAAATAAATTGTAGATTTGGGTGCAAGTGCGTAGGGTACACCCCTGATCCACACTTCGGCGTAGCCTGCATCTAAGCAGACTCTGGCGAAGGATATTGACCATAATTCTTTGCGGTACACACCAAAACATCAGGGAAATGCATTTAAGTGTAAGTTTTGGAATATAAATGCTGTATGAGTAAATACATTTTGCTAAGTTACTTGGAAAGAAGCATAAATGACTGAGAATTACGGACATTCTATGCTTACAATTTAATATTTTTTTTAATCCAAGCTTTCATATAACATTCAATTTAAACTTTACACTTAGTACAATAAACTTAGGATGTATACAACTTAATAGAACAGTTACCCACATTTAACTTAAAATTATACAGCTATCTCAAATTACGAATAACCAATATACATTTATTTTAATGTGTGTGGAGCAACTAATTTTGTTTCTCACAGGTTCGGACAAAATTAAAGTTTAGGTCTGAAAATGACCATCTCTGGACGTGTCGATGACGGAACCTGCACTCTGTGTGCACTGTCCCAATTCCGCTTTTTTGCACGCTTGTAACCTGCGCACTCAAACCCTTGCGTACACTTCAAATAAATGCAAACTTCGTAGATGGGTGCAGGGTGCAGTGTGGGCATTGGGCCTGGGCCTAAATGATTTGTGATGCTCACCTGGAGGCGTTTCCAGAGGTAAGGCTAGCCTGGAGTGGCAGGCAGAGGCAGCAACAGGACTCTGCGGGCCACTTGCGAATGTCGTCCCTGGCTCGGGAGATCTCACCCTCATGTCTTCTGTAAATGCATAGTCATTTTAGTAAACATAACAGATATGGCCATTGCATAGCATGACGTGATATAATTTTATAATCAGATGCCCCCATTTCAACTCAGTACAAACCTTCAAGGCGTGCAGAAGCCCCCTCTCCAACAAGAGCCGGCCCTTCCTCCCTACTCTCCATATTGCTAGTGGTGGGGCGCGGGGTTGTGGTCGGGTCAAGGAAAGCCAGGGCACTGACGTACCTCCATTTAGACCCCTGCTCTGCTCCAGAGCCACTCCTCTGCACCGCTTTCCTTCTCTCCATATAAGTGTCATGCAGTAAGCTCCACTTCTTCTTGCAAAATTCGACTGCAACAAATCAGATATTAGTCAGAAAACGCGCCAAAATTCCCCTCGTATAACTAGCATAAACAAGAACCAGTTTCTGAATGAATGCTACTCAAGTAACTTACCAGGGAGGTTGAGCTCGTCCGCAACGGACTTCCACGCACGCTCCTTTTTCGGCATACTGCTGTACTCCGGAATGCTAACTTTCCACAGCTCGGGAAAGTTAGCTACGGCCACGATCAGACTGTCTACTGCGTGATCTTCCATGTCGAGTAAGACCGCTTTCTTGTCCATCCCGGGGTATATATCATGTGTACATGGCGTGATGACGTCAGCGGTGTGCGTGCTCTGTGATTGGTTGCTGCACCACCGTCTCGTGCGCGCGTCTATTTTCTGCTCTTGCCCCTCCCCCGCGCGTTTGCCGAGCAGTTTAGAGACACACATGCATTTCGACGCTCTGCTCCTAAGCGGCCTTAAACCTGTTTCTTGGCTGCTCTGTGCTCTCTGTTCACTCTGACAGGATCCCCTCTCGTCCTCCTCCTCAGCTCCTCTCGCCCTCTTCCTCCTCCTCCTCCTCCTCCTGCTCGCTCTGCCCCTCCTCCTCCCGGCCTTCTTCAGTTCACCTCAAGCCTAGTGCATTGACCAGATGCATCAACGTCATCCAGTCACGTGATTGTGAATGAGCTTACGGCGGAAGTATTGGAAACTAGCATTGCTGCGAGAGCAAAACGGACACAAATCTTAAAAACGGAGCTTCCTCTCCTAAATCGAGAAGTGGCTGCTTCAAGCACATGTTCGATTACGTTATAGGTGGAAGTAGGACATCAGGTCAGGGCTCACAAAGAGTGGTATTTGGAGAAGTTAAGGAACGCCTAACTGGATGTTGACCCGTACCTTCTCCCTCCAGTCTATTTTATCGATTAAATAAAATGTCTATTTTTGCCCGAATTCACCCTACATGATCTTTATCATTATCGTTAACAATGTATCCCCTCACACTGGAGCAGAGCAGGAGAAAAGCAACAATATATATATATATATGTTAGATATAAGTTATATATATATGTTAGATATAAGTTATATATATGTTAGATATAAGTTATATATATGTTAGATATAAGTTATATATATGTTAGATATAAGTTATATATATGTTAGATATAAGTTATATATATGTTAGATATAAGTTATATATATGTTAGATATAAGTTATAAGTGCTCTGCTCCATAGTGCCTCGTCCATGCTCCTGCAGCTGCTCCGTGCTTCCTTCCAATACACACACACGGACCAATCACAGCGGAGCTTCCTTGCGGCGACCCTTACGTAGTTAGAAAATGTCGATGCTGCGCGGCAGGCGACGTAAGGGCCTTGCGGTGACCAACGCGTTGCGCAAGTGACGTCACGTCACCTCCGTAAGCTCCGCGCGAGTATAAACTAGGCTTCACAGATTCTTCACTCCTCCGTGCGTTCGTAAAGTTTCCCGCCTGCTCCTCCTGCTAAGCCCCCTCAGCTCCCCAAAGATAACCCTATCCCTGTCGCCCTACAGTCTGACCCCGAACCCCCCATCCCTGGACCTTCCTTGGAGCCGGCGGTGTCTAGGCCCAGACACACAAACGCAAAAGGTCACATGAGCCGGACACAAAACATCAGTCTTCCTCCTCCCGTTGTTAAGAACTGATGCACTCTCTGTAAATATGTATGTAGTTGGATTCTTGTTTGATCCCTTTGGGAAAAAAACTCAAATACTAAAAAACATTTAGGCTAGTTAAGGTTATTTTTTTGCTGGATCCTTGTTTGATCCCTTTTATATTGTTGGAGTTTGTTTTGTTGGTTTAGCTTTGATTCACAGGTTTCTCTTTGGGATTGAAAAGAGGAACACGGACACAACTGGTGAGTACAGATTAAATAGTTATCGTCACATGACTTTACAAGACGTCTTCTATTTTAGATTTAAAAGGAGTTTGTGTGATTAAGTTCAATACAGATGAGTGCAGAAAGTTGAGAGACGAGGGAGGAGGAGGGTTGTCCATGTGTTCAGGGTAAATCAACCACATTTCATTTGTCCCTTGAAGTTTGCCTCACTTTAATGTTTTGACGTCTTATTTAGAGGACACAGCAGTGACCAGCACGTCCAGTTGACATTATAATATGTTTAAATATTTTGCAAACTTATCATTTACTTGGGATTCACCCAAGAGCCTTCCATGTACTGTATGTGGTTTAAAACCTTTATAGCTTTTATTCACAGGTTTCTTCAGTCCATGTTCTCTTTTGGCCTAAAAGAGGAATATGGACAAAGCATGTGAGTATAGGTTTAGTAAGGTTATTATCACATTACTTTTCAAGACTGCTTTGTTTTTAGATAAAAAAGAAGAGCAAAACATTGAACATGTAACAAACACGGAATGTACAGGTATGGCTACATTTGTCTCTGTTCAAGCGATGAAGCGCAGTCAATTCACATTTCACGTGTCTGATATTTTCCAGTGCTGTGGAACATTAGATGCAGACAGAGGAGGGTTACACCATGTGTCCACATCAAACACAGGTAGATCATCATATGAACATTTCAAGTCTCCCTCCTCTCACTTCAATGCGTTGTTGTTTTATTCAGGACAGACAGCAGTGACCAGGAGACATACATATACACTCAGAGGCCACCATTGTCATATGGACTTTTCCATGTGTTCCTCCCCTAACTTTACATTTCTGTCTTATTCATAGGACATCAGATGCTAGACAAGGTCCCAAGAAAAAACAGACGCAAAAAAAAGACCAGATGTAACACCAGATGTTACAAAAATGACAAATACCATAAACCAGCTGCGAGACAGAAGTGAGCAGAACCATGTGAGACAGTGGAGAGATGAAGTGGAGGAGGAGGGTTCAACCATGTGTTTATATCAAATACAGGTAAATCATATGGGCAGTTCTGTGTGTGACAAAAGACCAGCTCTAAGACCTGGGTTTACAATACATAGTTCCCACAGACCAATGAATGTCACATGACCTCCTCGGAGACGCCATCTTTGATGGCACGCTGCTGTGTTTGTGCATTCCATTAAACAGAAGAATGAGAATAAATGTAGATATTCAAACGCAAATTGGAAAAAAAAGGGCAACTTTTGAGCAAATAATTGTATATTATTAATACAATGGCACCACAGTTTAACGTGCTACGGACATGTTTTACATATTTGATCAAATTATGCAGCAAAAATTAACAAGCAATGCAAACATTTCTCAAAAACTTTAGATTTAATACCAGTTGGAGCTCCATTTAATTATTTTAATTATATTAACAATTAATTTAATTAATGCTAATGCCACAGGGACACTCTGGATTGCTGTTATTGTTTATTTCCGCGTTTTTGACCGTATGTTTTGGTGAATGGTGGGCAACTGATTTTTCCAGGCGTAAAGAGCAGTTTATTTTATGACACAGATCTTTTTACAGAAGCAATGCTGTTTGTGAACATTGTTTTAGCCCACCATAGAACTATTATTATCTATTTAATACATTTACGTTGCCCTCGAGAGCCTCGGACGCGACACCGATCCTCCTCATAATAAAGTAATCTAACGCTAAATAATGAAACTCTCAAGTTACCAGCTATCAGCATACACAAGTTAGTACTGAGTAAATTACGTCTGTCAACACATTATAAGATACGATACGCACCTGACACAAAGTGCTCCGAGCATATTTATGCGTGTTTTGAGGGAGTTTCTTGCCTGTTTATCTTCGCAAGCCATAACCTCCGTGGTTGTTCTGACAAAAGCTTAGTCTTCTCACATTCATGAAGTCAATGATGGGTATACTGTAAAATCCAAGTTTAACGGAACCTCCGGCACGATTTGAACATCCATTGACCCAGCAGGAGATGACCATTTTCAACTTTATCACGACATTAACACGTTTCAGCTTCTTTTTCTATTGTTTTGCCCACAGCATGCCTACACAAATGGCGCTGGGTCGGCAAATCCCCGTATGTAGTGACGTCATGTGGGAACTATGTATAGATACTTAACCAAATGTCAGTAAAAAGTCAGATGTGAGACCAGACGCCCCAAAGGCCAGACTGAAGAACACATGACCAGATGCCTCAAACCAGCTGTGAGACAGACACAAGTGATCGAGGCAGTGTGAGGCAGAGTGAGGCAGTGTGTGAGGCAGTGTGAGGCAGTGTGAGGCAGAGTGAGGCAGAGTGAGGCAGTGTGAGGCAGAGTGAGGCAGTGTGAGGCAGAGTGAGGCAGAGTGAGGCAGAGTGAGGCAGTGTGAGGCAGTGTGAGGCAGTGTGAGGCAGTGTGAGGCAGAGTGAGGTAGTGTGAGGCAGAGGAGATACAGTGTGGGGCAGTGTGAGGCAGTGTGAGGCAGAGTGAGGCAGAGTGAGGCAGAGTGAGGCAGAGTGAGGCAGTGTGAGGCAGTGTGAGGCAGTGTGAGGCAGAGTGAGGTAGTGTGAGGCAGAGGAGATACAGTGTGGGGCAGTGTGAGGCAGTGTGAGGCAGAGTGAGGCAGTGTGAGGCAGAGTGAGGCAGTGTGAGGCAGTGTGAGGCAGAGTGAGGCAGTGTGAGGCAGAGTGAGGCAGTGTGAGGCAGAGTGAGGCAGAGTGAGGTAGTGTGAGGCAGAGGAGATACAGTGTGGGGCAGTGTGAGGCAGTGTGAGGCAGTGTGAGGCAGTGTGAGGCAGAGTCAGGCAGTGTGAGGCAGTGTGAGGCAGAGTGAGGCAGAGTGAGGCAGAGTGAGGCAGTGTGAGGCAGTGTGAGGCAGAGTGAGGCAGAGTGAGGCAGAGTGAGGTAGTGTGAGGCAGAGTGAGGCAGAGTGAGGCAGAGTGAGGCAGAGTGAGGCAGAGTGAGGCAGTGTGAGGCAGTGTGAGGCAGTGTGAGGCAGAGTGAGGCAGAGTGAGGCAGTGTGAGGCAGTGTGAGGCAGAGTGAGGTAGTGTGAGGCAGAGGAGATACAGTGTGGGGCAGTGTGAGGCAGTGTGAGGCAGAGTGAGGCAGAGTGAGGCAGAGTGAGGCAGTGTGAGGCAGTGTGAGGCAGAGTGAGGTAGTGTGAGGCAGAGGAGATACAGTGTGGGGCAGTGTGAGGCAGTGTGAGGCAGAGTGAGGCAGAGTGAGGCAGAGTGAGGCAGAGTGAGGCAGTGTGAGGCAGTGTGAGGCAGTGTGAGGCAGAGTGAGGTAGTGTGAGGCAGAGGAGATACAGTGTGGGGCAGTGTGAGGCAGTGTGAGGCAGAGTGAGGCAGTGTGAGGCAGAGTGAGGCAGTGTGAGGCAGTGTGAGGCAGAGTGAGGCAGTGTGAGGCAGAGTGAGGCAGTGTGAGGCAGAGTGAGGCAGAGTGAGGTAGTGTGAGGCAGAGGAGATACAGTGTGGGGCAGTGTGAGGCAGTGTGAGGCAGTGTGAGGCAGTGTGAGGCAGTGTGAGGCAGAGTCAGGCAGTGTGAGGCAGTGTGAGGCAGAGTGAGGCAGAGTGAGGCAGAGTGAGGCAGTGTGAGGCAGTGTGAGGCAGTGTGAGGCAGAGTGAGGCAGAGTGAGGTAGTGTGAGGCAGAGTGAGGCAGAGTGAGGCAGAGTGAGGCAGAGTGAGGCAGAGTGAGGTAGTGTGAGGCAGTGTGAGGCAGTGTGAGGCAGTGTGAGGCAGAGTGAGGCAGAGTGAGGTAGTGTGAGGCAGTGTGAGGCAGTGTGAGGCAGAGTGAGGCAGAGTGAGGTAGTGTGAGGCAGAGGAGATACAGTGTGGGGCAGTGGGAGGCAGTGTGAGGCAGAGTGAGGCAGAGGAGATACAGTGTGGGGCAGTGTGAGGCAGTGTGAGGCAGAGTGAGGCAGAGTGAGGCAGAGTGAGGCAGTGTGAGGCAGAGGAGAGGCAGTGTGAGGCAGAGTGAGGCAGTGTGAGGCAGTGTGAGGCAGAGTGAGGCAGAGTGAGGCAGTGTGAGGCAGAGTGAGGCAGAGTGAGGCAGAGTGAGGCAGTGTGAGGCAGTGTGAGGCAGAGGAGAGGCAGTGTGAGGCAGAGTGAGGCAGAGTGAGGCAGAATGAGGCAGAGTGAGGCAGTGTGAGGCAGAGTGAGGCAGAGTGAGGCAGAATGAGGCAGAGTGAGGCAGTGTGAGGCAGTGTGAGGCAGAGGAGAGGCAGTGTGAGGCAGAGTGAGGCAGTGTGAGGCAGTGTGAGGCAGAGTGAGGCAGAGTGAGGCAGTGTGAGGCAGAGTGAGGCAGAGTGAGGCAGAGTGAGGCAGAGTGAGGCAGAGTGAGGCAGAGTGAGGCAGTGTGAGGCAGAGTGAGGCAGTGTGAGGCAGAGTGAGGCAGAGTGAGGCAGAGGAGAGGCAGAGTGAGGTAGTGTGAGGCAGAGTGAGGTAGTGTGAGGCAGAGTGTGGCAGAGTGAGGCAGAGTGCGGCAGTGTGAGGCAGAGGAGAGGCAGTGTGAGGCAGAGTGAGGCAGTGTGAGGCAGTGTGAGGCAGAGTGAGGCAGAGTGAGGCAGTGTGAGGCAGTGTGAGGCAGAGTGAGGCAGAGTGAGGCAGAATGAGGCAGAGTGAGGCAGTGTGAGGCAGTGTGAGGCAGAGGAGAGGCAGTGTGAGGCAGAGTGAGGCAGTGTGAGGCAGTGTGAGGCAGAGTGAGGCAGAGTGAGGCAGTGTGAGGCAGAGTGAGGCAGTGTGAGGCAGAGTGAGGCAGAGTGAGGCAGAGAGAGGCAGAGTGAGGCAGAGTGAGGCAGTGTGAGGCAGTGAGTGAGGCAGAGTGAGGCAGTGTGAGGCAGAGTGAGGCAGAGTGAGGCAGAGTGAGGCAGTGTGAGGCAGTGTGAGGCAGAGGAGAGGCAGTGTGAGGCAGAATGAGGCAGAGTGAGGCAGTGTGAGGCAGTGTGAGGCAGAGGAGAGGCAGTGTGAGGCAGAGTGAGGCAGTGTGAGGCAGAGTGAGGCAGAGTGAGGCAGAGTGAGGCAGTGTGAGGCAGAGTGAGGCAGTGTGAGGCAGAGTGAGGCAGTGTGAGGCAGAGTGAGGCAGAGTGAGGCAGTGTGAGGCAGTGTGAGGCAGAGTGAGGCAGTGTGAGGCAGAGTGAGGCAGAGTGAGGCAGAGGAGAGGCAGAGTGAGGCAGAGTGAGGCAGTGTGAGGCAGAGTGAGGCAGAGTGAGGCAGAGTGAGGCAGTGTGAGGCAGTGTGAGGCAGAGTGAGGCAGTGTGAGGCAGAGTGAGGCAGAGTGAGGCAGAGGAGAGGCAGAGTGAGGTAGTGTGAGGCAGAGTGAGGTAGTGTGAGGCAGTGTGAGGCAGTGTGAGGCAGTGTGAGGCAGTGTGAGGCAGTGTGAGGCAGAGTGGGGCAGAGTGAGGTAGTGTGAGGCAGTGTGAGGCAGAGTGGGGCAGTGTGAGGCAGTGTGAGGCAGAGTGGGGCAGAGTGGGGCAGTGTGAGGCAGTGTGAGGCAGAGTGGAGGAGGTTGTGTCATGTATTCATGTCAAATAAAGGTATATCGTCATATGGACTTATTCATGTGTTTATCCTCCCACTTCATAGCATCGTTGTGCTTTTCATAGGACACAGCAGTGAACACAAACCTACAGATACCAGACAAGGTTCCAGAAAAACTCCGGGCCAGATGTCAAAAAACATTGAAAGACGCAACCCAGATGTCATGAAAAACAGAGATGCCACAAAATCTGACGGATGTAGGACCAGGTCCCAGAGGAGACCACATAGATGACGGATGCGGAAGCCATAAATATGTTCATATAAACATATACAACAAATGACAAAGGCCAGACAAGGGGCCCCCAGCTGTGAGACCGACTGCAGTGACCCCTGTTTTCACCACAGGCACAGACTGAGCTTTGGCACATGTGCAGGAGAAATAAACTTTACTGACGGGAAATTAAGTTTGTGATTATTTGAGCAAACACATTATTTGACATGTTTTAATACAGATCTGTCTACATTAATTAAAGACTATTTTACAAACATCTCTATCAATCGATGAGGGAATCATTAAAGAAGCAGAGATAGAATGTTCATGTTTTTAAGCTAAGTCTCTGTAGCGGTGTGCTAACAAGTTCCATCCTCACTCATGATCTTCACATGGTGATAAGTGATTTGTGCTACTGTATTTTTAGGTAACTTTGCCTTTTATCAGATTCTATCACCTCAAAATATAAAATCTTTTTTTATGGAGCAACGCTGTGACGTGAACCTTTCTGTGGTAACATAAAAGCCCCACAGTGGGAGACGGCCGTGCAGTGGGTCCTACTGTTTTCTCTGTTTAGAAAGCTCCAACATATTTTCATTACAAACAATATGAATATCTTAATATGTTTTAAGGTTGGGAAGTAAAGGGTCAGAAGGTTGATTAAGAAGTCAGATTCACCCAAGAGTCGGCTGCTTACAGCTAGCAAAACACGAGCAGACACCAGTTTGTTTTCCATTTTTAAACCTTAACTGGACATATTTCCAAATGCAGGATTACGTATCTGCGCTCAAACTATTGACTTAAAAAGTAAACACGGTTTGAACTGAAGTGATGTATATGAAGTTTACTGTATATGAGGTACACACATTTGAACTCACAGACACAAGTTCCCGAGGATCTCTTCTGACTCCAGGACAAACATCTGACCAGCTTTTTTCCAACATCAAAAATATGTATTTACAAATCTGCTTAATGTAACTTGGACATTTATGAACATTTGTGGACATTGTTCATCTGCCCCTTAAGGACCAATGGCTCTATGTGTTTTTTATTGCTGCATTTTCTGTGGCAAATCAATAGCTTTATAAATACTTCAATGTCTAGATAACCACTGATGTTGATTTATGACTATACAAAAATAGACTGAATTGAAATTGACTAACTGTAACTCATTGAACCTGTTTCCATGATTAAGCGTTTTAAGCGATTGCGAAACTTTTAGTCAGCTGATGGTTCAAACATTGTAAAAAACCCAAAAGTGTCTGTGTGTGCCATACTCATAAATATAAGAGCGGTGATAGAAAGTGTCACCTTGATGTCGTTGCTGCCCACTGCGAGGCCGATCTCCGCCAGGTCCTTGAGCAGAGACGACATCATCTCTGTGACCCTCTTCTTCTGGTGGTTGGTCATCTCCTTCAGCTTCTGCAGCTCCAAGTCGATGGAGGTCAGAGAGCTCTGAAACACACACAGGAGATTTATGGAAGACAATGGACGAGAACCATCTTACCGACCTCACTACGCACTTCTCATTGTGCAGCACTTTGTATAGCTTTATGTTTGAAGGACCATGTGTCGTCTATGGATCTTTCTGAGCACTATTCTCTCAGTCTCATCATTATGACTTCAGCTGAAGTCTATTCATTGCTATTCACCCGCTTTTCCATCGTCAGATTCATGGCGTGATGATGGAACCCATGAACCCGTATCGGAACCTGTGGACTGTCTTCCTCGGCTCGGACTTGTGGGCTGCACGTCTTCCCTGCCTGGGAGCGGCCTCAGTCCTCGGCCTGTCCGTACATGGGAGCGGATCCCTTAATGTGTTCTCTCAGAGGTTTCTTATTTTCTCCATCTTGGTTTTTAGAGTTTTACCTTGCCGATGCAGGATGGTCTGAGGACAGTGGGGATGATCCACACTGTAAACCCTAAATTCAATCGTACGTCAGATATCAAAGTTATTTTAAATAGATTTTTCCCAGTAAGTAGATATTACTCATTTATTGTTAGTTTATTTAAAGCTTGCCTATGTCACTCAGGGTTTTCTTTGAATTGAACTGTCTCTGTTCAAGTAAGCCTCACTTTTGACATTTTGACGTGTAGAGTCTTTAATAAGGCAGGTGTGTCTGTGATAGAGTGGCCTGGTGGCTGAGTGGGTAGCACCGTCACTTCTCATCTAAAAGGTTCTAAGTACAAATCCCGGTTGGAGCTTAAGGTGAAATTTAAACTTTATTGCAATCACTCGAGTTTACTTGGTAATATCAAGTAAAGGATGTACTTGAGGAATTCAAGTGAAGTTAATACGCAATTTATTTCCAAGGTTTTTTCAAGTAAACTTTACTTGTCAGGGTTTACATGCAGGACAAGTGCAACAACATTTATGGACTTTATGGACTATGGATTTATGGACATTGGTTTCTGCCCCTTATGGACCAACGGCATTTCTTGTGGACCAACAGTTTTATTCTCTGATCTCTGTTGACGAATTCAATGGTTTATGTAGGAAAGCCAAGCCGAGAAGTGCGCCCCTAGTGTTAGGTTTCGTTTTTGCATGTTAGTGTCACTTTTGTTTCTGAGCACGTATGCTATTAATAGAGCAACCACAGCAGCTAGATGCGCTGCAGAGACTTTTTACGTGCATTAAGGACTCATTAACGTTGTTCCCTGTGTGTCAGTGTGCGTAAATGATCAAAAAGTAAGTGCAATGTGTGATTAGTTGACCAATGTGCCTGTTATAGATAGATAATAGATAAATGCTTTATTGTCAGATACAAGGATCCGAAATTTGTTTTGCAGTTCAGCAGCTCCGTAAAAATACAAACAAGACATACACGTATAAGACAATTCACAAAGACATTATAAACAATTGTCCGCTCGCTATAACACACTTTGATTTTATGACTTAAGATCCTCGTTTAGCTTCAGGATGGACTGATGGACAAAGGAGTTCCTCAACCTGACTTTATTAAAATGTGGCACACGGTACCGCCGCCCTGATGGTAACAGCGCATATTCGAGTTTCAGAACATGGCCGGGGTCTGAAGTGATGTTCTTAGCCAGTCGCAGTGTGTTGCTATGGTATGCAGCCTCGTACAGTCCATCCAGGGGCTGTCCTACAATCTTTGAGCAGATTTTAATCAAGTGTCTCAGTCCAGATTTAGCAGTGACAGAGAGACAGCTGTACCACACAGCGTTACAGTACTGCAGGACACTGAGAATCACAGAAGTGAAGAACAGAAGCAACACCTGACGAGACGCTCCAAAAGACCGCAGGCGACGGAGGAAATATATTCTTTGTTTAGTCTTTTTACAGATGAAGTCAATGTGGTGTTTCCAAGACAAGGAACAGTCTAAGACCACACCCAGATATTTGAATGACTCCACCTGTTTGATTGGCTCGTTGTTGATGATAGTGGGAGCTGTGGTTACTGGGTTTAAACTAAATACCACCTCTCTCTTTTTTTTGGTGTTTATTTCCAGAGCGTTGTTTTTGTTCCAAATCACAACCTTGTCTATGCCCTGCTGGTGCAGCCCAGGACTGTCAGTATTTGACAGAAGGGTCACCAGGACCGTGTTTAGACTTAACACGTGTTTTCTTCAGTCTCACTTAGCATGAGTAATGTGACGTACATTTGTGAAGTAGAGTTCTAATGTTAATTGACCTGCTAATTCATAGTTTAAAGTTAATTCTATTTTTAGTATATTGTTATTTTACGTGAATTGTGTAGTTGACTGCCTGCCGCTGCGTCTCGCACCAAAGTAAAGGGTATGTCTGTAAATTTTGGGAGCACTCAAATAAGTGCTGTTATTTTGCTCTTACAGCATTGCAGTGTCAATTTAGAGCTGTTATGTGTATGTTATGTATTATAATATATGCCTTGTAGTTATGTACAGTGTACAGTTTGTACATTTATTCATTATATTTTTTGTCTGTTCTTTGTTGCAGACCACACACACACACACACACACACACGTTACATATTTGTAACACACCGTGAATGTGAATAAACCAACGACTGAGAAATATCCCCCCTCTGGACCCTGATTCTCTGACCGGAATCTTTCCATACTGTTGCCGCCTCAACCAGTGTATATCCCTTAGTGGGCCAGTTAAATTATTGAGCCTCCACTTCATTTGGTCCTTCGAGCCGGATTGAGTGCACCCCCCACCGCACAGTATGGAAGCTGCAGATGCCCGAGAGCTCCAGGAAAGACCACAGAGAGAACGCCGTCTCCCTACGTATCTACTTGATTATGATGTTGGATACCCTCCACGACCCAACCATCCTAAAGCCGCTTCAACCAGTTCCTGCTCAAGCTCCAGCAGTAAACACAGAAGCCAATCTAGGAGATCCGGTAGTGGCTCCTTCCGCAGCATAGGCAGATCAAGTAGAGGTCATTTCCCGAACATAGAGTTCAACTCAACGCAGTCTGCTCTTCTGGAGGAAGGGTTGAGTCAAATCGAGCTTGATGACCTTAGACAGGAACTAGCTGAGGACACTCAAGCAGATATGGAGTATCAGCGCTTACAGCTCCAGGCTAAGGAGGCGCAGCGCGCACAAGAAGAAGCACTACTTGCTAAGGAGACTCTTCATAAACAACTGGATAGGAATCGTCGCCTGCAGGAAGCCCAGAGAAGGGTGAGAATGGCTAAACTGGCCTCCTCAGTCCTAAACACAGATGCGCAGGCTGTTTCACCAGAGCCCTCATTAACTCCTGAAGGCTACCTCCAGCTACCAGTATCCACACCGTCTGCTAGTAGCACAAGACCATCAGTTGTTATGGATACTATGTCCATTGCACATGCAGCTCAGCCACCTTCTGTGCCAAGACAACCCACACCTGTGCCAGACAACGCTCCGAGCCTTCTTCAAGCCACGCAGCCAACGCAGTATGTACCTCCTATCCACACACAGAGTACGAATACACTCATGATGCAGTCGCACTCGGACAATCATGCAGCTCAGCTTCCTCCTGCAGTTATGACTACACAATCTAATGTCGCACCCATAATGACCTCCGCCTTGTCTCCACCGATGTATGGCCAGCCTTTACCGTCTGCACTACAGACACTGCCAGCCCAAGGTCAACCAGCAGTCTCCCAGCCATTCTATCCATCATTTCAGCCCCGTGATCTTCCACCATTTGGATCAGATATGCTGATTGCTTCCACTTACGGTATTCCCAGGCCTACCCTGCCTTATTTTGAGAGTGGACGTGAAAGCGACTTTGCCCTGCTGAAGATGGCACTCGACAACCTCCTGAGTACCCACACTCACCTCAGTGAACAGTATAAGTATCAGGTACTACTCGGTCAGCTGAAGCACGCTAGCGCACTCCAACTTGCTAAAGCTCACATGTACCACCCACAGCCCTACACCACGGCCTTGAAAGCTCTTCAAGACAAGTACGGCCAACCACGGCAGCTCGTTCAATCTGAACTGGGTACAATATTGAGCATGCCAGCTTTCAAACCAGGAGACTTTGCTGCATTCGACTCCTTCGCCCTGGCGGTGCAGTCATTGGTTGGAATGCTAAGGTCACTTGAGGGTCATAACAGTTACGAGCTGATGTGTGGCTCTCACGTTGATCGCCTGCTGAGCAAGATGCCGCCACACCTCCGTGACAGCTTTGTGGAATACTGCCTGACCCGTGGTATCCTTCAGACAGGTACTAACAGAACATACACTCTTCCTGATCTAGCAGCTTGGTTGCAGGTTAAGTCTCAAGCCAAACAGATCTCAAGTCGCGCAGCATCACAGTTCACTGCTGAAACCCCCAAGCCGATGAATACTTACAGGAGTACGCATCCAAAGGACAGGGTTACTCCAGTTCTGCTAACACTTGATAGTAAGCCATCTGCCTCAACTACATCTAAAGCCCAACCTAACTCCAAGCCCAAGCCATATTGTCCATGGTGTGATAACACAGAGCATTATCTTAACTTCTGCAATGACTTTAAGAAACTTCACGTAAACGAGATCATAAAGTGGATCAAAGATGGAATAAGATGTTGGAGATGCGGTCGAAATCATAGTGCAGACACCTGTACTCTGAAACGCCCCTGCGAAGTCTGTAAAGAGACACACCTCACCATTCTCCATGAATCGGTTCAAGCCACTTCTGGGGCTTTCCTCATGGTCAATATCCCCTCCACTCAAATCTACTTTGACCGTCCTAACCGATCACAGCGCGTCATGCTGAAAGTAGTGAGTGTCCTTGTCCACAATGGAAATCGATCAATGCAAGCGTATGCCATACTGGATGATGGATCAGAAAGAACTGTTATTCTCCCCCCAGTTGTGCAACATCTGAACTTCAAGGGTGATTCCGAGACCCTGGCTCTCCGGACAGTGCATCGAAAAGTTGAACACATTGCTGGCTCATCTATCTCCTTTGAGATTTCTCCCATTGAGAACCCCTCTGAGAGGTACCACATTCGCAATGCCTTCTCAGCCCAAGAGCTCAGCCTAGCTGATGTGTCTTACCCCGTACATGCTCTCCAGCAGCGTTATCAGCACCTTAAGGGTCTTCCACTACGCCCGTTGAGTAATGTACAGCCACTCATTCTGATAGGGTCTGACGCACCTCACCTGCTCACCCCTATTCAGCCCATATGCAAAGGACCCCAATATGGACCAATCGCCGTCTGCACGCTCCTTGGATGGACACTGCAGGGCCCCATGAGTCCTTTCCAAAGTTCTCACAAGGAACAACAGTGTCTACATCTTGCCCTAACTGAAGATCGACAGCAGGAGTTAGTCAACAATGAGGAGCGCTTGTTGAATCTAGACGTTCTCCCCCCGAGCGAGAAAGCGCACACCAGTTCCAAACAGGATCAACAAGCATACAATCTTCCACAATGCGCAACCATCAGAGTTGATGTGCAAGGAGTGCAACACAACACCACTCCGTTGCTTCGCTGTGGTCCAGATGTTCAGCTTCAGGAATCTGCATTCATTGAAGCGATTATTACCGACTCTCCAGCCCCCGATGCTTCCCAGTTTCTGTCACGGGATGCCCTCGTCCAAGCCACTATGGGGGTTGTCAACGGGGCGGCTAACCCAAGCAGCGACAAGTCTAATGATGTTTCCCATGCAGAGAAGATAATACTTGCTCAGTCTCAGTTGGACTCGTTTCCTGAAGAGCTACTTCATCCAGGCCCTGAGAGAGTCTTGATTAAGAGGAGACGTCAGTATTTGGTGCTCACAGGCAGGGAAGCTCTCAGAAAGCTCCAGCACTCCTGCCATGAGCGTCAACACTGGCGTGCAAAGCCCACCATCTCGAAGACATCCAACTTTCCACACAACCGTTTACGCCAGCACAAGCATCCATTCTATTCCACTGGAGTGAACTGTTTTGGTCCGTTCTCTGTCAAGATCGGTCGGCGTAAAAGGAGGAGATGGAGACATTGTCAGATCTTGGCGGACAGCTTTTGGACAGCTTTCATCCGGAACTACCTTCCGAGTCTCCAAGAACGTCAGAAGTGGAGAACTGACACAAAGGAACTGGACACAGGCCAAGTTGTCCTCATCGTCGACCCACAGCTGCCGCGGGCTCTCTGGCCAGTGGGCTCCGTGACAGAGCCGTTCAGAGGATCCGACGGACGCGTCCGGACTGCATCAGTGAAGGTCAACGAGAAGACTTACACTCGACCCGTTGCCCGGCTGATCTCCTTGCCGAAGATTGAAGAAGATGACCAGGACCCCACTGCTTGTCTTTCTAAATAGTTACAAATGTCATTGCTGAAATTTGGGGGCGGCTGTGTAGGAAAGCCAAGCCGAGAAGTGCGCCCCTAGTGTTAGGTTTCGTTTTTGCATGTTAGTGTCACTTTTGTTTCTGAGCACGTATGCTATTAATAGAGCAACCACAGCAGCTAGATGCGCTGCAGAGACTTTTTACGTGCATTAAGGACTCATTAACGTTGTTCCCTGTGTGTCAGTGTGCGTAAATGATCAAAAAGTAAGTGCAATGTGTGATTAGTTGACCAATGTGCCTGTTATAACCATATGTCCGTGTTTAGACTTAACACGTGTTTTCTTCAGTCTCACTTAGCATGAGTAATGTGACGTACATTTGTGAAGTAGAGTTCTAATGTTAATTGACCTGCTAATTCATAGTTTAAAGTTAATTCTATTTTTAGTATATTGTTATTTTACGTGAATTGTGTAGTTGACTGCCTGCCGCTGCGTCTCGCACCAAAGTAAAGGGTATGTCTGTAACTTTTGGGAGCACTCAAATAAGTGCTGTTATTTTGCTCTTACAGCATTGCAGTGTCAATTTAGAGCTGTTATGTGTATGTTATGTATTATAATATATGCCTTGTAGTTATGTACAGTGTACAGTTTGTACATTTATTCATTATATTTTTTGTCTGTTCTTTGTTGCAGACCACACACACACACACACACACACACGTTACATATTTGTAACACACCGTGAATGTGAATAAACCAACGACTGAGAAATATCCCCCCTCTGGACCCTGATTCTCTGACCGGAATCTTTCCATACTGTTGCCGCCTCAACCAGTGTATATCCCTTAGTGGGCCAGTTAAATTATTGAGCCTCCACTTCAGTTTAGTATATTCCTCTGAGATAACGGCTCTTGTGATTTAGGGCTATTCATAAATACATTGAATTAAATTGAGTTTTGCAATGATGGTAAAAATGAGCTGGTCTTACAGCAGTCTGCACAGTAGTCAATACTTTTCCACTTGTTGTTTCAGTGAGCTGAACTTTGAACCAGACTTATCTACTTTGATAGATGCTGAGGGGAGCTGTTGTTTTTTGCATTGTCTTGTAATGTAGTAAAAAGTAGTGAACTGTACTTTTGTATAAATAAAAGTTGAATGTGTGACTCACAGATTTCTGGTTGAGCTCCTCGCTGAGTGCCTCAAACTCGCGGGTCTTGATCTCCACCTCTTGGCTCTTGTGGTCGTAGTTGACCGCCAGCTCCTCCAGAGCCTGGAGGACCTCCTTCACCTCCTCCTTGGACGCCTCGTTCTCCGACAGCAGCCTGTTCAGCTCCGTCTGCAGGGTGTCGTGGTCCCGGCGCGACGACGTCAGCAGCTAACACACAAATTACATTATTTTTATATATTTATTTTTATTTATTATTGACAAGAAAGACCTTTGGTTGCGTTACCTGACAGTATCACCCAGGAGCAAAATCATCAGATCAGATTTGACTTCACTGAGTCTAAATACTAATACTAGTACGGTTCAGAAGGGTCCAAGGACAGTGGTGAGGATCCAGGACACTCAACATTCAACCACATTTACTGACTTTATCAACATTTGTAAACATTGGTCATTGCTCCTTATGCTCTGTGTGTTTTTATAATTGCATTTCCAGTGTTTGAACCGTTTGATTGTCTGTCAACAACTTTGTAAAGTCCTCTAAGATAACTGTGATTTAGGCCCATACAAAGATAAATTGGATTGAATTGTAAACTCAAACTGGTCTAAACCTTGGCCTAAAACAGTCCACTGGGCAGAAGCACAATACTCCATACGGTCAGACACTGAGGATGGGTCTCTGTGATGAGGGATTGATGATGTCTCCAGGACGCCACACGTTGAGCAGCAAAGGCAAACACAAGAGAATTTGTGCCAAATACTTCAGATACAAATAATGTGATAATAAAGTGTCCTGTAAAGAAGTAGTTGTTCCTTGCCGGCTCTTGGATCAATGCTACGTTCCAGATGCATTCAATGCTGAGTATTTTTTTGGATCTAGTTTAGCCGCTGTGGACTTAAATGCACTCGTTAAATGAATATCTCTGTTGGCGAATCAAACTTTGGTACAGCCCGAGATAATCAAGTAGTGTGGGATAATCACCTCCTCCTGGTCCAACAGCTGCTCCTTCAGCTTCTCCACCAGCTGTGACTGCTGGTTGATCTCCTCATCCTGAAACAGAGACACTCGTTACAGGCTCGATCCAGAAACCTGTCCAGTTGTAGAATTTGACACTGTTGCCAACCCTATGTAGGCCCCATCCTCCTCCAGCTTGGCCCCACTCCATTTGGCCCTACTCTACTCTACTCGGCGTGGTTGCGTTTCCATTGTGCTTTAGTATCTGCATGACCTAGCAACTTACCCACAAGTCTACCCAGAATAAGGGAAATTCCTTGGTAACCCTGGTTAACAGCAGCACTCTGCCCAACCACTGACAGTTAGAACATTTTAGTACCAGCTCGGACTGGCCAAGCAGGTACTAAAAAATACCTGGTCCTGATGAAAAAGGACTTGTGAAAATGCTACGAATTGGAGGAGAGTAGAGCCGAGGTCGGTAGAGTAGGGGCTGGTGGAAACAGGGCTTCAGCAAGTAATTGCTATTTGTAAAGCACATTTCACAGACGTTTTACATTTTTTATGCACCGATAATTTCGATTAATTTCACACATGATGGTGGTAGAAGCAACACGACAAACTGAAACTTCTGACCATCACCATCCATCACTCTCTGATTACATTCATGCCTATTGTCCATGTTTTTAGTGGTAGGGGAAACCGGAGAATCAGGAGGAAATCTACACAGACATGGGGAGAACATGCAAACTCCACACAGAGAGGCCTGAAGTGGAATCAAGCCGAGGATCTCCAGGCTGTGAAGCACTGTCCACCGAGTGTGCAGAGAGCTCTCACCTTGTCGTCCATTTCCTTGTAGAGCTCGGCCTTCTCCTTTTCGTACTTGTCCCTCTCTGCGTCGGTGAGCTTGGGCCCCGGAGCTCCAGGTGCTCCGGGGGCCGAGCTGGGGGTTGCACTGGGGGCTGCTTTGTCATTGTTGGGGGTCGCATCCTGCGCTTGCACCTCTCCGTTGGCTTTGTCTTTGTCAAACTGCTCCTCCACTGGCACGCTCTCACCTGAGCAGAGAAAGGGTTCCAGATTATTCATGAAATCTAAAAATGTTGAATTTAGTCAAGTCTTTTCAACAAACAAAAATAAATAGCACATACATAGTAAAGCACCTCGTATTTGTTGTGGGGGTTGTTGTGTGGAAAACTTGAGCTGAGGTTGTAATATGGAATGTCAGAGTCTTAGTCAAAGGGAATTGTGTGTTCTGCGCTATAGTTTGTGTGTAAGTGTGTGTGTGTGTGCGCCTGTGTGTATATGTGTGTGTGTGCGCTGACCCTTCCTCCAGCGGGCCAGCTCGGCCTCCAGCCAGGTCACGGTGTTCCTCAAGGTCTTGTTCTTGTCCCTCTCTTTTTCCCACTTCTTCTTCCACTGCTCGGCCGTCAACTCCACGTTCAGGCTCACATTATTCTTGATGGTCTTTGCTCTGGAGAGGAAAAAAATGAGATATACCTGAATACCACACGGTTACAGAGCACCGGCTTTAGTACCTTTGCTTCAGCGCTAAAACAGAACTATTCCCACTTTATCCATCACTGAGTTACATGTATCAGTCTAAGCAGCAACAGCCAGACTGCCCCATCCACACACACTTCCTCCATTACATTCTGTACCAGGCTGAGACACAGAGTAGCTTTACTTCTAACAGTGTTGAGAGTAAAGCGTTTCAAAAGAAATTATGTTAGTCATGTTTTGTTTTTTGCTGTAACGCAGTAATATACGGCATTACAGAAAAAACGTAATATTTTACTCAGATCAAAGCTCAGTAACGGGTTTGTTGCTTTACATTGAATTTTAACCCAAAATTACACAGTGTTTTGGGTTTATACTCTGCCACCGTTAGATCAGCAGAGGAGAAAAAAAGGAAAAGTGTTTTTTCTTTCTGATAGAAGACGGCTGAAGCTGAAGTAAGCAATCTTTATGTATATAGCGCCTTTCACAGACCAGAGTCACAAAGCGCTTTACAATTGTGGGCATTTGTCTCTCACTCCACACAGAGAATAAGGTCACCAGTACAGGAGGCGCATGCCAGACCTATTGTACATGTTTTTAGTGGTAGGGGGAACCGGAGCACCCAGAGGAAACCTACGCAGACACAGTGAGAACATGCAAACTCCACTCAGAAAGGCCCTGTTCTGACCAGGATTCAAACCCAGTACTACTATATGTATTTATAGTAGTGCAGTAGTAGTGTATTGCTTTGCCATTCAGAGAATATATTGAAGTGTTACACATCTCTTTGAAATAACAAGTAATACATAACTTTTTTCTCTGTCATTCTTGTTTTCTATTGGTTATTCAGCCCGTCAATCACTCGATAAAAGGGACGCGTCTCCTTTCACTTGTCCTCTGACCTCACTTGCTTACTTCTGGTTGTATCATGTTTACGCCGCTGTTCCCACTCACAGAAAGTATCCAAAATTAAATATGAGATGTTTGTTTAATGGAGCACTGATTTTTAAATATGGTTCCAGCACTGAACCAGCACTGGTTCAGTGCTGTTGCCATGGGTCCGATTGTGTTGCCGTGACTTGGCCTGTGTATTGCCCGCGGTACTGGCTTTTAACCCAGCTCGTGTGTGTGAGCGGCTACAGCGCTAACCCAGGTTCGTAGCAGAACTTGCTAGGTTTTAGAACAATTCGTGATTCGTAAAATTTATTTAAAGTGGACATATCGTGTTTTCAAATAATTGATTTTTACATCTAAATCATTAATTTGTGGCCTATATAAAGCGTAACTGCAATGCCTGGGTCTGAGTCTCATTATTTGTAGCTCCACGGGCCTTTCTTCTACACCTGTTCTGAGGTGCGTCTGAGAGCAACCTGTTTTGGTGCTGTCTCTTTAAATGCAAATGAGGCGCTTTTGACCACCCCCCCATCCAGGTGACACAGGTTCAACTCCACCCCGAGCGGCCATTTTTGTAGTTTCTAAGCACAGATACAATTATCTCATAGAAACTTCTCATTACATCGCAAACATGAAGCAGTCCTTCCTCATTGACTGAAAGCAAATGTTAAGTTTCATTCTTAGTCCAGTCTTATTATCGACTCTTCTCTTTTTAGCTTTGGGATCCATGCGCACAGTCTATGATGCTCACACGCCGGTTTGTTTAAAACAGCGGCCGCCTGGCGCGGGCCTACGTTGCAGGATATGACGCACTACATTGACAGAAATGTTTAAATTGAATATTACTTATGCACAATTTTACAGCATTTAAAAACTTTAAGAACGTTTTTCCTTCTACAGAAGGAAAAAGACGCATGCGCCTCCGGAGCCGCAGGTTGCCGACTCCTAGTTTATACAGTATGTGGAAGCAAATACTGTAGAGGATCAGGATATGTGCAGTTTCAACAATAAAATAAAATGCAATAGTCTACATTACAAGAGAGTAATAAACATGTCTCAGAGTGAGGGAGGTGGACACAGACAACACTATTGTTTGTTACAGGGATGAGAATTGGTCAAAAAAGACTGAAATGCATATTGTCAGCCATTTGCTGGCTCTAAATCTGTTTAATTTGTTCACAACATATTACTTTTGGGCTCAAACATGAACTTTTAATGCAATGCAAAATGTAGGTATCAGAGCTTTATTTAGGGCGTTTAATCGCGCTTCGAGAGGAGAGGGGAGACGCTGACTGTTTCCTGCAGCAGTGTATTTATTGGGTGCACAGATTACTCAACGACACGCATGGTCCTGTGCGCGTTTATGGGGTTGGGTACAAGGCCACGTTGAGGCTGCGCGCTCAGCCACAACACGGTGGAGCGGCTGCGAGCGGCTGGACGCTCACAGCCTCTCGCAGCCGCTGGACGCGGAAGCTGCTCATTACAAAGCGGCCGCAGATGCCCCGGAACACTGCGGCCGCTGAGGTGGCGGAATCCCGTTCAAGTACATACAGCAGGTGCCCCGCGGATACGCGCGCCCCCTCGAACAATTCTCAACGGATTTACACTTCTCATAAACATGTGTTTTGTATGAGGCAGACAGACCGGCCCAAATATGGGCATCGGCCCTTTGGGCAATGCCCGGTACGCCCGATGGCCAGTCCAGCCCTGTTCGCTGGCCTTCTCGAGGTCGGCGTTACGTCACGAATCATGTGACCTGCGTAGCAACCAACCGCCGCCATGTTTGAAGGGTAAAACAAACCGAAGGCGAATCCAAAAGGTATCTATTTACATATGTTTTGCCGTGGATTATGTCAGTTATGGATACTAACGGACAACTTTGAATTATTGATGAATGATATCTGTGTATGCGAATGTATGTTGGTGGTGTAAACATTCAGGGCTTGCTTAGCTGGAGGCAGGAATCTAAATTCCTATCTATTTCCATTGTAGCTGTTGTCATAGTAACAATAAAGAAATGTCTAACTGTTGTTGGAAATATCAGATAAACCTTATTTTATTAACGCAAATGTCATTCCTCTTGTTCTTGCACCTGAAGCCACAACAGGACCACCTTTTTCAGTTGTAGTTTTACACTTATAATCGCCAGTTTTAGTTTAATCTTATTTTTCTTGCCTGCAGCTGATGTCACTGATGATGTATATACCACATGTATGGAGTGAATGTAAACACTCATGTAAAGCGCTTTGTGACTAGCTACATGTCTGTGAAAGGCACTATATGAATACAGATCTTCTTCTTCTATTGCAGCATGTCATATCAGTATATTGACAGTCTCCTAGCGCCTGCATTGACCAGGTACCACAGAAAGCTGTCGCTTGTAGGTTTACAATCTTGTCCCTATCGGCATCCAGCAGAGTCCTGGGAAAACAACCCAAAGGCATGGCCCAGGCTCGAGTATCCAGACATATACAATTACCTCATCAAGTCCCCTGGTATGAACACCATGTGTACATACCATGTGTCCTACACTTGTAGCAATATTTAAATACCCATCAAGCATCGATAACATTAACTATGTTATGACATTCAAAAGCATTCTGTTACAATGTGGCTGTAATGAGCTCAGTCTGTCAGTGGCACAGCTTGTACAGTATAAGTGAGGGACACAGTTTTTTTCAAAAGCCAAAAAGGGCTAACTGCAGAAATTCCACTTATTCCCCACACAACTAGTGCATTTCATTGTTGCTTATCGGTGTAGAGCTGCCGACCATTATGCATAGCGATGTCATAACATAGCAACAGAAAACAGTGGCATGGCATTGGTATTATTTTGTTATTCTTTGATTTGCCCCACAATGTGTCCATTCATTTGAGATTACATTTCTATTTAAATTTTAAAGTAAAATGGCATACCCTCTATTCACACTTTTTATGACTGGTTATTTTTTGCAATAACCAGTCATCAGATTACATTTTATTGAATGTAGTGTCTAACGACAACAGCAAGACTTTAACATTTCTAATGAGAAATAGTTTATTAGACATTGTATAAGTAGAAATACTAAAAGACGTGAAGATTGACATGAAAACATTTGTATCATTTACTTGCAATTTGTCAGTGTTTTTGCTCTGGTCAATTGTCACTCTCCTAGATGTGATATGTTAATGTATAAAAATAAAATTATTTCCCTTTCTTCATTTTCTTTTGTTTCAGGTGTATTTAGTTCTGCCGCCATGGACAATTAGGGATCATGTAAAAGGATAGGTCACTCCTTTTTACGCTGTTGTTGGTACAACCAACAATACAACAGTTTTTCGGCATGTTTTGTAACGCTCGTTTGTCTTTCGCTTTGTGTTGCTTAATGGCGGGCGCTGGTTTGTTTTACCCTTCGCCGCGTTGCTATGCGCGCGCAGTGCATTATGGGAGTCCAAGTTCCCGGATGTCCGACCTCGAGAATCCTTGAGCTTGGACTACAAATTTGAAGTGATGCACAGTAGAGGAGGGCTGGGCCGAAGTGTTTTGTTAGACGCCCATGCCCTTATATAGCAGTCTCGCTGCAAATACTGTGACGTAATAATTCTAAACATGTAATAGAGCAGTGGTTCCCAAAGTGGGGGTCCCGACCCCCCGGGGGGTCGCGGGAACCCCTGGGGGGGGTCGCAAGATGATTTCCAAAAAAAAAAAAAAAAAAAAAACATTTTGCTAATTAATAGCCCTTAAATATTGATTTAGCATTTGATTTGATTCAAAAGAACTACTTGTTAAATTGTGTTAGGAGAATATAAAATATTTAAATTACGTTTGTAATTTTGTCCAGTCATTGACAGCGTCAATCAAAATCAAGTTACGCAGCTTACGTCACGCAGCGACAAAGCGTGTCCAGCTGTTGTTTGCTAAAACTAAAGGTGTTTGGAGGCTTCAAACAAATAATACCTGCTTTAAAATGAAACGTGGTTAATATCCACAACAGAAAAACCCGGAGGGGGAGAAAAGTCACATGTGAGGTCAGGCTGATGGTGCGAAGAGAGGGAGAGAGGGCAGCGGTAGAAGAGGGTGGTAAAGAGGCCCGGCTTTTCGGAGTCAGTGGTAAAGAGGTCCGCACATTAAAAGCGGGTGGCTGCTTTATGCTGTTACTTACAGTAACTTTGGAAAAAGAAGCCGCGGGGATGAAGCGCATAAAGTAACAGCAGAAAGCGGCCGCCCGCTTTTAATGTGCGGACCTCTTTACCGCTGACTCCGAAAAGCCGGGCCACTTTACCGCGGTAGGAGAACAGAGAGGGCGAGCCGCAAGAAATGCGCTCCACTTCTGCTAAGAAGGGAGCCCACCAAGCCCATCACTGTGTCACTACGTCAGTAAAAATATGCAAGCCTCCTTTTTTGGGCTGGACAGTGCAGCTCAATAGTGGCGCGAGTCTCTGCCTTACTCCGTATCAAGGAAATACATGCTCATTAACGGGAAGGACTGTTGAGGTGGGGGGTCGCGGGGGAGCAGCGCATTTATGATGGGGGTCGAGGGCTAAAAACTTTGGGAACCCCTGTAATAGAGAATGGCAAAATCAGAACGGGTTGAAAAATCTTACCTAAACAGAATATGAAGTGTTCTCTGCAACCCATGAAGAGACTGATTTCAACTTTTTTGCACTTCTAGAGGCTCCAACTTCACAACATAGGGCATTTAAGACACAAAAAGTGGATTTTTCATGATATGTCCCCTTTAAGTTTACTTTTAGATCGATGCCATGGAGCCATACGGTGCACTGTCGCCGCCTTGCCTTACCCAGATTCCTGTGACGAAGTTGCCTGCTGTCCCAGGGCAACCATCGGATATCACAACAATGTATAATGTCAAAGTGACCTGAACAAAAATCATGTAATAAATGTATTCTTTTGGTAACTTCTGTATCAACCTCTGTATTATCACAACAAACCTACGTCCTTTATTTTAATTTAATGTGGATCCAGCTCAAACAATATCCACCACACCCACCGGAACACCACACATGTATTAAGTTTTTAACAAAACTTGCCCAACACTGCTCCCTAAATGCGCCCAGCTCCAGACCATAGGTGAAGCTGCACATGGTTCTGTGAGTACCTCTGTCCAAAGAGCAGCGTGGAGCGGGTCTCCACATCATTGAATTCTGAAGGGGAGCAGCAGATGATCATGGTGGTGCGACAGTTCCCTCCCAGAGAGTCCTGCAGGATCCGGGTCATCTTACTGTCTCTGTACGGGACGTAGGCCTGCGGGCACAGGGAAAGGGCTGTGGAAGCACCTCACACATGCACCATCACATCTGACCCTTCTCCCACTCACATGCTCCGTTATGCTTGATCACACACACCAAGGGTTTTTTGGGGCCATATTTTGATTATGAATGAAAACATTGATAGCAGTTGTTTGTAGCCATCTGCTTGATTGGAAGTCTCCATCTTGCTTCTTTATTATGCTAAAGTTAGAGATTTTATGTAGTGAAGTGGAGTGCACTGACCACTATATTGGAGAAACTAAACAAACTCTACAGAAACGACTTTACCAACATCGTAGAGAAAACTCTAGAGGGCCACAACCAGCTGTTCATCTCCACCTCAAGGCCTCCAACCACACCGTGAACGACATGGAGGTTCAAATTCTGGCTCGAGACAAAAATTGGTTTGAGAGAGGAGTGAAAGAAGCCATTTTTGTTAGGAAACACAAACCTTCTCTTAACAGAGGAGGAGGGTTAAGATTTGTTTTGCCTCGCATCTATGACGACATCCTAAAAAATAACAACGCCCTAACTTGGGACAAGGTCAGTGACATGCTAATGATTTAGGAGGGGTGAGACCTGCAATCCTCTCCAGCAATCTCATCAGACAATAGGTCTGTGACATGCTAATGAGTTAGGGTCATTAGCCTAAGCAGGGTCGTTAGACCTGCTCCCTTCCACATCAAAGAGACTTTAGATTGTTAATGAGTTAGCATCAGGATTAGGTTGTGGCTAACCACACCCATAGGTTATAAATCTCCAACGCGCCATCTGAGATCTCTTTTCCTGCACAAGTACAGATGATGGGTGAGAACCCTTCCTTTGCTTTGACTAAGCCCTGTACGACTGAGGGCTTACACAAACTCAGATCAGAGAATCAAACAATCTCCAAAATATGAACCACCAATGATATGTGTGTGTAAGCTTTCAAGCAAAACTGTGATTTGAGTCATGTTCAAATTCCTCCTAGATCCCAAATAAACTGCAGTTAGCAGGTATAGTCACAACATGTTTTCCAACTGCTGTGGACATGGAGCTAACATTCTTCCTAAAAGAACATGGTAGTGTCCTCTCACCGTCCCTTCAGCCAGAGCAGAGATCACGTTCCCCAGAGCAGACAGAGACTTGTTGATCATTTTGGCCTCATCCAGAACGGTTCCTTCAGCTCCGGTCTTCCCCACCTGAGGACGCACACAGAGGGACAGACGTGGGACACTGAGACCTCTCGTTCCAGGCTACAGCAGGACAAACGAGGGTCTAAAGCCTATCGTACATCGACAGAGAAACTGGAGACAACTAGTTGCAAGGCGGCTTTTGGCAACTGAGAGGAGATGATGGAGATGATCAGTTGCCGAAATCGGTCGATGTACGCGCTCTTACAACTGGAGATGATCAGTCGATCTCCAGTTTCAGTCAGTTGCCCGTGTTCTACTTTTCGGCAACTAGTTGTCCTCAGTTTCGGAGATATGACCCGATGTGCGCGCTCCATGCGCCGCTCCGACAACGTGTGTGTATTGCGAGTATTGCGAGCCCGCAACAGTTTATGTCAGAAAACACACTGTAGTTGAGGCCAGTTGCTGTAGATGTCTGCTACTGGGAGTTGCCCGTTTTCGTCAGATTGTCGATGTGTGCGGGGCAGCAACTCATATGCGACGGATATAATCAGTTGCCAGTCCGATGTACGCTAAGCTTTATGAGTAGCAACACGACGACTCTCACCAAGAAGGTCCTGGGTTCGGAATCCCCGTCGGAACAGGGTCTTTCTGAGTGTGTTTTGGGGTCCGTTTTAGTGGTAGGTGAAAGGTTACCACTTTCACCTACCACTAGGTTAAAGTGGTAGGTGGTAGCACCAGTTTTCCTAGCTGGTGTAATGGCTTATTCTCAAAATGTTATTTATTGATTAGATATGGACACAACAGTTACATCGGACACCCAGATGCACTGCCTTTAGTGTTGTTGTAATTCCATGCTAGTTTTCAACACTTGCAAACGCACAACTTCCCGGTTTTAGCGTGAGCATTTCCGGTTTCACACTTGTCTCCTGTGTTTTTAACAAAAACAAAGCAGCTGGTGTACTCCTGCTGTGTTCAGGACCTCTTTCAGAGCACAGTCGGGCATGTTCAGAGACTTATTTACATCCTCATCAGCCCTTCACGGAGTAAAAGGAAGAGGGTTGTGCACAGAGTCTTTTAAAAAACATGTTCAATTATGACAAAAAAATTAAAGAATTACTAAAGATGTCTCTGAAAGCGAAAGTGATGCCTCCTGCACAGAGCGAGTGACTGTGTGTGTGTGTTTGCATTGTCTGTTTGTGTGTCTGTCTGTGCGTGTGTGTTTTCATTGTCTGTTTATGTGTCTGTCTGTGTGTGTGTGTGTGTGCGTTTCTGTGTGTGTATTGTCTGTTTGTGTGTGTGAGTGCGTGTGTGCGTGTGTCTGTGTGTTTATTGTCTGTGTGTGTGTGTGTGTGTGTGTGTGTGTGTGTCTGTCTGTCTTTATATTGTCTGTGTGTGTGTCTGTCTTTATATTGTCTGTGTGTGTGTGTCTGTGTGTGTCTTGTCTGTCTGTGTGTGTATTGTCTGTGTGTGTGTGTCTGTCTGTCTTTATATTGTCTGTGTGTGTGTGTCTGTGTGTGTATTGCCTGTTCGTGTGTCTGTGTGTGTATTATCTGTTGTGTTGTCCTTTTTACCCAGAACTCACCCCTTTTGTTCCCAGGACTCTTGGTGGAATAGAAATGAATGACTATTGAATAATATTGTCCTTTTTCTGTTTCCTCTTGTGTTGATGCATGACCTGATGACTGTGTAGCAATAATGAGAGAAACAACACAAGCGATAGAGCTCTCATATCTGACTGAGCACATATATCTAGCCCCACACACTTGTCAAAATGAGAGCCCATGTGCACAGGGGCCTCCAACACTATTTGTATGTGCAGTAAGAACAGTGTGAAGAAGCCTGTACCTTCTCACTCCCTGCCAGGTCCACCAGGTAGAGCTTCCCGGTCTTGGTCTGCTCCGTCTTACTGTTCTCCTGTTTGATGCTGATGATGAAGATGCTGTGGCTCCGGGAGCTGTCGGCGTTCATGTCTGCAACAAACAAACTTCTATCTCACACACATCAACATCATTTATATAAAAACGACGCAAAACATCCCGGGAAATGCATGTACTGTATATTATCAGAATCTTAACAAGGATTCCCAAAGTTTAACTACAACTGCCCGAGCTGTCGATTTGACTGCTCTCATTCAAACCATGAGAATTCTTAGAAAATCTCACCAAAAATGTTTAGTTTTCCACCAGTTTTATTAAAAGTCCTGAATGAGGTCATTTTTATCTTTCCTTACTTTTGTCAAGTGCTAAAACTGGTGAATATACATGAAAACAACAAAGGCTTAATGCTAACTGATGCAAGTAAACACTGGGCTGCTGTCCACTCCAAAACCAGTACCAGTCCAGAACCAGCACCTTGAACAAAAGGTATTTCACTGCCATAGAAATAAAACCAAAAATGATTGTTAAGAATTGCAATGATATTGAATTCTAGCCCAAATTTCGCATTTATATCAAATTGTCACATTTTTGCCAATTCCTGCCCCTCCGCCCGACGTGTGCCACATGATGTCACTGACTTTGTCGCCGGTGTTTCGGTGGTAGCATGAACTAAACCAGTCTTTTCTTGTGCTGGCAGTCAGCAGACCAGGGCAGACCTCATGAGCTGCGATCTCAAGGCTCCAGTGTTCACTCACTTGTGAAAGCCACGTGGCGGTTACTCTTCCCTTCATCTATGGCTTCCATGACCTCGTCCGGAGTGCACACGAAGCGCTCGGTACTGCCCTGAGGACCAGAGCACAACAAAACCACTGTTGACTGCGTCCTATTCATGATTCACTGTGCAGCGTCCGATCACACTGTTTATCGTGAAGGAAGCGGAAGGTTTGATCATGCATGTAAACGTGTACCTCCGACCACTGTGTGAAGTGCCCGTGTCGCATCAGAGGTTACACAACAGTGGGTCGCACACAAACATTCAATAACACACACACACACTCATACACTAGTGCACGCAGACACTGGAGTGAGGCGGGTCAAGTGTCTTGCCCATGGACACATGGCAGCCTTCACCAATAGGAGCTGGTTTCACACGTGTGGCTCAGAGGATCCAGCAGGACAATCAGGTAAAGCACAAGCGTGTGATGGATCAGAGGCCTCACCTTCACATACGGCACTCTGTTCTTGTCCTCGTGGACCGACAGGTTTGTCTTTGTGACTGCAGCAAAGGAAACATCATTAACATCGACCTGTGATGGCAAACCCGGCCCCAGGGCCAGATATCTATAAAGACTATAAAGGCCCTCGGTGCTGCGTGCACATGGTCTGGAGCCGTAGTCTCACTCTTGGCTCTGCTGTGATATATTTTACAATAAATTATATAAAAATCTATTTATGTGTAAAAAATTAGGCCTGATAAAAACTTAAGAAATGGTGAATTGGCTCCAGCTATAGCCAACAATATGTTAAAAACGGCCTCTTCCGCATTAAGTCTAGAACTAGAACATTGTCACAAAGAAGGAAACTAATTCAGCTGTACCTGATAAAGTATATAATAATGTGTGTACAGAACATAAACATGGTGATGATGAGGATAGATAATGTTATACATTAATATATAATTGTTGTTGTTGTTGTGGACATAGTTACTGACCCAGAGTGGATGTATGTGTTTGTAGATACAGTGGGAGTAAGTCTTACTTCTTCCCACTCCATGTCAGGAAAATGTATATTTATGTACAGTATTTATGTGTGTAAGTATGTACTGTATGTTCAAGGTCTGTATTTGAAAAGTCAAACAACTGAAATGAAAAAACTGAAAAGAAGTCATCATTGAACATGTTTGAACCAGGACTCTGCTAACTTCAGCCGCCTACAGCCTGCATCCCACCTGGTCTGTCTTCTGGTACACATTCTGTCTCACATAGTGCTCTGTCCCGCTGGGGTCAGGGGTCAGCAGTAGAGGGCGTCATACGTACTGTCCAGCAGGTCCTTGATTTTGTCCAGATAGATTTCAAAGTAGGAAACCTGCAAAAGTCAGGTGTATGAGACACAGAATTGACACAACCTCGAACAAAAGTGTGTAGCGGTAACACAACGTACTTTGATGTGGAACTCCAGATTCTCGTCCATGGAGTAGATGTGGTTGAAGATGTCCTGCACGATCCTGGGAATAATGCCCATCATGTCAGGGTCATGGAGCTTCCCCTGGGAACAGGCAGACACCAGAGTTGGATCCTGCATATTTGATGTTTTTGGGTAGAGGTCGGGAACCTTTGGAGCTGGGAGAACCGCAACAGTCTCCTACTTAAAAGAATATTTCTGTGGGACCCACACTTTATTATGTTACTGTGGATATGTGTGAACCAGATCAGCACATTTAGAGTGAGATATTAGTCTCAGAATGTAATCTTTATTTTGGTATCATTTCCATAATGAAGAAATCTAGAAATCCAAAGTAAGTAAGTAATCTTTATTTACAGTATATACCGCCTTTCACAGACCAGAGTCACAAAGCGGTGAAGTTATTTTTTGGGCATTTGTCTCTCGCTCCACACAGAGATGGGGGCAGGGCCAGTACAGGAGGCGCATCCCAGACCTATTGCACATGTTTTTAGAGGTAGGGGAAACTGGAGCACCCAGAGGAAACCTACGCAGACACAGGGAGAACATGCAAACTCCCGTTCGTACCGGGAGTCAAACCCAGGACCTACTTGTTGAGAAGTGAGAGTGCTATCCTCTCAGCCACCGTGCTGCCCATCATCAAAAGAGCCACTTCTGGCTCCCGAGCCACAGGTTCCTGACCTCTCAATTTCATTTCAATTACATTCATTTTCTGTAGCCCTAAATAACAACAGTGGTTTTCTTGGAGGACTTTACAGAGTCATCCCAACACCGGGATCCTGGATCATCACCACTGTCCTAAGACCCTCCTACATCTGCAAGGAAAAACTCTAAACCCAACGGGAGAAAATGAGAAACAGTTCAGAGTGTGACTAGTTTAGTTCCGGATGAACCTATGGTTTGACTGATTTAAGAATTTGAACAACGTCTTTGAGTGTCTGATATTGGAATGTAACTTAGTTATCATTTTGCTAAATCATATGTGGCTGAATTCTATACTGTCTGGATCGTAATCCACTGTTGACTTCAGAGTGCTTGGGGTTGTATGCAGATGCCAGGAGGATGCAGGTTTTGAGGATGCTAATGTCTCACTGTCCTTTTGTTGTGCTGGCTCTTCCTGTGCATATGAAGGTGTCTTGTTCTTTAAAAGGAGTTTGCCGCCTGATCTGAGGGAGATCTGATTTTGGAACCAAAGAGAGAGCAGCACTTTCTGCTCTGTCTCTGGTTTGGAAATCACTTCTCCTTGGAATGCAACCAAGAATAAAAATACAGAACTATGTCTTTTGTGTTTGTGATTTTGTCAGGATTGATTGTAAATTACAGCAATAACAGTGTCCAAAAATCATAACCATTTAAATGTTAAATAAGACATCAAACATTTTGCAGCCCTGGTTTGGAGACTTCTTACCTCCATGGAGTGTGTTTTCCCAGAGGAGGTCTGTCCGTAGGCGAATATGGTCCCATTGTATCCCTCCAGTACATCTGTAGGAGAAGGGGGCGGGGACAGGGGATGGGGGTAAGTCTGGATCACTGCTGCTGGAACCGACCCCAGCTCCACTCACCTTTGACAATCTGCTGAGCCACGTTGTTGTAAAACTGCTCTTGTGTGGTGTTGGACTGGAAGACCCGGTCGAAGTAGAACGGTTTACCCTGGACATGGAAAAGGACATTGTGATCCGTAACATTGAGAGTTGGATTTGAACCCAGAACCTTCATGCTGTGAAGGACAAGCGCTAACCACTGTGCCTAAAGCCCCATTTCCACCAGCCCTATTTTGGCTCTTTTCTTCCTCTTTATTTGTTGCCGGGTCCTGGGGGCAGCAGTCTAACGCCCAGACTAGATATTTATATATTTATATGTCACATACAATGTTAACAATACGGTCAATAAGATGTAGCAAAGATATGCTGTAGCATAAAGCTATAACTACAGTTCCACAGTGTTCCTGACTCTCTCCACACACACTTCCTCCAGCTCATTCAGGGGAATCCAGAGACATTCTGAGGCCAGAGAGATATAGTACCTCAAGAGTGTCCTGGGTCTTTTCTTGTCCAAGAGGCAACAGATGCCCGAGCCTCTTCACCTGTCTCCTCTCGCTCATGATTTGGCTGAAAATCTAGACCTTTGCCTTTCAACTCTGCTCCCTCTTCACCACAACAGTCTGATATAGCTCTGACTGCAGACGCTGCTCCCTCTTCACCACAACAGTCTGATACAGCTCTGACTGCAGACGCTGCTCCCTCTTCACCACAACAGTCTGATACAGCTCTGACTGCAGACGCTGCTCCCTCTTCACCACAACAGTCTGATACAGCTCTGACTGCAGACGCTGCTCCCTCTTCTCCACAACAGTCTGATAGAGCTCTGACTGCAGACGCTTCTCCCTCTTCTCCACAACAGTCTGATACAGTGACTGCATCACCTCGCACGCTGCACCTCCATCCTTCCCTCAGTCGTGAACAAGACCCAGAGATACTTTAACTCCTCCACCTGAATCCCAGAATTATGAAACTACTAGAACTCTATCAAATCAATGGAATTCTGAGAAATTCCCCCCTAAATTGTTTAGTTTTCCTCTAGTTTTATTAAAAGATTTTTTTTTGAATTATTAACTTGAAGTTATTAGTAAATAGTAAATATAACAAAATAAGTTTGTTGAAAGGCTACAAACTGCTGACAGTAAACGCTGTGTTTAGGGCTGGGACAACGCATCGCCGTAATCGGTGACGTCGACGCAAAAAAATACGTCGGTACAAAATATGTGCGTTGATTTGTCATACTGAAAACAAAGAGGGCAGAGTGCGTTCAGACCGCCAACGCTGGAACGCAGTTTCCACTCACATTCTCTAAATTACACAGAGGCTTGGGGTGTTCAGACCAGACTGGTTAAGCTAGCGGCTTTTTGTGTACAGTTCTTCTCTAAAAAGGCACCTCTGTAGCGTTTCTGTGTCCAGAGACCTTCCAGAGGCTTTATATAACAGCAGTATGTGTTCACGGAGGTGCGCCATATGTTTATTGTATTATTAGACAGTACTTCCGCATCGGCAAACATGCTATCTGCGCTACATGCTATCTGCGCTACATGCTATCTGCGCTACATGCTATCTGCGCTACATGCTAGTGGCGCTAGTTTAGTCACTGGAGAATTACAACTCTGGCTGGAGACACAAGTTCACAAACACACACAAAAAGACAGACAATATTCTTTTGGGGAAAGGAAAGAGTCTAAGTTGTTATTTGTGAATGTAAGCTAGGCCTATGTTCAACATAACTGTTTATTTTCATAGTTTTTTGCTAGAAAAACACTCTCTTTTGCTTAAACCCCTCAAGTTTACATTGGTTACTGTATTCTTTCAGTTGCTCTAAACTAGTATTTTGGGTGAACCTTTTTTAATTTTAATAAATGCTAAACATCAAAGTATTATTATCATGAAAGAAAAATATTAAGATGCACTTATTTCAGCAAGCTAGATGTGTTTTCAAAGCTTCAAGGTTTTATGCTACCTCTAGTTGTGTAAAGGAATTCATGTTTTTTCATTCAGATATGTAAATCAACAAACAGCACACAATGTATACATTGATGTTGGTCAATTAAAGGGGAGATAATCGAATCGAACTGAAAAAACTAATCGTTAGATCAATGGATGCATGGGAAAAATAATCGCTAGATTAATCGTTGAAAAAATAATCGTTTATCCCAGCCCTAGCTGTGTTGCTATGGTAACTATGACTGCTCTGGTTAAAGGTAAAAATACTAACATTTAAGATTTAAATGATAATGTAATAAAAATAATGACTAAGAAATAAACTCTATATAGATACAGAAAAAGTCAAACAGTTATGGAGACCAAAAAAATACATAAACGGAATAGTTACTCTTCCGAAACTAAAAGCCGTCAAATTGACTGCTCCGGGAGTTCTGCAGCAGCAGCAGCAGCAGCAGCAGCAGCAGCAGCTCTCATCAGTCGGCCGTGGAGAATACCAGGGCTGACTTGGTTTGAGCCTGGAGCCTTGTTCTCTGTCATGCTCTGGGAAACAATCCTCAATTTATCTCGACAGAGAAGTGAGGATCAAAGCTGCTCCACAGTTTCACAACTTTATAACGGTAGATTTATAACGGTAGATTTATAACGGTAGATTTATAACGGTAGATTTATAACGGTAGATTTATAACGGTAGATCTGGAAACTGAACAATCCTGAACCTACACAAGAAAAACATGTCAAAGAATAAGAAGAGTTTGGACAAACTGGCCTCGAGTTGTTTTTAGCTTTTAGCCCCTGCACACTGTGACTGACAAGATGACTTCAGGTTCAGACATTTTCAATCTTAGAAACAAAAGCCTTTGAAGTCTTTGAAACTCATAATACATGTGTGAGAACATGTTTACATGATGCTGGAGTGCAGGGCTGTAATGTTTGATCGTGACAGCAATTTCTGAATTTCAGTACCTGCCTGTTTTCCCTCTTCAGGCCAAAGTTTAAAACAAATATTTATTTAAGAGCAATGATAATTAAGACGAATAAATACGTAGATTAGGGAACGAGACATAAGTAAAACAAAAACACAGAGCAAAACAAAACAAAATCAAAGGTTTCTCAAATAATCAGAATTTCAGAATTATTAATGATTACAATTCTTGATATGTTAAAGGTACACTGTGTAGTTTTTACTCCCATCTAGCCTTCAGATCATATTTTGTAATTTACAGTACTACAGTAGCTTCGAAGGACATGTGAGGTCTTTGACAGTGGTCCAGCCTCACGGACATTTATAAGTTAAATTCTAAGCCCATGACAACAATTCAAAAACATGGTGGAGGTTGTGTCACATTTATTATTAGTTCACATGTTTTTTTCATTTGGAGCAACTGCAAAACTTACACAGCGTTTCCTTGTGTATGAACAGAACTATATAAATAGATGTTGCTTATTGTATAATACTGTTTTTATCTGTGGTCTTTTCCCAGTGAATTGTTGTGTATCTTTGCACTGATGGGATTGTGCAACACTTTGGTATAGTCGTGTGTTGTAATTAGTGCAGATGATTGTCCTGATGTTGAGAGTGTCTTGTTTGTGTCCAACAGCTGTGAGCATAAGACGCATTTCCCTGAGGGGACAATAAAGTTGAACCTTTAAAAAAAACTGGCCTTCTTTGTCCTGAAGCTCGCACAAAGCCACTCACCCCCATCAAGACACAGTCGTCTCCCTTGAACTTGGGGATGTACTTGTCTCCGCGGGCCTTCTCTGCGCTGTTGAGCGGCCTGAAGCGACACACCACCTTGATGTTGGTGGCAGAGGCAGCGTCCGCCATGTCTCTGCAGCTGCTGGAGCCTGCTGCTGGAGCCTGCTGATGGAGCTTGCTGCTGGAGCCTGCTGCTGGAGCCTGCTGCTGGAGCCTGCCGCTGGAGCCTGCTGCTGGAGCCTGCTGCTGGAGCTTGCTGATCGGAGCCTGCTGATGGAGCTTGCTGATCGGAGCCTGCTGATGGAGCTTGCTGATCGGAGCCTTGATGGAGCTTGCTGATCGGAGCCTGCTGATGGAGCTTGCTGATCGGAGCCTGCTGATGGAGCTTGCTGATCGGAGCCTGCTGATGGAGCTTGCTGATCGGAGCCTGCTGCTGGAGCCTGCTGATGGAGCTTGCTGATCGGAGCCTGCTGATCACTGAGCGCCAGTCCCTCTCTCAGAGCCCCTCACTGCCCCAGGACTCCCAGATCGAGGACACTCTCCAACCGGTCGAACACTGCAGAAAAGTAGTATCTCATCACTCTTTATATAATCTTTGAATTAACTTCTATTGTACACTCCCACTGATGTCTGATGTTGTTGTGTCCTTGGGCAAGACACTTAACCCCACTTTGCCTGAAGCCCCCGCTGAAAGATCATCCTCCTGCTGTCCTCCTGTGGACTCAGCACCTGCAGGAGGATCAGTGAGGGGCTGGTGCTCTGTGAACTGGGTGTAGCTCTGACTGTCACCCCCGCCCCAGAAATGGATTAAGGGGAAGAAAATGTATGGATCTGTCGTAAATGTATAATTTTCCTCATGTTTGAATCATCAGGACTTGCAGGGCTGTATCACAGCTGCTGAGTGTGTGGATATTTGTTTATTACAACGTTGATCTGGTCGGTCTGTATTCTCTTTTATCCTGTCACTCTCGTGGCTCTTTAGCGAAACAGCCGACATTTTAACTTTTATTTACATATGAATTCACATTTCAGAACAGATTCACTTCATATGGTGGATTTCCTGAGAATAGGCTTTAAAATGAAGTATAACATGCCATAGTGTCCCATTACCATCAATGCTGCAAGTGTCTGTAATAACGATGATCCCCGTTTCGGGGCCACTAACGAAGGCCCTGCAGGCCGGGTTTGGCCCACGGGCCCAGTTTAAAGTTATATGCATTTTCCTTTTCTGTTTTCAGTTTTCTACAATTCCTATTTGTATGTTACTCTTTGGTCAAACGGACTGACATGACAAAGAGAATAGGCGTGTGGTGAAGTACTTTTGAAGTATTGACTGAAGTGGAATCGAGGAAAGGTGTTTCCTGGTCTTATTATTATTTCCATCCTCTTCTAAGGACATGTACTCACTGTTGTCTCTGTTGCATTTTTATAAAACTCAAGAAAATTCTATTTATTCTTGTATCGCCCTAAATCACAACAGTCTCAGAGGACTCTACAAAACCGACTCATTCACAGATCAAAAAATCAAACAGTTCAAACATAAAGAATAGAAAACACATTTTGGTCCAAAGGGAGTTGACCAATGTCCATAAGTGTTGATAAATGCTTATATATTAGAGGCCGATGGCACAGACTGGTTGCCTCACTTCTGTCAGTGTGCCCCAGGGCAGCTGTGGCTACAGTAGTAGTTTATCACCACCGTGTTTGGTGTGAAAGAATAATGACATGTTTTTTGTTTGAACTGTTGATTCTCTAATCTGTGTTGGCAAATTGAGAATTTTGTAAAGTCTTCTGAGATAATTATTGTTGAATCAGGACTAAACAAAAATAAAATGAATTGAAAGTGTCCAAAAATTGCTGTATAAAACCAACGCATTATTATTATTATTTATATCTTTAATATCATTATAACATGCTCAGCTTAATATCTAAATAATACTTAATATACTAAAAGATCATGTCCACAGTAGGTGTCAGTAATGCACCAGTTGGACGCCAATCCTCATTAAGAACAAATTAAGATACTTTTTCTTACCTACTGCTTTGTGTTTTTCCCTCCGACATAAAAAGATGAACATTCCAGAGTATTTACAAAAGTCCATCTCAATACTTGATTGTATTAAATCTTTTAGCAATGACAGAGGCCAAACGGTTCCTGTAAGTCTCTACAAGGTCTTCACACACTGTTGCTGGTATTTTGGACCATTCCTCCATGCAGATTTCTTCTAGAGCCGTGATGTTTTGTCGCCTCCAAAGACTCTCTTTGGGGCAGAGATCGGCAGACTTAGGCCACTCCAGGACCTTGAAATGTTTCTTGTGAAGACACCTTTTTCCTGCTCGGTTAATGTGTTTGGGATTGTTGTCGTTCTGGAACTCACGACTCAGCTTCAATGCTGAGTTGCATCCAAAGAAGTCCATACCAACGGTGAAGCATGGGGGTGGGAACATCATGGTTAAGAGCTGTTTTTCTGCAGAAGGACAAGGGATCCCGTAAAAGAAATAATGAATGGGGCCATGTATCGTGAGACTTGAGATGACATTGAAGATGAATCGTGAATGGGTCTGACTCTGTTAGAAAGGAGTGGCCAGTCTCCAGATCTCAACCCATAGAAAGTTCTTTAGAGGGAGTTGAAAGTCAGTCTGTATTTCCCAGCGACAGCCCACTGTAGAGATCTAGAAGGAGGAACGGGCCAAAATACCAGCAACAATTTGTGAAAACCTTGTGAGGACTAACAGAAAACCTTGGACCTCTGTCATTGCAACAAAGGATTTAGCAACGTGTTGAGCTGGACTTTAGTTATTAAATACATTATTTTTTTCCACCATCATTTGCAAATCTTTGAAAATCCCTTTTTTGTTATCCGAGGTATACCTATGATGAGAATTACAGGTATTTCTCTTCTTTATCATGGGAAGACTTGCACAATTGGAGGCTAACTAGTTGCCCACACAAGAACTGAATGTTTTCTGCACAGTTAATATAAAATTATTATGTACAGGATAATGTTGTAATGTTGCAACTGTTGCCGGTTTTATGACTCAAGTAAAAGTATTTCAGAAAAGACCAATTTATTTTAAAAAATGACTCAAGTAGATGAAAGTGCATAAAATGACCTACCTCTGCTCGCGACTGTAATCCAACAACTGCCCGAGATGCAACTATAAAAAGAGTCCTTAAAAGCAGCTTTAAAACACACCCAGATGATGAATCCTCTCCTGAATCAGACCTTTACACGCAGAAGAACGTGTAGAGAAAAACACCGTAAATAAAATCAACTCGTCTAGACTGAAGGAATGAGGTAGTTGGAAAACAATGTGATAAAACACAGATTTGATATTGAAGAGTGTGCGAGGAGAGCGCTGGGATGTGGCTGCAGTCCCAGAGGAGCAGGTCATATGAGCCGGTCACGTGGTGCGCTCCCTGGGGACAGATCAGCCTCCGATGACCACACATATTTACAGAAAGCACGAAACTCTACTGTCGCTTGTTTGTTTGGCCTATGTCTGCGCTGCTGTTTGATTAAAGCTGGGGAACCTCATTCTCAAACCACTGGTGACAGGGATTTAAAGTAGAAATATGTAAGATTTTCATGTCAAGTCATCATTAAAGGGCCCTAATCTGTCAAAAAGCATTAATAAACCATGGTTTTTCCCAATATTTATTTATCAGATAACAGTAGTTCAGAAATATTCAAATTTCAAAATGAGTTTTACTGTCCCTAAATCTTGTTATTGTTTTCATTTCAATGTTCCGTCACTTACCGTTATACCAATCAGAAAGTCTGTGATCCGGGTTGCCAGAACTCACAGTGTGGAGCTAATCTCACTGGTAAAGTACCATGTGGCGCAGAACTAAAAATGGTCTCGTTATGATTCTCAAATCATTAACGACAAAACAAGGAATAAAACCAGGATTTCTATCTTTGTGAAAAAGGTGTTGGTTATAGATTTGTTGTTGACAAAACTCTTGTTCTATTCAGCTGTTATGGTCCCAGCTGGATTCGTCTGCATATCTGGCAACCTGAGTCAGGGAGAGTGGGAGAGGCTGCAGTACCACATTTGGCCACATTTTTACATACTGCCCCTTTAAGTGTAATAAATAGATGTCAGTACAGTCCGCACTACATATACACATTTTTATATGTATATCTTTTTGCAAGACTGGTAATGAAGCGTTTACAGCTAGCTGCCAACCCAGTGTGCTCTTACTACTGTCCTGTATGTGCGCTGCAACATTGACATTTCCCCAATGTGGGACAGCTAAAGTATCTCTAATCTTATCTTATCATATCTTAGTTCCTAGCTCTAAAACACTTCAATGAGCGGTTTTAGTCAGAAAGGTGAAAAAGAGAGGCCCGCCCTCACTCGGCCAATCAGCTCCTAGCCCAAGAATGTTTGCTTCTGGTACTGAGTGTGTTCTGGCGCAAACCCAGGTCCAATCAGAGAGCTCCACTGTGGAAGTCTCATGAATATAAAGTCCTTTGTCAGTCCTGTGTCTTCATGAGACTGGACCAACCCGACATCAAACATAATCTGGCACCCTCCAAACTAAACTGTACAATGTGTCCATCTTACTTCAAGTGGCAATACACAAGACACTTCACCTCTGGGAACAGCAGGTGCCACAGTGGGGCGGCTGCGGCTGTAGAGTGCCAAACTGCTGTTGTGTCCTCTTCTGTGTGTGCTTTATATTCTTCATGTGTTTTAACTGTTGATTCTCTGACCTGTGTTGGTGATTTCAATGGTTTTGTTAAGTCCTCTGAGATGACTTCTGTTGTGACCTAGGGCTATACAAGAATAAATTGTATTGTATTGTATTGTATTAACAATTGTAAACCGCTTTGAGACTCAGATCTGCAGTGAAAAGGCGGTATATAAATAAAGATTACTACTTACTTACTTACTTACTTCACCCACAATGCCTGGGATGATGGTTGGTGGTGGTCAGAGGGGCCGATGGCACATACTGGTTGCCTCGCTTCTGTCAGTGTGCCCCAGGGCAGCTGTAGCTACAGTAGTAGTTTATCACCACCGTGTTTGGAGTGAATGAATAATGACATGTGAAGCGTCTATGAGTGTCCAGAAAAGCTCTGTATAAAAACCAGTGCATTATTATTATTATTAACCTTGAATTTCAGTTTGTAACTTTTGCTTTTACACAATTGTTTATAAAAGTACTTTTGGATAAACAAAACCTTCCAAAGCTTTAACGTTGACTCCTGCACCGTGTTCAGCAGCTGCTCGACAGTATCATGAGCACACACGCTGATTCCTCTGATACAATGTGTGTTTTTAAAGAGCATGTAAGCGCGAGCAGTGCTTCCCAAAGTGAGGAGCGCGAGATGACGTCCAGAAAGATTTCAAACATTAACATTAAAAGTGACATTATGATTTTGTGTAAATGATGTTTATTCTTCCGTGACTTCATTTTCAAGTCCTCTTACTAACGCTGGAGTTCAGAGTTGGACCAAACTTTTGAAAGAGTGTCATGAAGACCACGTGATTCAACTCTAGTGTCTTAAAATCACTGCTGAAGCTCTAGGAAGCAGTTCAGCTGAATGTCCTGCTCCTCCTGTTGGCCAGCAGAGGGCGCCACAGACCCACATGTGCAGAATGTAGCAGCTAGAGCTCATCCTTCTCTTGTGTTATTGAACGGTTTTACTTGTATTAAAGGTGCAGTGAAGGATTTCTGTTAGCTTAGCAGTAGCATCCGAGTCAAAATCACTCCCCCTCCCTCCTGCCCTCCACCAAACTCAACTCCCCGCACCCATGAACCGGTGTTTCTGTAATGTACTTGACATGTGAATGTATTACACTACATTAGGGCTCAAGTCTGTGAGCGAATTGCCTGCTTTACTTGACGAGCACTAGATTCCCCTAAAAAACTAGCAATTAGCAAAACTGGACTGCTGATGCATGACATAGCCAAGTCTTCTTATACAACGCCATCTGATGTTCTCTTCTTTGCCATGACAGGGCGAGGGCATGGTGGCAAATATGAAATTGGCACATTTGGGGGTTTTCAGTTCAGCCATTGTAGACTCCGACTCAATAACGACTCAGACACAGTGGGGGCAGGTCCCGGCTCAAAAGGGGGCAAAATGACGTGCGCTGACGTGCTTGCAATACCACCCCGGTCCGATGGTGGTGGACCCGGAATAAGAATTAGCCAATGCTAACATATAGCATCTTCTTACCTCTCGAAAACGTCTTTACATTATGGTCCAAAAGTTGGCTCTTGGCCCAAAGCGCCGTTCCACATGTGTGTCAATGCTGAGGGGAGTGACTTTTTTTGGACCAGTTGTGAAGTCACTCGTTTAAATGAATGGGGCTCATGCCGACAGACGCATGCGCAGATGCGTTTTTTCACATTTTCCAGCCCCCGCTGCCATTTTGAAACTGACCAAAGACCGCGGAAGTTGTGGCACATCAGTTAGAACGGAAGAGATAGGTGTGACTACATCAGTTAATATTTACAGTCTATGCTCAGACAAGTGCGCTCACTGAGGAAAAGCAGGAGGAGAGGGTAGGGAGAAACGCTTCCCCTTGGTTTCTTTCTATCAGTCTTCTCCAAAATATGTATTATTTATTTAGGTTATAGGCATCTGCTCATGTCCATTCCTATTTGAAAACACATCATAACTTGACTACTTGCATGTGACAATGCATGGGTTTTTTATAGTGCTTTTATGGACACTCAAAGACGTCTTGTGGCGGGGTCAAACAAGCCAACTGTGCAGGAAGAGCAGGTGGACCAGTCTGCAGAGTCAGGGATACACGACACCAGCACCTCCAGAGGTTCTGATCAGGGGCTTGAATGTCAGTGGAGTGGGCGTTATCATAATAGATCCATGAGTTGGCTGTGTGGTGTTAAGCATGAAGAAGATCCAGGACATTTGAAGAGAGTTTCCTTTTAATATGAAGTGGAATATTTTGGAAATATTCAATAACTGAAGATTGATTGTAATGTAATTGAACTGTATCAGATCCAAGATTTTCAACTGATTGATTTGTAAGTAGAAGTTTTCCATAACATCATAAAAACTTCTGAGCCTGTGGACTAAAAGGTTTTGTGCTTTGGGCTCAAAAGTGTCTCTGTACATGAGATGGAGACAGGTACAGATTACTGTTATGACAGGTCCATTAGTTGTTATAACTTTAAATTCACAGGGCAAACCAATGCAGTCGTTTATTCATTAACATTCACAGTGGGTTGTTGTTGTCCAGTTCAATCTATGCGTAATTTTTGTGTAATTAATTTGGGCGGCACGGTGGCTGAGTGGATAACACTCTTGCTTCTCAGCAAGAAGGTCCTGGGTTTGAATCCTGGCCGGAACAGGGCCTTTCTGAGTGGAGTTGGCAAGTTCTCCCCGTACGAACGGATTACTTTACTATAGCATTCTTCGCCATTGCCAAACTACAACCTGCCTATTTCGCATAAACTCTTGACGTCACCGACCGCCTCCCGCGCTCGCTGATTGGTCAGATGGAATTTCAACTAATGTAATTGTAGACACTGAAACCAGACCCAGACGGTATATGCAGGGAAATTATAATTGACCGGAGTTTAAGGATGGCTAAGGCCAGGCTACTAATGTCCCAGCCCTAATTAAAATGTCCCCAAAATGTTCAAAAACACTGCCCCTTTGAGGTTCTGTGGCTGCAGGGCCTGGTGTACAGATCTGCAGCTCATGGAGAGAGGAAAACACTCGTACACGCTCCTGGTTTTTACTAGAGTCTGAATTGTCTACATAATGTTGCTCTTTCACTACCCTTCATTCTGCTCTCCCTCACTGACAGAAAATAGGCCACGGCACAATGTTGCTTTAAATAATTTGCGATATCAGCATATTCCATCCACGTGCTTATGCATTATGGAGAGAAGACCTTCAATTATTGATACAAGCTCCTTTGACATGACACATCTGTGCAGCTGATGAAGACTGTGGTGGTAGAGCTGCTAATCCAAGTCTGTGTCTTTCAAACCTGCAGGTTCACCCTAAAGGGCCAAATAACATGTGAACACAAACAGAACGGCTTCCTGGTTTGGAAGGAGAATGGTGGAAAATTGTATAATCAATCAATCAATTTTATTTATAGAGCCCTTTACAACACTCAAGGCGACCAAAGTGCTTCACAATAAAATTACATAAAATCCATTTAAAACATTTATACATAAAACAGATTAAAAAACATGTAAAAAGTGTCACCTGCTGTTGAGTGATAAAAGTTTTAAAAGGGTTATTAAAAATAAATAAGTTTTGAGCCTGGATTTAAAAAGGCCAAAATCAGTGAGGACTCGCATATCAGGGGGGAGCTTGTTCCAGAGTCTGGGTCCAGCGACTGAGAAGGACCGGTCTCCCCAGTGTTTGGACCTAGTCCTAGGTACTTCCAAGAGGAGTTGAGATGAGGACCTCAGTGATCTGCCCGAGTCACGAACAGACAAAAGTTTGGACCAGTACCGCGGGGCGAGACCATTGAGGGCTTTAAAAACAAAGAGTAAAATTTTAAAATCAACTCAAAACAAAACTGGAAGTATAAAACCAAACCTCTAACTCCAGTCACGGATCCTTGCACTAATGACAATATAATGACATCTACAATCACACAACACAGAAGAGGACTGGATTTGGTCTGTTCTGAGCCTAACAATGAGGTATGACATATCTACACTCCACATTCAACAACATTTATGGACTTTCACCATTATTTGAACCTTGAGTCTGCAAATAAAGCTATCTATCTATAGCAACATTAACTTTATCAAAATGTATGAACATTGGTCATCTGCCCCTCATGGATCAGTCTCATCTCATTTAAACAAACTGTATGTGTAGATAACAGTTATTGCCGGATGGTGCCAAAAAACCAACATGTTTGTAGCAGTGTGAGGGCTTATTTTATTAGTGATTGGGTTATTGGCATCCTCTCCATCTTTTCAGTTTTGCTCTAGATATTATTATCAAGATTTTGCAAATGAAGAATAGTCACAAAGTGCTTTACAAAATATTTTATTTGAAATAGCGTCATGTACAATTATTTTGACAGAAATTGCTGGTCAGGATTAGGTTGTCACAAAATGCAATCATTATGTTTTAATAAAATATATCTGTTTTTTTTTTTACACATTTGCGAGACGTATGAGACAAAGCCAACGCTGCTTCATTCCACAGCAAAGAAATGGCATAGTGTTTTTTTCTACATACGGGCTTCTGCGTCCATGTCGTCATCGGGAACTCGGCAGTGCTACCCAGACCAACTTTAACCCTGGATCTTACCATAGCCCTCAACTAACTCTCAACCTAACCCTCACCCAACGTCTGTGTCCATGTTGTCATCAGGAACTCGGCAGTGCTACTCAAACCTACCCCAACTTTAATCCTCAACCTCACCCTCACCCTCACCCAACCCAACCTAACCCTCACTCTACCCTTCTCCCAACGTCTGTGTTCATGTTGTCATCGTGAACTCTGCAGCTCTACTCAAACCTAGCCAAACTTTTACCCTCAACCTCACCCTAGCCCTCAACTAACTCTCACCCTAACCCTCATTATAAGTCTCAGCCAAGGTCTGTGTCCATGTCGTCATCGGGAACTCGGCAGTGCTACTCAAACCCATTCCATCACTAACCCTCCCCCTCACCCTTATCCAACCAAACCTAACCCTCGCTCTACCCTTCTCCCAACGTCTGTGTTCATGTTGTCATCGAGAACTCGGCAGTGCTACTCAAACTCAGCCCAACTCTAATCCTCACCCTAACCCTGTGCAAGCCCGCACCTTAACCCAAACTCAACCCTCAGCAGTGCAGAGTCAGACTCCAGACCTCAGCTGGAGACCGGACCATCTCCCATATTCAGTCCCAAAGCAAGCTAGCTACCCAACCCTCTCCCCAATCCTACAACCACATCCTTACCCTAACCCCAACCCTACAACCACCTCCTTACCCTAACCCCAACCCTACAACCACCTCCTTACCCTAACCCCCAACCCTACAACCACCTCCTTACCCTAACCCCCAACCCTACAACCACCTCCTTACCCTAACCCCCAACCCTACAACCACCTCCTTACCCTAACCCCCAACCCTACAACCACCTCCTTACCCTAACCCCCAACCCTACAACCACCTCCTTACCCTAACCCCCAACCCTACAACCACCTCCTTACCCTAACCCCCAACCCTACAACCACCTCCTTACCCTAACCCCAACCCTACAACCACATCCTTACCCTAACCCCCAACCCTACAACCACCTCCTTACCCTAACCCCCAACCCTACAACCACCTCCTTACCCTAACCCCCAACCCTACAACCACCTCCTTACCCTAACCCCCAACCCTACAACCACCTCCCACCTAACCCCAACCCTACAACCACCTCCTTACCCTAACCCCCAACCCTACAACCACCTCCTTACCCTAACCCCCAACCCTACAACCACCTCCTTACCCTCCCCTCCTACAACCACCTCCTTACCCAACCCCAACCCTACAACCACCTCCTTACCCTAACCCCCAACCCTACAACCACATCCTTACCCTAACCCCCCCTACAACCACCTCCTTACCCTAACCCCCAACCCTACAACCACCTCCTTACCCTAACCCCCAACCCTACAACCACCTCCTTACCCTAACCCCCAACCCTACAACCACCTCCTTACCCTAACCCCCAACCCTACAACCACCTCCTTACCCTAACCCCCAACCCTACAACCACCTCCTTACCCTAACCCCCAACCCTACAACCACCTCCTTACCCTAACCCCCAACCCTACAACCACATCCTTACCCTAACCCCCAACCCTACAACCACCTCCTTACCCTAACCCCCAACCCTACAACCACCTCCTTACCCTAACCCCCAACCCTACAACCACCTCCTTACCCTAACCCCCAACCCTACAACCACCTCCTTACCCTAACCCCCAACCCTACAACCACCTCCTTACCCTAACCCCCAACCCACAACCACCTCCTTACCCTAACCCCAACCCTACAACCACCTCCTTACCCTAACCCCAACCCTACAACCACCTCCTTACCCTAACCCCAACCCTACAACCACATCCTTACCCTAACCCCCAACCCTACAACCACCTCCTTACCCTAACCCCAACTCTACAACCACCTCCTTACCCTAACCCCCAACCCTACAACCACCTCCTTACCCTAACCCCAACCCTACAACCACCTCCTTACCCTAACCCCAACTCTACAACCATATCCTTACCCTCAACTCAATTCTACAACCTCACCCCAATCCTAGTCATACTGTAATATCTGTTGAAAAATAAATGTCTCTGTCCTGGACAATACTCCATAGACGTCATTGAGTCCCATGAGGAGATTTCAGATCTGATTGACTAAACTGCTACACCGCTCTTTTCAGAAGAGCAGATTTGAGAATCCTGAGCTCCTGAACTTTTGTATCCACTAAAATCATGATGTCTAAATATAGATGATGTAAATAGAGTACATTATAACAATATTTCATACTTTTGGAGAGGTTCCGGAGGACACATGAACACAGCACACATGAAACCACGGGATACCAGCGCTTTTCAAGAAGACATTAGAGTTTATGTGATTCAAAAGAACATTTGAAAAACATAGGCTACTATATATTCTGTTATAATTTACACTCTCAAAACAATAGTGAGCAATCTATATAATAATAATAAAAGACATACGTTTATAAAACATGTTTTTTTCTGTTATTGGGGGAAGGAGCTTTCGAGAAGGGAATAAAATAGATGTATCCATGAGAAACGTTCAATGTAAGACAATGGTGAGTATCGACATTCTCACATTTGGAGTTGGAGTATTGTACGTGACATGCATTTGTTACAAAGACTGTCCGTCAGAGCAGACATACACAACACTCTGCACTTTGGCGCTTTTTTTCTCTCTTTTGATTGAAAAACCACTAAAACTAGTTCATAAATATAAATATGTGCTGGCTGTCACATCAGTACCATCACTAAATGATTCTTCTCTACTGGAAATCACCAACACCGATTTAGGAAAATATGTTTTCTCACCAACTATTACAAAAATGGAGGTTTCTGACTCACATGTGATATGTTGTGTTAAAGTGGGAACGTCCAGCACACGCGACCACCACGGCCGGTTTGTTTGCAAGACCAGGCAGAGCTAGTGTGCTACAGCATGTGTTTAGAAGACTGAAATAACGCTAGAGGGAGAGACAGGAGAGGACTGAAACACCAGAGAGGCCCTTTGAAAGAGGCTGAACTTTGGACAAAAACATATGTGATCATTTCAGCATTGAATGTCATGGCGATATATTTTTACAAAACTCTTACATGATCCAACTCATGAAAAAGTGTTTTCTCCTAAATGATGGAAGCACATGGTGAAAGCCCTATCTCTGCTACACTCACTCATGCAGCACTCAGCTCTTTTAGGATCCGTTTGGACGTGTGCTCGGGCAGTGTGCTACCGAATAGCTCTAAAAGTTGATGCTAATGCTAAGCCCAGTGCAAGATGACCCTAGTCTTGAGACGCATGTGTTTCTGGCCTCTGTGCCCTCTTTAGATCAGCTTTTTCAAGTAAGTAAGTAATCTTTATTTATATACCGCCTTTCACAGACCAGAGTCACAAAGCGGTTTACAATTGTTATTTTTGGGCACTTGTCCTCTCACTCCACACAGAGATGGGAGCGGGGTCGCCAAACAGGAGGCGCATGCCAGACCTATTGTACATATTTTTAGTGGTAGGGGAAACCGGAGTACCCGGAGGAAACCTACGCAGACACAAAAGTGAATAAGAAAGGACAAACCTCAATCAGCCAAAGAGACTAAGTCCAGTTTCCACTAGCCCTACTTCACTGTACTTAACTGTACTTAACTCTACTGTATTCTACTCTTCCACGATTCAGAGTGTTTCCATTGGCCCTGTTTAACCAGTACCAGGTCCTACTTTAGTCTCTCTTGGCACTGCTTCTTACCAGGCCAAGCTGGAAGCCATGGTTCCCAAGAAGTGTCCATGCATACTGGTTTGTTGTGGGTAGGTTGCTAAGATATGATACCAGAGGTCAGGGATAAAGTTTAAAGCAGTGTAAAGTTTTGACCATCTTACAGAGAACTGCTCAATCCAGTAGTTATAGCACTACTGCAAACTTACCAATACACGGCCAATAAACATCTTTTTGCTTTACAGTTCAAAAGGAAATACTACTGGGTTGAGTAGGGGTGGTGGAAACAGGGCTCTATAGTGACTCACAGGGAAGTATGCAAAATACGTAGTTCCACGCAGTGCTGGGAGCGGGTTATCATGATCTTACTCACCACAGAGCTGTTAGCTACTTCTCGCTTTAGAATGTATAAATATATTTGGAATCTCACGAATCAAAAATGAATGAGATTGTTACTTGTAGAACTGTGAGGTGGGCAGGCACCTCACAGATCCATTGTGGCTACAAGTAGTACAAACAATGTTGGCAGTGTGTGTGTGCGTGTGTGTGTATGTGTCCATGTTTGTATGTGTATCTGTGCATGTATGTGTGTATAAATGCTGCTGCTACTCCATGACAGTACTTCATAGCATTTGGCAAGAGCAGTTTATACTTGTGCATCTGACCCCACCACAGACCGAGAGGAGACCTCAGCTTCCATGAGCTTCACGTGTGTGAGCGACACACTGATTCTGACAGGACTCCACCGAGCAGTCTATGAGGATCCACCAATCACAGGCCGTAGTGGCAGGAAAAGCAGGCTTTGTGATTGGCTGATGCATGAAGAGGAGGAGGCAGACGCAGAAGTATGAAGCCGCCTTCAGTCCTCACCATGGTAACGCTCCGTGCACTCACAGCATTTGGACTCGGTCGCTACAAGAGGAGGCTAAGCACACTTATGGTTCAACAGTATGTCCAATGTGCACCAGGACACAAACATGGAGCGCCCTGCGCACCGCGGCAAGAGAACTAAAGCTGCACCACACACTCTTTCAAAGAGGATTTCACATTTCTCTGAGGTCTACAGACTGTCCAGCAGCTTTGGTTCAGCCCCCTCTCCTACATATTTTACTTTTTTCTTAAAAGGATTATACTAATAATTATTTTAAAATAATATTATGATAATGATACTAAAATAAATCATTACCAATTAAGTGGTCTTTAATTATAAAAAGAATTTGCTCATGTATGTATGAAATCATCTTTGAAAGACTTAAAGCTTCTGTCCCTTTAACGTGGAGCTCAGGGTCCTCCACACAAAAATGTACAAAACAACAGCCAGAGAAGTCCACATGGTGTTCACATGGTCCACATGGTGTTCTGTTACAAAGTGGAGGAAAGTCACACAGAGAAGAGCCTGGCCTGCTCCACTCTTCTGCGGCCTGCAGGGGGCGCTCACACAGTGATTGTTCAGACGACTGCTTGTGCTTCAGTGTAAACTACAAAATCATGCTTATCACAAGTATGTACAGGAGCCCGGACCACAGGCTCCGCCCCCCGCTCTGGGGCAAAGACGAAGGCTCATGTATGCTCCGTTTGCACTGAGAGACCACCAATCCTCCACAGCTCAGACCAGACCTTAGGCTTAAGCAACGTACACGTATTTAGCACTACTCAGCCTTCTCACATACACCATGTGAACGCTGTTAGGCGCTTTTGAAGTTCGAACAAAATAACTAACGATCTAGATCAGGGGTCTCTAACCTGTGGCTCAGAAGCTACCAGTAGCTCACCACCACCTTTCAGGTAGCTCCCCAAAGGATTCAAGGATTTAACAAATGATCCTGAATGATGCACCTTTCAGTCATTCCATGTCCATTTTAACTGTTCTCCCTGATTGGCTGTAGTTATTAGAAACGCTACACATTACAACTGCTAATGGAGTAGCTCTCTTCCATTTCAGTTTTGTAAAAGTATCTTTCCAATCGAATAAAGATTGGAGACACATGATCTAGAAGGTTTCACTGACAAATCACGTTTCATTGTGGCGCTGTGCTCATTACGCCCCCCAGTGGTCATAAGAGCATAAATGAGCCTCTTCTCTTGTCATTGCATCTAAAACACCACCACATCCTGATGCTGCTGATAGCGGCTACTCCTTCAGCGCCGGCGTCAGGGACGTGCCTTTGTAGAAGATATTGCGGGTGCTGTCCGGACTGTTGGCCCTCTCCGGGATGAGGATGACGTTGTTAGCCTTCCTCCGAAGCGTGGACTCTCGGCTGGACGCGACCGACAGTGTTTCTGATGCACTCTCCCCGCCGGCCAGTCCCCCGCCATCCCCCGGAGTCACGCGTATAGTGGAGAGCCCGGCGGGATGGCCCCTCTGCTCGCCCTGTCCCTGTCCCGTCCCCACAGAGCCACTGCAGGCCGCGTGATTGGGCCGTTTGCGGTCCATGGAGCCCGACCCGCAGCTCTCAGAGTCGCGGTTCAAATCGTTCATCTCGCTGGACTGCCTTGGGGCCGTGGGGCCCCCTCCTCCAGGCTCCAGCATGACCCGAGCTCCGGTGCCGTGGTCCAGAGACCTCCATCTCCAAGAGCCGCTCCCGTCCTTGGAGGGGGGCTGGATGATCGGTTTGGGGTGCTCCGGGTGGGCCTCTATGCGCACGATGGCACCTGTGCTGCCTGACATACTGGAGCTGTCTTGGTCGGTCAGGGCTCGGTATCGCGGGGGCCCCTGGCAGATGGACTGGGAGGGACCGATGCTGCTCTCGTCTAAGCTCTTGGACGACTGGAGGAGGCCTTGCTGCTTGGACATGGCGATGACCTGCATGATCCTGGGCGACGCCTCAGCAGCGCGGCAGGTCTTGTCTGCTGCCTTCTGCCAATTGGCCTGTCCCGCGCTGCTCACTGTGTTGTCGTTGGGGGCCCCTGTGTGCACCGAGCGGGGGGAGGAGTTGTAGTTCTCGTGAGCCTCTTCTGGGATGTGCACGAGCTGTGAGGAGCCAGGCCGGGACTGCATGGCGATGCGGGCTCCTCCGCTGATGCCGCTGCAGTTGCTGGGGAGAGTGGTGCTCGTACCGGCTGCCAACTTGGACATGTAGGAGTGGCAGTCGAAGCCTCCGTTCAGGCCCATGGGGGGGGTCTCGGGGCCCGGGTGCAGGTGGTCCATGCTGCCGTGGTGTGTGGGCTGCTGAGAGGACTGTCCTGAGGAGGAGTCCAGTGATGAGGAGAAGGAATCAGGGACCTGCAGAGAACACTTGTGGTTCTTGTTCTTCCACTGGGACAGCAGCTGCTTGGAGCGGCTAGAGTCCATGGAGGCGTGGTGCAGAGTGGCGGCGTGGCGCCGGGCCGCCTCCTCGTACGCGGCAATGGCCTGCGGCGTGTGCACGCGGGGCAGGGTGTGGCTGAAGGCCATGTACGCCTCTTTGTTATGAGGACTGCGGGGGGAGAGGGCGTCTCCTTCAGCGTGTGCTTTGAGCGTGTCCTCTGGCCTCTGCTGAGGGAGCCCCCGGTGCAGCAGACCCTCAGAGTGAGACGTGGGCAGAACCTCTCCAGCCATGGCCTTCATCTGCAGGTGGTGCAGCACAGCCTCCTGACTGATGTGGGGCAGCGAGCAGGTGGGTCTGGGCTGAGGAGGAGCCGGAGAGCAGCTGTCCTCACTGGGAAGGAAGTTCCCCACTGCAAACAGGCCCTGGACAAACACACATGTTACACACATGTTTCACACAAGTTACACACACACTACAAACGTACTTCACACATGTTTCCAAAGGCATCACATGGTGGGGGGGGGGGGGGGGGGGGGGGGGGGTCAGGTGGCAAACTCACAATGACGCAGGAGCCAAACATGATTACACTGAGGTGCACTATGGGAGTGTTGAGGCAGTACCAGGTAGACGGCGATGGCCCCTCCCAGCAGGAAGCCCAGGTACACGTCCACCGCATGGTTCTTGTACTGGATGATCCGGGTCAGGCCGCACATGACGGCGCTGATGACGAAGGAGAAGACCAGCAGCGGCTTCAGCAGTTTGGACGAGTCTGTGAGGGTGCTGTTGAAGTACATCTGCCACACACACACACAGACAGACACAGACACACACACACATACACACGCACGCACGCACGCACGCACGCACGCACGCACGCACGCACGCACGCACGCACGCACGCACGCACGCACGCACGCACGCACGCACGCACGCACGCACGCACACACACACACACACACACACACACACACACACACACACACACACACACACACACACACACACACACACACACAATAATGATCTGAACTACACTTTTCACATAAACATTAGACGTTGCAGTTCTTTTAGATTTGTGATTGTATTGACCGCTACCTCACAAGTAAGCCTCATTTTTACGATTGCCCTTGAAGGCACCTTTATGGCCAACCCACCACAATGTTTCTTTTGGATTGACGACTAAAACCAGCCAATGGCAAAAGTAGGAAACGGGAGAGTCTCTGAAAAATGCTTGCTCTTCACTGAACCTGTAGTTATTGTATTGAGATAAATGAATCCAGAGATAGGAAATGTTGTCCATATCGGTCAGCCCTCGTCTGTTTATGAAAACACAAATATCTCCCTTTAAAGGTTACTTTAATAATGAGTCCCGGACTGGAGCAGAGGATCCAACACAGGACTCAGTGCCTCATGATCTTCTTCAGATGCTTTCAGTGAATCCTCATGTGTTCATTAATTAAATCTAGAACGCCCAGAGCAGTCAATTTGACGGCTTTTCATTTTGGAAGTGTAATTAATCTGCGTTTTTAGTCTTCAAAACTTTGAGTCTTTTTCTATTTCTGTATGTAATTATGTTTAATGTGTTTGAAATGATCTTGATCCTGGTTCAGAGCCATCTCAGTTCGGAGTAAGTGCTAGTTACCATAGCAACACACTGTTTACTTGCATCAGTTAGCATTTAGTTTTGCTGTATTGCATTTATATCAACCAGTTTTAGCATAGATTAAAGATAAAACCTTGTGAATTACTAAAAAGCAGTAAAAAAAAAAGAGCTAATAACAAATATCTATTTTCTTTTATGATCTCTGCAGCTGAAAAGGTGTTGGCTGCTCCCCGACCCCCCGCTGTGGCAGAGTGGAGGAGTACCTTTTCTATTTGTCTAATAAACACAATTTTATTAGATTAAAAGGGTCAGATACATAAAGCCGCTACAACCAGTATTATATACGAATATGTATCTACGTATATACATTTATAGATTCGATCATTTTTTATATATATATCTATCTATAATGTTTTATTGTTTCCCAACATTCTTTCTGTGCCTGTTAAGCATCCTGGGCAGATTCTGTATGAATGGTGCTTTTTCAGACAGTAGTAGTGACGCAGCCCATTGTGACGAAGTGGCTGGAACTACTTGCGGAGTAATCTACACACCTGAAAGACAAGCAGAGAGTGCGTTGCCAAAGGGCAGCGGTCATTATTGTTTTGAGAGGTCGGTTATCAAGAAATAATGACCGGTAGAATGTTTTGAAATTTGTGTTGCAAAACTGTAATTCTCTGCCTGAAATGAAAGACTGTGGCGTGGCGTGTCTTTTGTGGCGTTCAAAGACATGTCGTAAATAGCGTCTGGTGTAGGATTCTTACCGAGACGTAAACCGCGGCAAAGGAGGCGAGCGTGGCGTGTTGAGAAGGGAACGACTTCCTGAAACAGAAGAAAGGTTCAGCTGAATACACCCAATGTTATTTATACAGCGCACTTTATAAACACAGTTGAAGAGCTGCACAATAACATACTAATTAAAACAAATCCATAGTAAAACTAAAAAAAATCTTAAAAATGTAAGAGGAAAACACTTTTGTGCATTTATGTATTAAGTAAGGGATAATGTATAGCCTACAGGTCATTATCGGAAAATAAGTACCGACAGGGCGAAGCGGACCCCGACGCGCAGCGGAGGGATCCGCTTCGCCCTGAAGGTACTTATTTTCCGATAATGACCTGTAGGCTATACATTATCCCGCTTATTATACTGCTTTGTACCAACTTAACACACAAAATAAACTTCAGATCACTTTTATGAATGCCAAAAGTTTATTTAATGACAACAAATAAAGTAGTCCCAAAAAGTTTTCCCGTTGCTCGGCAACCGCGGGCAACAGTTAGGCTGGCAACTTCCAAACTAGAACTCTCTGGAACTGCATGAAAACTGAACAAAGAATTCTGAACATCAGCGGTGAGTGACCCAAACATAAACTTCACCTAAATCCATAATTCGATCCTCTGCAAATGTGTCCGAAAATGTGCCGGTATCTTAAAATGTGCCGGTATCTACTTCCGGGTTGTTCGGGATCGCATTTTCTCGCATTACATCAGTGTTTTTGTCATGAAAACGTAAACGGAAAATTCTGAAAACTTCCGTGCACTTGTATTAAGACTGGATATGTATAAATTACTCTCCGATTAACATTTCATTGCGTTGATTGATTGGCATTTGCGTTTATTGAGCGGCCAGAACTGCTTCCGGGTTTTTCACGATCGCTTTTTGACGCAGAGAAATAGTATTTTTGTCATGAAGACAAGACCAGAAAATTCTGAAAATTTCCGTGCACGTGTGTGAAGAATGTATATGTATAAGTATTCTCCGATTAACATTTAAGTGTGTTGATTGAGCGTGGCTAGCTCCGGAGTGGCCGGAACTACTTGCGGAGTTATCCACGCATTTGAAAGACAAGCAGAGAGTGCGTTGCCAAAGGGCAGCGGTCATTATTGTTTTGAGAGGTCCGTTATAGAAAATAATGACCGTAGAACGTTTTGAAATTACATTCAAATCAATGGAGCGTTCTCCTGCTGCTGTGAGGAGCCGTATAATAAGATAAAAATAACGTTCATTCATTTATTCATTTATTTTCTACCCCTTTATTAGTCCATTTCTGGGTCGGGGGTGACTATCAGAGCTGCACCCAATGCTCACAGCACCATACAAATAACAATAAAACAAAATGAAATCAAATAAAACACATGACATCATTATAGGTTTACTGATTGCAATGTTTCAGTTAGTAAAAGGAGTTTGTATAATATTATCTATTCTTTTTATTTTGTAATCCATATTTTAATTGTTTTCTTTTTCAGTCGTACATTAATCAATAAACATTCCACAGACAGTACAACCAGGTATATTCTGGCTGCAGCAGAAATACAGTAGGTTCATTGTTTGTTGAAAGTTTCATCATTTCATTTTTGCACCTAGTTCCAGCTCTTATTTGTTAGACAATTAATGTAGTTAAAAAGGCGGGAAAGATCTTCACACGGTCTGTGATTACCAGAGAGAACAGAGACAGAGACCAGGAAGAGACCATGAGAGACAGAGACCAGAGAGCGACCAGAGAGAGAGAGACCAGGAAGAGACCAGAGAGACAGAGACCAGAGAGCGACCAGAGAGACAGAGACCAGGAAGAGACCAGAGAGACAGAGACCAGAGAGCGACCAGAGAGAGAGAGACCAGAGAGCAACCAGAGAGACAGAGACCAGGAAGAGACCGAGACCAGAGAGCGACCAGAGAGAGAGAGACCAGGAAGAGACCAGAGAGACAGAGACCAGAGAGCGACCAGAGAGAGAGAGACCAGAGAGCGACCAGAGAGAGAGAGACCAGGAAGAGACCAGAGAGCGACCAGAGAGAGAGAGACCAGAGAGCAACCAGAGAGACAGAGACCAGGAAGAGACCGAGACCAGAGAGCGACCAGAGAGAGAGAGACCAGGAAGAGACCAGAGAGACAGAGACCAGAGAGCGACCAGAGAGAGAGAGACCAGAGAGCGACCAGAGAGAGAGAGACCAGGAAGAGACCAGAGAGACAGAGACCAGAGAGCGACCAGAGAGAGAGAGACCAGAGAGCAACCAGAGAGACAGAGACCAGAGAGCGACCAGAGAGAGAGAGACCAGGAAGAGACCAGAGAGACAGAGACCAGAGAGCGACCAGAGAGAGAGAGACCAGAGAGTGACCAGAGAGAGAGAGACCAGGAAGAGACCAGAGAGACAGAGACCAGAGAGCGACCAGAGAGAGAGAGACCAGGAAGAGACCAGAGAGACAGAGACCAGAGAGAGAGAGACCAGAGAGCGACCAGAAAGAAACCAGTGATAGAGACCTATACCAGAGAGAGAAAGATCAGAGAGAGACCAAAGAGAGGGACCAGAGAGAGACCAGAGAGCGAGACCAGAGAGACCAGAGAGAGAGACCAGAGAGAGTCCAGAGAGAGACCAGAGAGACCAGAGAGAGAGACCAGAGAGAGACCAGAGAGAGACCAGAGACAGAGACCAGAGAGAGACCAGAGAGAGAGACCAGAGAGAGTCCAGAGAGAGACCAGAGAGAGACCAGAGAGAGAGACCAGAGAGAGAACAGAGACAGAGACCAGAGAGAGACCAGAGAGACCAGAGAGAGACCAGAGAGAGACCAGAGAGAGACCAGAGACAGAGACCAGAGAGAGACCAGAGAGAGAGACCAGAGAGAGACCAGAGAGAGAGACCAGAGAGAGAACAGAGAGAGAGACGGTTCGTGGTGAAGAACATGTAGTAAGATTGGTTTGTATCGTGTGTGTCTTTCATGGTCTCTGTGGCAGTGTGCGAAGCCTGCTGTCTTCAGTTCTTCTCAGTGCTCTGTGACCTACTTCTGCCCCCCCCCCCCCTCTCTCTCTCTCTCTTCCCCCCTCCCTCTCCCCTCCCCCCTCTCCCCCTTGACTGCAGGGGCTCAGCTTCACACAGTTCTTCCACACAGAACACACATGTACCGAGACTGCAACGCATTCCAGGCTAATTCAAATCGCTAATGGAGCCGACGCAATCCTTTCGTCTCTGCTCGGGAACGAAATCTGTAATATTATTCGTAAATGTGGGGTTTCTAAATGCATCGGGGTCATCATTGTACTTTACGATAATTGATATTGATCCCACAGAGGAGAAATGTCGGGGTTGCAGCACACTTACTCTCGGGCGGTAAGAGGAGCACACACAATATACAGAGATATGTAGCTGGAAATGCTTTATAATAGGAGCAATACGTATCTATCAACAGGGAGAGAGACCAAAGAGAGAGAGAGCGAGACGAGAGAGAGAAGAGAGAGAGAGAAGAGAGAGAGAGACCAGAGAGAGAGATCAGAGAGAGAACAGAGAAAGATGAGAAAGACAGAGAGAGACCAAAGAGAGAGAGAGAGACGAGAGAGAGAAGAGAGAGAGAGAAGAGAGAGAGAGACCAGAGAGAGAGATCAGAGAGAGAACAGAGAAAGATGAGAAAGACAGAGAGAGACCAAAGAGAGAGAGAGAGACGAGAAAGAGAAGAGAGAGAGAGAAGAGAGAGAGAGAAGAGAGAGAGAGACCAGAGAGAGAGATCAGAGAGAGAACAGAGAAAGATGAGAAAGACAGAGAGAGACCAAAGAGAGAGAGAGAGACGAGAGAGAGAAGAGAGAGAGAGAAGAGAGAGAGAGAAGAGAGAGAGAGACCAGAGAGAGAGATCAGAGAGAGAACAGAGAAAGATGAGAAAGACAGAGAGAGACCAAAGAGAGAGAGAGAGACGAGAGAGAGAAGAGAGAGAGAGAAGAGAGAGAGAGACCAGAGAGAGAGATCAGAGAGAGAACAGAGAAAGATGAGAAAGACAGAGAGAGACCAAAGAGAGAGAGAGAGACGAGAGAGAGAAGAGAGAGAGAGACCAGAGAGAGAGATCAGAGAGAGAACAGAGAAAGATGAGAAAGACAGAGAGAGACCAAAGAGAGAGAGAGAGACGAGAGAGAGAAGAGAGAGAGAAGAGAGAGAGAGAAGAGAGAGAGAGACCAGAGAGAGAGATCAGAGAGAGAACAGAGAAAGATGAGAAAGACAGAGAGAGACCAAAGAGAGAGAGAGAGACGAGAGAGAGAAGAGAGAGAGAGACCAGAGAGAGAACAGAGAAAGATGAGAAAGAGAGACCAAAGAGAGAGACAAGAAAGAGAGAGAGAACAGATAAAGACCATATATATATATATATATATATATATATATATATATATATATATATATATATATATATATATATATATACATACAGACCAGAGAGAGACACTGCCAACAATGAAGTTCAGTGTCAAAAACTAAAATGAGGATTCTTCTTCTTCTTCTTTCCTTCTAAGTTTGTCACAGCTGGACATTTTATCTGAACAATTTTCCTGCTTTGCCTTTTGACATCTCTTTGAGTCTGTCTCGCACACGTAAGCTCCAAAGCAGCTCCAAAGCTCATTTATGTTTGTGTTCTACCATCTTCTCACTTCTGGGGGCTGTAAAATAAACTATTAATCTCACACAAGTGCGTTGGCTGAGGAAAGTGTGTTTCTGAACAGTAACAAGCTCAAATCGTGCACAGTCATAAAAAAGCCATTATGTCTTATCGCTGTAGAGAAATCAGGGGGATTCTGATGAAAACAATCCACTTTAGATTGGATTTTCTCAGGAACAGAAGCAAGAACAAACGGTTTGTAACAACTGAAGGCCTAGAGCTTCACTTCACAAACCAGGTCAAACACGCGGCCGTAGGTCTGGTCTCTCGAACCACCGCTCTAACCTCAGCAGACACGCCACTAAACTATGAAAGTGTTCTTCTTTGTTCCACAGACTCTACATAATGAATGCATTTGTGTTGAACCAGAAACATCGTCTTCCAGAGCTGCCAAAAGCACGAGGCTAAATATAGTGTGGCCGCTCGCTACTGCCCCCTACTGAGCATGTCGCCACAGACCAGTGTCAACAGTGTCTAATGTACACACGGTAAATGCTCATCAGGAGAGCATTTATCACTGTGAGGCTGCAGCTATGACTCCCAGAAATATGGATCTACTAGAACTACGAGGGCAGTCATTTTGACGGCTCCCGCTCAAATGGATAGAATGAAAATAATATAACAATAATTGTGGTTTTTGTCTTTGATATGTGCTAAAACTGGTCAATAAAACTGAAACACAGAGAAAACATTTAGCCTTTCAGTTTGTTGAAAGGCTAAATGCTAACTGCTGTCAAGTAAACAGCGTGTTGCTATGGTAACTAGCACTTTACTCCAAGCTGAGATTGCTCTGAACCAGTCCAGGACCAGCACCTTGAGAAACGTTGCAGTCAGTGATTTTGTCCAGATGCATTTTTTGAAATATTGTGGGAAAACGTCCCTAATCCCTAAAAGTAGTCGAGTTATCATGTGTTTTCAAATAGTAATGGAATTGACCAGATGCCTGTAGTTTCCAAAAATGTAATAAAAAATATTTTGGAGCGGACCGATAAAAAAACCCCAATGTGATTCGTTCATCTCCAACGAACCAATGGGATGCGTTTACCCCCTTCACCCTCTTCCTGTTTCTCGCGAGTACGTGCACCTGAGTTATGGGATTATTTTCTAAAGCTTAAAATGACTGAACAGAAAATGCCAATCTCATGTTTGCCTCACTCTCCCTGTTGTGACAAAGAAAAGAAAATGCCGGATGTTTGGTTTGGTGTGGTTTAGAGTTGGTGCTACGGCTAAGCTAACAACATCGCTAACTGCATCTTTAAACTGCCGTCCTAGGCAAAGGTAGCAACACTGTCAAAAAAATTAAACATAAAAAGTCATTAAAAAGTCATAAAAATAAGTACATAGAAATAAACTGCACACAAAAACAAAACAGATACAGTTATGACTCCCACACTACTTCTAATAATCTAGGACCCATGCTCCAAAAGCCTTATGTTAAAATGTAACACAGAAAAGACAGAAGAACAAAGAGAGAGAGACACACTGCCTTCGCCGCAGCAGACATCTGGTTGTGTGTCACCGTCAGAGTGGGATAATAACACAGAGTGGTCTTCTGTCGATTGCAGAGTGTGTTCCTGACCTGCCCTGTGTGATGGCCGCCGGGTCAGGCCCAGAGCAGATGTCCTCCAGGATGTAGGGGTTCTTGTCACAGCTCACATTCAGCACGGTGTAGTTGGGTTTGCACACGGTCAGGAAGTACGGCGCGGGGTATCCGGTCATCAGCTGCAGGACGTCTGTGATGAGCGCCGTGGCACAGAGGCCGAACGCGTGCACGCCTGCGGAGACAGGGCCAGGGACCAGGCTTCACTGACAGGACAGCTGACTGTGACTCCTGAGGCTCGTCACGGGTTCTTCACAACCATTTAAAAGTAAAAATGTATCTGAACTCATAAAGGAAAGAACAGGAACCAGAAGTAAACAGAATCTTACTCCAATACTAGAATAAAGCCTCTGGATCCAGTGCTGTGTAGATTATCAGTTATAGTTGCGTTGGTGCTTTCCTCCAAAATCTGCGACGCGTCAACAATAACATTAGCTTTGGACATTGTGTAGCAGAGTCTCTCTCAAAGCTTTACAGTGTATTTTTATTTCTCTCATTAAGTGTTATGTGAATTACACAGTTATTACTGTATTTTTATTACAAGTTTTATTATTTTATAATTGTGTTTTTAGTCCTGGTCTTTGATTCGTTGTGCCGCTTTGGTCCTCCAGCCGCTCCCGTGTTTTTATTTCTTCTTCGTGTGTCCCCTGTCCCCCACGATACATTTGGGAGAGGTCAGTCACTTTATGTTGTTATGTCTCAAAACGTCTATTTTAATTATAATTTTGTAGTTACTTACGCTTTGTATGTCTTTTTATTTGGGGCTGGGACTGATGCAGAGGCACATGTTCATAGTATTTTTATTTTGTGACCAGATAAAAGAACGCCTCGAAATCTTGTCTCCCGTGTGTTCCTCAACGCAAATCAACACAACGCAAATCAACACAACGCAAATCAACACAACGCAAATCAACACAACGCAGAGCGGAGAAAATCAGACCCGCTACAACTGTAACAGTCAACCCGTTGATTATGTCGCCTCATCGTTGCACTCATACTTCTCTTCCAAGAGTTGTTAACTCCTATGACTCAGAAAGTCCATTGGCAGAAAATACATCCTCAGAATCTGAATCTGAATCATTTTTTGTGCCATAAAAGTAACAGGAAGTCACAGACGAGGAAATGGCTTTGGCTCTCGGTGCAAACAAATCAAAAGTAGTAGTATTTTCTAAAATATAAGAATTTAAAAAGTATAATCCTGGATCTGTTTTTGTTGCTGTTAACGGAGGGTTACGCTAAATTTAAGTTAAGCACATTTGTAAACCAGCAGTAAGTTGAACAAGTCTCCTTTAATGGTGGTCTCCCCTATTGGTGGGCTCCTATTGGTGGGCTCCTATTGGCGGGCTCCTATTGGCGGGCTCCTATTGGTGGGCTCCTATTGGTGGTCCCCAAGAGGAGAGAGCAGCTGTGATGAAGATAATGAAGCTGTGATACATGTATTGTTAGTCTGTATACACTATATAAACTCTTTATCATTTAAAGACCATCACAGAGATCTGAACTCCGTCAGTACCACAGATCTGGAAGACCTCCTGCGTTGGACCAGTCTCCAAGACCCCAGGAGCCTAAGCCCTCAGCGACTTCAGGTCGGTGGCCCCCGGTAGACACTGGGGAGACTGGTCCTGGTACACCTCCTGGGAGCCAGGCCCTGTTTACACTTTCTCCCCTGTTGATTATTCATTCTCTGCTCCCTCGTGTGTTCTTGACTCGCCGTTCCCAGTGGGAATCCCTGCCTTCTTTTTTATTTTCCTAAATGACAACAGTAGTTATCTCAGAGGACTTCACAGTAAACAGTGGAACATACCAACACAGATCAGAAAATCCAACAGTTCAAACTCAAGAAATGGAATGATAAAAACCCCATAAAATCTTTGGTCCATAAATGTTGATAAAGTCCATAAATGTTGAGTGTCCTGGATCCTCATCACTGTCCTCAGACCCTCCTGCATCAACAAGGAACAACTCTAAAAACCCATTGAAAGAAAATGACAAACCTTGGAAGTCCCACTGTGAGGGAGGGATCTGCTCCCACCGATGGACGGGCTGTGGATCCCGGACTCAGACTGTAGAATGAGGACCGAGGCCACACAATATAGGACTCAGGCTTCTCCCGGTGCCTCTGCAGCACCCGGTCAGGGCCTGGTGCTCCATCTCCTCACTCAAAGCACCTCATAGTGGCTGAGCTCTTGAACAAAGTGTAGTGTCTTCAGACTGTTTTCAGACTTTTCTCACTCCCATCACTCACAAACATGAAGCACTGATGCTGCGACAGCTCAGACGCTCTGTCCCCAAAGTCCACAGCTCCCTCTGCACTGGGAATAAACAGCACCGACACGTCAGCTTCAGACACTCCTCTGACCCGGGCTTCAGCGACAGCGCTCAAACCGTTTTACACGAAGAGATTTACACATTCTCCGCGATAGCCTGGTCTCACCACACCATCGTACTAATTTCATTTCATACAAAGGTCTGGATCTTCTCACGATTGGATCTGAGTTTGAAACGATGTTTATAATGCACCTGAGTGAGTGCGGCATTTAGCATTTAGCCCAACTTTAGCATTTAGCCTAGCTTTAGCCATCTCCTTTACTACTAACGGAGCCTGTAGGGAGTAGAGCCACAATATCTTTGCAGCAATGATATTTGCTAAACATTCCTCTCGCTCCGGCCTCAATTTTTTGATATTTAGAGACAAACCATAACAGATTTCTTTACTACCGCATTCTCCGACCTTTACCAAACTACACCCAGCTAATTTGGCGCAAACTCTTGACGTAATAACACCCACCTACAACACCCGCCTCCCCCGCTCTCTGATTGGTTGGATGGGATACAACAGCAGCCACTAGGATCAGACCCAGACGTACATGTAGGAGATGACCATGGACCAGAGTTTACGGAGGGATAAGAACAGGCTTCTGTAGCGACAACATGAGGTGGAAAATGTGTCAAAACTCAACACTGATCCCACACAGCCACGAGTACCCAGCATGCAACAGAGATGAAGATGATGAAGCTGTGATGAAGATGAAGCTGCGGTAAAGATGATGAAGATGTGATGAAGATGATGAAGATGAAGCTGTCCTCCACCATCCGCCTCTGGACCCTCTGCTGCAGTGGACGCTCCGTACCCACAAAGCGCACGGCTCTCCGGATGAAGGAGTTGAAGTTGCATCCTGCTGCGTTGATGTTGGCCTCTGTTACTCCTCTTCCTCCTCTTCCTCCTCTCCCCCGGGACACGCAGCAGAACAATATGGCCTCCCCAATCATGATCTGCTCAAGGACAGTAAACACAAACACAGACTGTTTGTATCTTATGTGTAAAAACAGTATTAGTTCTGTTTGTCAAAAGGAGAAACCAGCTGAAGAAGCGCCATCCAAGGAGACATCTACACCAGGAGCAGAGAGCCGTCTGGAGAGAAGGCTCCAGACCTCCGCCAGGTCTCAGACCCAGACCCACAGCCACAGCCGGCCACTGCTCCCAGCGCAGAGGGCATCCGATTCAGAATCATTTTATTTGCCATATGCCGTAAAATCACATTGAAAAACATTTGTTCTTATCTGGAGCACAGTCCCCACTGTGCTCCAGATAAGAACATAAATAAAACAAGCTAAAAAAAAGTGCAAGAAATAATATTCACCGTGAAATCAATCCACAAAAACAGCTTCAATACAGATAGATAGACTTTATTGACCCCTGTTGGAGAAACTCCGGTGTCCAGTAGCAGCAAAAATAAAATTCATCATTCCAAAAAGCTAACAACAGTAATAATCAGCAAAAGTCCTTCAGAGGTGGAGTAGCCTCTGGGTGGAGCAGATCGGGCCACAAGGTGGAGTAGCCGCTTGGTTCGGAGCATTTTCTCTACTCCAAAGTAAAATGCTAAATGCTTCATTAGCATTTTTCAAAAAGTTAGCATTCCTCCAGTGGATTTTCACTTGATCCACTTGGTTCGGACCATGAATCCTCTCTGCTCCCGTCTGGACCAGTGTAAAACCATGAACACTGAACTGCAGCAACATCTCAGGTAGAAAAATACAATAAAAATTAAAATTGTAAAGCACAAAACAACAACTGTTTCAGAGACACTCAGGACCTGCAGCCATTTTCCAGCACATTCAAAAGTAAATATAAGATACATATACGTAAATCAAGTACATATAAGATCATTAAAGTGCTTTGTATGAACTGATAACAGATTGTAAAAAGAAGATTTTAGCTAAATGAGATGTCCGGAGTGAAGAAGCTGGAACATGGCTTTTCCAGGCTGATTATGCTAAGAGCTCAGTTTAAAAGTCTGGATTTATAGAGAACCTCCAGAACAGGAAGCTCACAGCCCACAGTCCTCTCTCTGGTCTCTCTCTGGTCTCCCTCTGGTCTCCCTCTGATCTCTCTCTGGTCTCTCTCTGATCTCTCTCTGGTCTCCCTCTGGTCTCCCTCTGATCTCTCTCTGGTCTCTCTCTGATCTCTCTCTGGTCTCCCTCTGGTCTCCCTCTGATCTCTCTCTGGTCTCTTTCTGGTCTCTCTCTGGTCTCTCTCTGGTCTCACAGCTCACGGTCCTCTCTCTGGTCTCTCTCTGGTCTCTCTCTGGTCTCTCTCTGGTCTCACAGCTCACGGTCCTCTCTCTGGTCTCTCTCTGGTCTCTCTCTGGTCTCTCTCTGGTCTCTCTCTGGTCTCACAGCTCACGGTCCTCTCTCTGGTCTCTCTCTGGTCTCACAGCTCACAGTCCTCTCTCTGGTCTCTCTCTGGTCTCTCTGGTCTCTCTCTGGTCTCTCTCTGGTCTCTCTCTGGTCTCTCTCTGGTCTCTCTCTGGTCTCACAGCTCACAGTCCTCTTTGCAGAGCGGAGCACCTTGTTTAAAGCTCTCCTATCTTTGTCTGTGATGTTAGCGAACCACACAGACACAGAACCAACAAGCAAACTGTGAGATTTCATAACACTTTGAAGCAACTTTTGTTAAAGTTAAACTCATCATTCTATCAATGTGCAGAAGCCAGTACTTTTCCCTTGTTTTGTCTATCTGAAGGCCAAGCTACATGGCACTGTGGCAGCTGCTGATTGGAGGTCTCCATGCCTCCGCTCTGTATAATACACTTGCATTCTGTTGTATCTGTTGTTCGTGCTGTCTCTACCATCGACAATAAAACATGTCTTCTGTCTCTAATCTATTTACAAATATGTTTGCATATTTGCTTTTATTGAGCCATATTCTTAAACATATATTTTAATCTAATAAATCTCACTTGGTTCTAATCTATCTCCTTAATCTAAGCTACATTAGTCTAGGCTACACTCATGAACTTTTTGCATTGTCAACATTCACCAATGTTTGAACACAAGTGAATGTTGACAATGCAAAAAGTTCATGAGTGTAGCCTAGACTAATGTAGCTTAGATTAAGGAGATAGATTAGAACCAAGTGAGATTTATTAGATTAAAATATATGTTTAAGAATATGGCTCAATAAAAGCAAATATGCAAACATATTTGTAAATAGATTAGGGTTTCACTTATGGATCCTTCACTTTATGGCCAACACTTTATGGATCCTCACTTATTTGAACACAATTTAGATTGACAGACCTCAAAAACAGACCAAAATTTAGCTAGTATCCAATTATGCAGACTTTACATATAAAAAGGTGTCTGCTTACCTTATTCTTGTCAAACCGGTGCATGCAAGGACTGTCCGAGAGGTCTGCCAACCTCTTTTCCGCGTCGGAAAATTCAATTTAAAAAACAAAAGTGACAGAAGCGACAAGAAGCATCCAGGAACAGCTCTTCCAGCCTGCTGGAATCTCCGCTCCCAGACACAGCATGCCGGTCTCTCACGCAGAGGAAAAGAAACAGAGCAACCTCCCTCAAAACAATCCAGAGAATGGCACACACTGAGCCGCACATTCTCCACCAAATCTGTGTTAGTATTAGATAGCAATATGGCCTACGTGCAGGACTCTTCAAGGACTCTGATTATTTTGACTATGATGTGACTGTCTCTTTGTGACACGTCTTTCGATGTGTGACGTGACAATGACTATATAAACTGTGTACTGCCTTTATTCTGTCTGAGAGAAGGAAACAAAGTAAACCACTGGAACTTGAGAGAAACTTAAATAAACTTCCAGAGTTTGGCGCACCACAATCCGTCTCTGTCTGCTTCATTCCTGACAAAACTTACAATGCAGCGATAAAAGTTAAGCAGAATCTTAAGAGTTAGTGGAAAATTCTCTAAGTTTTTGCAGAAAGATGAGCCGCTGAGGAGCTTTTTCATCAACCCGGTTTGTGTTTTTGACTCATTTCAGGTCTTTAGACAGAGTTAAACCCAGAAACTTGCCACCTCTACAATACTACTTTATTTACTATGTATTTCAGTAACTTGCACTTTGAATATGATTTGTATATTATTATGCAAGTTGTTTGATTGTATTGTTAAGGACTACAGGTGTAAAGGAGCTGGTGCAGAATCTCAGAAAAACATGCTTAACCGGCACGAAAGACAAAAGAAAAAAAGAAAGAGTATTAAAAAAATACACACACACGCACATTCAGATAAAGGAGCCGCTCTAATGAACCGAGGTCAGTATTCCACAGTTTGGGGGCGGCAACAGAAAACGCCCGGTCTCCCCGAAAAATACATATCACAAGCTAATCTAAAAAGTCTTAAGCACACACACACACACACAGAGTAAAAGTGACCCATGCTCTTACGGTGATGGCGGGTCCAGCGAAGGCCAGGCTGAGCAGCATGAGCAGGGGGATGACCTCATGGGTGGGCTCGATGTAGGGCAGGCTCAGGCTCCGGTCGTGACACGTGAATCCAGACTTGACCGGTTTGAAGACATCTGTCCACTCCAGGAAATACAGGCTGACCACGAAGGACACCAGGATGGGCAGCTGCGAATGTGAGAGAAGACACAAGCAGAACATATTATTTGATGAAAGACAGTTCTGAACAAAGTGGTTGGTTCTGCTCGGAGGACTGTGAACTGTGAGATGCCCGTTCTGGAGGCTCTGTATGAGAGCAGACTCTTAAACCGAGCCTTGAGGATCGTAAATGACTCCTCTGGTCATCCTGGAGCGGCCTTGTTCCAGCCTCTTCCCTCGGGGAGAAGATTCCGGTGCGTGCGGTGCAGGACCACCCGCCATTCAGGACCACCCGCCTTCTTCCCTCAGGCGGTTATAAGACTGAACAGAACGTCCTGAGATCTGCTTCTCTTGGAGCTCCTCCTTCGTAGAGTCTTAATAATGCTTTTAAGAGTTTTATATGTGTCTCACTGTGTCTTGCTATTTTTATTCTGTTTGTGCGTGTGCTTTGTTGTGTTGGTGCCCCCGGTGTCTCCGGTTTGTATTCTAATGTAGTTTTTTTTCTGCAAATGGCAAATAAATAGATTCTGATTCTAATTCTGATGTTTATGGACCACAGTCTGTCTCCAGGTAAGGCAGAGGTGTCAGAACTTTGTCCCGGGGCTGACAACACGAACTGACTGGATTCTGGGCTTTAAAATAAGGTATGACATGTATATTTTGGTTAAAATTTGACAGAGCTGAAGGTAGCTGAATGACTAACGTTGCTTCACCAGAAACATCAGTGCCATACAATAAAAAAAAAAAGTCTGATTTATATATTTCTTTTTGACGGCCATAACCCATTCCATCTAACCAGTACAAGATCCAACAAATTCTCCAATATACCAGCACCGACATGTGACGACAGTATTGACAACAGTCCATTGGGAAAATGTTCATAGCATCATATTGATTTGAAAAAGTGTAAATTCATTATAATTAACACATTTTTTGTATCTGCTGTCATGTCTAAATTATTAAAACATATAAACTGATAGATAATAGCAAAGAAAGAAAAAAAAGTAGTCTTTGTCTTTTGAATAAGGCGGAACTATCTTTTGTTCCACCCGGACATGTATTTTGGTTGCACACATGTGATTACCTCAAGTAAAGACGTGACCAAGCCCCGGCGATCCAAGATGGCGCCCTATTCAAATGAATGGTTGTGCTCAGTGGCGCTTTGTGACGGCATGGAGGCTGAAAGATTAGCGGAAGTTGCCTGAAACTCTCAAAGATCTATGGGAAACTCGCCTGTATTTGGGCATCGTCTGGTCCTCCCGGTTCTGTGCAGTGGATGATCTCCCATAATGCATTGCGTCAAACACGCGTGTGTGGGTCTCACACCGGGTCTCACGCACGTGCACAGAGGGGCTCGGCCTCTGACCAATCAGAGCAGTTCATCAGAGCGGGAGTTAGAGCGAGAGCCAGACGAGCAGAGTTTGTGGCACTAAAGTGTGGATTTAAACAAAACCGAAGGATTTAAGAAAAAAAGTTCAGGATGACAAGGGACACTAAAATCCCCACAAAATCCAACCTTTATGAAAGCTGTAGGTTCTCTGTCAGCTGAGGTTGAGCTGTTTTAATATGCATTGAGTTCTATGGGGAACATTTCTGGGTAGCCCACGTGAATTTAGTCTGGTTCAGTCTGCAGTACCGCGAGAATCCCCCGAGCACATGAGTTATTCAGCTACAAGCTGTAATACCCTATCCAGTTAATATAATAGATCCATGGACGTGACATGCTTGACACACAGTGTTGTCTGTGTTTCTACATCAAGTGAGGTTCAGCTGACAGTAGCATTGCCATTGGTAGGGACACAAACACACACACACAAACGACAAGCACACACACACACACACGCAATCTCTGGTCTCTCTATCACACATACTCACAGTCTCTCTCTCTCACTCTCAAAAATGCACACAGATATGAGTCGTTGTCCTCCGCCGAGAACACACACACACACACACACACACACACACACACACACACACACACACACACACACACAAACTGTCCACCTTATTGTCCTCACAAACTGCTGCAACTGTCCTTCTGTGAACAAGACTCTGAGGTCAGGAGACAGCAAGGGTCAAGTTCAGATGTTTTGTTCTTGTGGGTAAATATAGCCCCATTTCCACCAGCCCTACCTGCCCCCACTCTACTCCACGCTACTCCACTATACTCCACTCCACTTTTGGGCACAGCCAACATTTCCTGACTGGTGGCTGTGCCCAAAAGTAGAATGTTGTGAACAAATCAAACAGAACAAACCACAACAGCCGCCTCAATGAGTAACTCAAGTGATGTGCACCTGTCAATGGGAACATTTCCTAAACAGCCCATGAGAATTTAGGGCTGCAGCACCACAGGTTTAGAGACAGGTTTAATTCAAATCAATTCAATATATTGTTGTAAAGCCCTAGATTACAACAGTAGTTATCTTGGAGGACTTTGCAAAGCCGTCAATTCACCAACACAGACCAGAGAATCTAGAACCTATGTCATCACTGTCAACATGTCATTGGTCGTCTGCCCCTCAGCCATTGTCCATAAAAGTTGCTGAATGGAGTGTCCTGTATCATCACCACTGTCCTTAGAGATAGACAGATACTTTATTGATCCCCGCAGGAGGAATTCAGGTGTCCAGCAGCAGCAAAGACACATCCATCCACACAAATAAAAGAAATACATTGATCATTCTAAAAAGCTAACAATAGTAATAATAGCAGCAGAGGTGCAGACGCTAAAGTCAAATGCTAAATGCTTCATTAGCATTATTCAAAAAGTTAGCATTCCTCCAGTTGATTTTTTCTTGATCCAATTGGTTCAGACCATGAATCCTCTCTGCTCTGGTCTGGACCAGTGTAAAACCATGAACACTGAACTACAGCCACATCTCAGGAAGAAAAAAGCAAGAAAAATAACAATTATGAATCACAAAACAACTGTTTCAGAGCTACTTAGGACTTTCTGCCGTTTCCAGAGCATTCAAAAGTTAACCTTTGGACCCTTCTGCAAGGAAAAAACTCAAAAATCCCAGAGTAGTCCAGGTCTAAGCTAGCAGCATCCAGATGATGTAATCCGTACATCCATGAATCTAACCTGCAGCAGTCACTCCGATCCTCCCCACAGGATTTCCTCCGCAGCTGTGTGAAGCGTGTGCACTTCTCCACAGTCAGCGCTGAGTGGAAGGGCTGGAGGTGATTCCACAGGACGCACGCCGGTGAATAATGCACGGCAAAGACAAATCGCTCCTCAGAGGCTGCACTACTATAATTGGAGGAGCGGAGCAGAAACGAGTGCGGCCTGCAGCAAGACAGAGCTCTTACCTGGAAAGCTGGAGTCGTTCTCACAAAGACTCCAGAAAGAAATCGCTGCAGCTAAAGTCGGAGATCGAACACTCGTTAAAGAAGACATATCATGCTTCTGTCCTGGTACTGTACATTCGTCAGACAAAAAACGTTCTGGCTTTATATTTAATTGGTTTAATTACTTTGTTTCTAATCTGTGTAAAAAAAAAAAAAAGAATCTGTTACTCAAACGTGGATCTGAAAATACGTAACAAACTTCCGCAGCTCATTCCATCAAATCATCAACTTTACATAAAATAAACAGAGCCGCTTTAGGAGACTTATCTAATGTATAAAACAGTTTTGTTCTAGCAACTTCTAAGACAGAGGAGGATTTGGAAACATGAAAAACATGAAATATCTTCTGATTATTCAAATCTAATGTTTGGCCTTTTGTCACACTTTTGTGCCCTGTAGCGTGAACAAGCCCAGACACGGCAAAAACACACGTGGGTCATATTTTGGGCTGAGGAGAACCTGCTGCTGCAACAGGAACCAATCAGGGACCGATCTGGGATCAGCCCTGCAGCCTCATAAACCGCACCTTTCCACTTCTAAAGTTGTGTGCTGTTTCGGGGACGCAAGATACAGCAGGCGTTGGAGAAAACAAAAGCAGTCGCGCCCACGGACATTTATCAGAAACCACTACTGTCTCGAGGTCAAAGCCCAAATCAAGGGACATTTAGAATAGATTCAAATTTGTGAATCATTCTGAGTTAACTGTGACATTAATGTGATGAATCGTGATTTTATAGTTTTATAGTTATGAATGAATGAATGAATGAATGAATGAATGACAAGACTGTAGACCCAGGACTGAGGCTGTAGATCCAGGACTGAAGCTGTAGACCCAGGACTGAGACTGTAGACCCAGGACTGAAGCTGTAGATCCAGGACTGAGGCTGTAGACCCAGGACTGAAGCTGTAGACCCAGGACTGAGGCTGTAGATCCAGGACTGAGGCTGTAGACCCAGGACTGAGACTGTAGACCCAGGACTGAGGCTGTAGATCCAGGACTGAGGCTGTAGATCCAGGACTGAGGCTGTAGACCCAGGACTGAGACTGTAGACCCAGGACTGAGACTGTAGACCCAGGACTGAGGCTGTAGATCCAGGACTGAGGCTTTAGATCCAGGACTGAGACTGTAGACCCAGGACTGAGGCTTTAGATCCAGGACTGAGGCTGTGGTCCAGGACTGACCCCCATCCATAAATAAATATCGTACGTACTGCCTATAACAGACATTTGAAACTTAAAGGTCAAATCCCTCACGCATAAGAATTGAAATGCCACCAGATATAATGAATTTGATTAATGGATCAATAAAAGAAAGCGCTGTGCTTTTCTCAACACAAACAGACAGAGGACACGGGTCTGTGAGAGCCGCAGCTTTGTGCTTCGTCACAGACAAAGCAAATATGATGAAATATTTCAATAAATATTTAGCAGAAGTAGTACACCAACTCATCAGGGTTAGATCTGTCCTCTTCAATCTACCTTTCCCAGAGTCAGAAGTACTCCAGACTGGAGAGCGAGGCAGTATGGCCAAAAGATTCACAATGTATTCACAAAATGAGAAGGAAATGTCATTAAATAAAAGTTGTTATAATTAGACATAAATAGTGCTGGGAAAAATCTTCAAGACTGCCCAACTTAAAAAAAGTATTTCATAACTTGCTCTCAAAACTGTTTATTTACTACAAACTGCACACGCTCAGACCAAAGATACACACATAAACACAAAAAGATATCACTACAGTTCCATTTTATACTGTCCTTCACAATGATACCGGTAATACCACAACCATGTTATCGCACATCACTGCTGATATAAAGGGGCGACAGGGTGGTCAATGGTCATGAGTTCGATCCCCCCACTGCCCATGTCACCTGCTCCCACTGACGTCAGCTCTGATTACCATCCCCCTGACCCAGAAATGGATAATAAAGGGATGAAAATGAATGAATGAATGGACTACTGGATAAATGTACATCTGGGCAATTATTTTCTGCAGGGGCCACTTCGGGTTATATGTATAGTGTGGAGGGCCGGCCTCGTTTCCATGTAGTTACCGTTTCTAATGTAACATAAGTAAGTGTAAGCTGCAGTTAGAAAATAAACAAATATGTGTGTGTTTGATAAACATATTCACAGAAGATAGATACTTTATTGTTCCCGGTAGAAGAAATTCAGGCGTCCATTAGCAGCAAAAGTAAAATATAAAATTGATCATTCTAAAAAGCTAGCAGATTATAAACAATGTCACATATTGTTTATTACATGGGACATACTTAGAGGAGATTTTTATTTGACTGAATGTGGTTATTCCGAGTGCCGTAAGTGGCCCCCATGCCGGACTTTGCCCACTGCTGCTGTAGAATAATCCTCTCTGACTGAGGGACTCCCGAGCAGCCCCATATGGAGCTCTCCGTCTCCACAGACCTCTTTGCTCAGGACTGGGAACCGGCTTCTGTCATTCCTCTATTTAAAGGAGGTGACATGAGTGATCTGAATTGCCACTGACCCATTTCCAGCTCGTTCCTGTCTCTCAAAAAAACACGGGAATATTTTTAAACAAACAGCTCATTTAAAGGTGCACGTTATTAATTCTGTAGGGCAATTCATCCTCTGCGTTTGGAGGCCTTAGTGAGCCTCTTGTGTGATTTTATTATCAATCGTTTTTTTATTATTCTTATCTTCTTTTTAATGCAAGGTGGGATTTTAACCGTATTGTTATAATGTTGATGTCAATTTTTATGTTTGTGATTTTTGCCTGATGTGATATTGGGCTGTGAGGCGCTTTGTGTTGCCTAGGAGAGACGCTCTACAAGTAAAAGTTGATTGACGCACCTGATTGCAGCACATGACGCTGACTTTACAAAGCTGTCGATTCACCAACACAGATCAGAGAATCAAACACAAGTAATGCAATGGTAAAAACACACAAAGGGCAGATGACCTCTGTAAATGTTGATAAAGTCCATAAATGTTGTTGAATGTGGAGCGTCCTGGATCATCACCACCTTCTCATCGCGCCCCTAACACCTCACCACCCACTGCAGCGCCCTGACTTCACACCTCTCCTCTCCTCTCCCCTTTCCCCTCTCCTTTCCTCTCTCCTTTCCCCTCTCCTCTCCGTTCTCCTCTCCACACCCCATGCTATGGCACCCTGGAAGAGCCCGGGCCTGGTGCCATGGGTTGGTGGTGAACTGGAGCGTGGGTAAGAAGTGACAGCCACGCACTCCACACTCCACTTCCCTGGTCACATCACATGTATGGATCGCCTTGAATATGTGTCATTGTGGGGAGGGGAAATCTTGTTCTTGTTGGGCTAGCCTAGCCGGGACTGCTGCTGTCTCTCATTCGGTCAAACAGTCTTCCTCAGTTTAGCATTTGGTTAGGAAGACACAGGGAAGGCTAAACTCCTCAGACTGTCAGTCAAGCTGCGTAGGGAGTCAGTGTGCTGGGAGAAGTATGGTAACTTGAGCACTATCCTCTCCTTTCTATTTTATTTGCATTATTAGGATTTTGACTATAGTCTGTTCATTGCTATTCACCCGTTGTCCCATTGTCTGTTTCATGGTGCGACGACGTGACCTCTAAACCTGGCCTCCTCCATCTTCCCCCTCTGGACTGCCCTGCCCGACCCATCTGGGAGTGCTTCAGTCCTGCACCGGAACTGTCCACATTCTGCCACCGCTGGTTCTGGTTCTGTTGCTTAGGTCCTGGATCTATAGCCTCAGTCCTCGTTCTACAGTGTGAGTACTGGAGAGGGGTCCGTGGGAGTGGATCCCTTTCTCAGTGTTGACCTCCCTCAGGTTTCTCACTTTTCTCCCACTGGGTTTTAGAGTTTTTCCTTTCAATGTAGGAGGGCCCGCTAGACAGTTAGTGTCTAACAAGAAGGACTGTGGTGATGATCCACACCTCAACACAGACCTCAACACAGACCTCAACACAGACCTCAACACAGACCTCAACACAGACCTCAACACAGACCTCAACACAGACCTCAACACAGACCTCAACACGGACCTCAACACAGACCTCAACACGGACCTCAACACAGACCTCAACACAGACCTCAACACGGACCTCAACACAGACCTCAACACAGACCTCAACACAGACCTCAACACAGACCTCAACACGGACCTCAACACAGACCTCAACACGGACCTCAACACAGACCTCAACACGGACCTCAACACAGACCTCAACACAGACCTCAACACAGACCTCAACACAGACCTCAACACAGACCTCAACACGGACCTCACCACAGACCTCAACACAGACCTCAACACAGACCTCAACACAGACCTCAACACAGACCTCAACACAGACCTCAACACGGACCTCAACACAGACCTCAACACGGACCTCAACACAGACCTCAACACAGACCTCAACACGGACCTCAACACAGACCTCAACACAGACCTCAACACAGACCTCAACACAGACCTCAACACAGACCTCAACACGGACCTCAACACAGACCTCAACACGGACCTCAACACAGACCTCAACACAGACCTCAACACGGACCTCAACACAGACCTCACCACAGACCTCAACACAGACCTCGACACAGACCTCAACACGGACCTCAACACAGACCTCACCACAGACCTCAACACGGACCTCAACACGGACCTCAACACAGACCTCAACACAGACCTCAACACAGACCTCAACACAGACCTCAACACAGACCTCAACACGGACCTCAACACGGACCTCAACACGGACCTCAACACAGACCTCAACACAGACCTCAACACAGACCTCAACACAGACCTCAACACGGACCTCAACACGGACCTCAACACAGACCTCAACACGGACCTCAACACGGACCTCGGACCTCAACACGGACCTCACCACAGACCTCAACACAGACCTCAACACAGACCTCAACACGGACCTCAACACGGACCTCACCACAGACCTCAACACAGACCTCACCACAGACCTCAACACGGACCTCAACACGGACCTCAACACGGACCTCAACACAGACCTCAACACAGACCTCAACACAGACCTCAACACGGACCTCAACACGGACCTCAACACGGACCTCAACACGGACCTCACCACAGACCTCAACACAGACCTCAACACAGACCTCAACACAGACCTCAACACGGACCTCACCACAGACCTCAACACAGACCTCAACACAGACCTCAACACGGACCTCAACACGGACCTCAACACGGACCTCAACACAGACCTCAACACAGACCTCAACACGGACCTCAACACGGACCTCAACACGGACCTCACCACAGACCTCAACACAGACCTCAACACAGACCTCAACACGGACCTCAACACGGACCTCACCACAGACCCACACAACCAACACAGACCTCAACACAGACCTCAACACGGACCTCAACACGGACCTCAACACAGACCTCAACACAGACCTCAACACAGACCTCAACACGGACCTCAACACGGACCTCAACACAGACCTCAACACAGACCTCAACACAGACCTCAACACAGACCTCAACACGGACCTCACCACGGACCTCAACACGGACCTCACCACAGACCTCAACACAGACCTCACCACAGACCTCAACACAGACCTCAACACAGACCTCAACACGGACCTCAACACGGACCTCAACACAGAGCTCAACACAGACCTCAACACAGACCTCAACACAGACCTCAACACAGACCTCAACACAGACCTCAACACGGACCTCACCACGGACCTCACCACAGACCTCAACACAGACCTCACCACAGACCTCAACACAGACCTCAACACAGACCTCAACACGGACCTCAACACGGACCTCACCACAGACCTCAACACAGACCTCAACACAGACCTCAACACAGACCTCAACACAGACCTCAACACAGACCTCAACACAGACCTCAACACGGACCTCAACACGGACCTCAACACAGACCTCAACACGGACCTCACCACAGACCTCAACACAGACCTCAACACGGACCTCAACACAGACCTCACCACAGACCTCAACACAGACCTCAACACAGACCTCAACACAGACCTCAACACAGACCTCAACACAGACCTCAACACGGACCTCAACACGGACCTCACCACAGACCTCACCACGGACCTCACCACAGACCTCACCACGGACCTCACCACAGACCTCAACACAGACCTCACCACAGACCTCAACACAGACCTCAACACAGACCTCAACACAGACCTCAACACGGACCTCAACACGGACCTCACCACAGACCTCACCACGGACCTCACCACAGACCTCACCACGGACCTCACCACAGACCTCAACACGGACCTCACCACAGACCTCAACACAGACCTCACCACAGACCTCAACACAGACCTCAACACAGACCTCAACACGGACCTCAACACAGACCTCAACACGGACCTCAACACAGACCTCAACACGGACCTCAACACAGACCTCAACACGGACCTCAACACAGACCTCACCACAGACCTCAACACAGACCTCAACACAGACCTCAACACGGACCTCAACACGGACCTCACCACAGACCTCAACACAGACCTCAACACGGACCTCACCACAGACCTCAACACAGACCTCAACACTGACCTCACCACAGACCTCAACACAGACCTCAACACAGACCTCAACACGGACCTCAACACGGACCTCAACACAGACCTCAACACGGACCTCAACACAGACCTCAACACAGACCTCAACACGGACCTCAACACGGACCTCAACACGGACCTCAACACAGACCTCGACACAGACCTCAACACAGACCTCAACACAGACCTCAACACAGACCTCAACACAGACCTCAACACGGACCTCAACACAGACCTCAACACGGACCTCAACACGGACCTCACCACAGACCTCACCACGGACCTCACCACAGACCTCACCACGGACCTCACCACAGACCTCAACACAGACCTCACCACAGACCTCAACACAGACCTCAACACAGACCTCAACACGGACCTCAACACGGACCTCACCACAGACCTCAACACAGACCTCAACACGGACCTCACCACAGACCTCAACACAGACCTCAACACAGACCTCAACACAGACCTCAACACACGGACCTCAACACGGACCTCAACACAGACCTCAACACGGACCTCACCACAGACCTCAACACAGACCTCAACACGGACCTCAACACAGACCTCACCACAGACCTCAACACAGACCTCAACACAGACCTCAACACAGACCTCAACACAGACCTCAACACAGACCTCAACACGGACCTCAACACGGACCTCACCACAGACCTCACCACGGACCTCACCACAGACCTCACCACGGACCTCACCACAGACCTCAACACAGACCTCACCACAGACCTCAACACAGACCTCAACACAGACCTCAACACAGACCTCAACACGAAACTCAACACGGACCTCACCACAGACCTCACCACGGACCTCACCACAGACCTCACCACGGACCTCACCACAGACCTCAACACGGACCTCACCACAGACCTCAACACAGACCTCACCACAGACCTCAACACAGACCTCAACACAGACCTCAACACGGACCTCAACACAGACCTCAACACGGACCTCAACACAGACCTCAACACGGACCTCAACACAGACCTCAACACGGACCTCAACACAGACCTCACCACAGACCTCAACACAGACCTCAACACAGACCTCAACACGGACCTCAACACGGACCTCACCACAGACCTCAACACAGACCTCAACACGGACCTCACCACAGACCTCAACACAGACCTCAACACGGACCTCACCACAGACCTCAACACAGACCTCAACACAGACCTCAACACGGACCTCAACACGGACCTCAACACAGACCTCAACACGGACCTCAACACAGACCTCAACACAGACCTCAACACGGACCTCAACACGGACCTCAACACAGACCTCAACACGGACCTCAACACAGACCTCACCACAGACCTCAACACAGACCTCAACACAGACCTCAACACGGACCTCAACACGGACCTCAACACAGACCTCAACACGGACCTCAACACGGACCTCACCACAGACCTCACCACAGACCTCAACACGGACCTCACCACAGACCTCACCACAGACCTCACCACAGACCTCACCACAGACCTCACCACAGACCTCAACACGGACCTCAACACGGACCTCAACACGGACCTCAACACAGACCTCAACACAGACCTCACCACAGACCTCAACACAGACCTCAACACAGACCTCAACACGGACCTCAACACAGACCTCAACACAGACCTCAACACGGACCTCAACACGGACCTCAACACGGACCTCAACACAGACCTCGACACAGACCTCAACACAGACCTCAACACGGACCTCAACACAGACCTCAACACAGACCTCAACACGGACCTCAACACGGACCTCAACACGGACCTCAACACAGACCTCAACACAGACCTCAACACGGACCTCAACACGGACCTCAACACAGACCTCAACACGGACCTCAACACGGACCTCAACACGGACCTCACCACAGACCTCAACACAGACCTCAACACAGACCTCAACACGGACCTCAACACGGACCTCACCACAGACCTCAACACAGACCTCACCACAGACCTCAACACGGACCTCAACACGGACCTCAACACGGACCTCAACACAGACCTCAACACAGACCTCAACACAGACCTCAACACGGACCTCAACACGGACCTCAACACGGACCTCAACACGGACCTCACCACAGACCTCAACACAGACCTCAACACAGACCTCAACACAGACCTCAACACGGACCTCACCACAGACCTCAACACAGACCTCAACACAGACCTCAACACGGACCTCAACACGGACCTCAACACGGACCTCAACACAGACCTCAACACAGACCTCAACACGGACCTCAACACGGACCTCAACACGGACCTCACCACAGACCTCAACACAGACCTCAACACAGACCTCAACACGGACCTCAACACGGACCTCACCACAGACCTCAACACAGACCTCAACACAGACCTCAACACGGACCTCAACACGGACCTCAACACAGACCTCAACACAGACCTCAACACAGACCTCAACACGGACCTCAACACGGACCTCAACACAGACCTCAACACAGACCTCAACACAGACCTCAACACAGACCTCAACACGGACCTCACCACGGACCTCAACACGGACCTCACCACCAGACCTCAACACAGACCTCACCACAGACCTCAACACAGACCTCAACACAGACCTCAACACGGACCTCAACACGGACATCAACACAGAGCTCAACACAGACCTCAACACAGACCTCAACACAGACCTCAACACGGACCTCAACACAGACCTCAACACAGACCTCAACACAGACCTCAACACGGACCTCAACACGGACCTCAACACAGACCTCAACACGGACCTCAACACGGACCTCAACACGGACCTCAACACGGACCTCACCACAGACCTCAACACAGACCTCAACACGGACCTCAACACGGACCTCAACACAGACCTCAACACAGACCTCAACACAGACCACAACACAGACCTCAACACAGACCTCAACACGGACCTCAACACGGACCTCAACACGGACCTCAACACAGACCTCAACACGGACCTCAACACAGACCTCGACACAGACCTCAACACAGACCTCAACACGGACCTCAACACGGACCTCAACACAGACCTCAACACGGACCTCAACACAGACCTCGACACAGACCTCAACAC